AGGACAAACCGATTGCTCGAGTCACATGCAAGCTTTAGTCGTGTATAACGCCCGCAGGGACCCAGCAGTCCGAGTAAAAGTTTAATTCACCGGGGTGTTTTTCAGGATCCAATGAAGTGAGTAAATCGTCCTTCCGCCCTAGCCCTGCTCCGTTAAATAACCCTTTAAAGTGAAGTTAATACGATCTTTAAGAAGTTTCTTAGACTTTCGATTCTTCTTGACCGCCTTACAGAACCTCCACCTTTAATAACTTTTCCGACCCTGTTCCCGTACTTTCACCAGGGGCGACATCGCCCCGGTATTTCAACTTTCGCCAAGGACCAAACAAAGTTGCACTATTATTAAAAGTATATCCAACACGTTCTTGCGAATCGATAACAATCAGAGAATGTCTTCTAATCCTGCAATATAAATCAGAAGACGGGGGAAATATAAAATGGAGATATACAGGGTGTATAAACTTCTGTAGTCCACCCATTTAATTCGGAAACGATTAACTTTAGTAAAAGATGGTCTTATACAAACCGAAAGTTAATTTTTGCTAGAAATCACGTGGTGGTAACAGATTTAACATAACTATTCGTATTAATTACTCATTTCATCTAAAGTTTTTGGATAAGATAAAAATTTATGAATTGTACAAATAATTAATGATTTCTTAAATGAAAAAAATAATTAATGTGAACAATAAATATGGTCAATTATGGCCACTAAACAAATATGAATTTATTAACGTAACTTTCTCATCAAGCTGGGAAATGACACTAACTTTTTAAATGAGAACTCCATATTTTTGTTGTAGAATTTGATTATAGAGGTTATTTTTTTGCCACTTTTACTGAAAGAAAAATTTTGATAGGATTGAACATGGCTGAGTTATGCCCGACGGAAGACGCATTGGGTAAGCTTTTTATAACTACAACGAGCCCCACCCCTTTTTTCGAAAACGATTGAAATTAGCGAAAAAATGGTCTAATAGCAGATTTAACATCACTTTCTCATCTAGCTCAGAAATGACACTAACTTTGTTATTTAAAATAAGAACCCTATATTTTTATTGTAGAATTAGATTATAGACCTTGTTTTATACCACTTTTACTGAAAGAAATATTTTGATAGGATCGAACATATTTGACTGATCTTGAATACCATTACCTACAGTTCACAAATTGGCATTGAAGACAATTTATAACTTACCTTTTAGGGATATTACACTTGAATACCATTACCTACATATTTGACTGACGGAATACGCGTGGGGTATGCTTTTTGTAACAAGATGGCCCACCAAGTTTATTTTGAAAACTATTAGAATTAACAAGTTAATTTAGGATAGGAATCGTCTCAGAATACGATTGGGATCATTGGGCTGCTTTTATCCTTAGCTTACATTATTTTTTTTAAAGAACTCTTTTTACAAAAAAGGATTTTTTTGTCATCATCGAGTCGATTTTATTTTTAAAATGACTCTCAGCTGTTATTACGTATTATTGTAGATTTGACCATTTGTTAAAATTTATGTATATGATAAATGCTCAAATACGTTCCCTGCGCAAAAAGGCACAGTATAAAACCCCTGCATTTTAAATCTAAAACGGGGAGGCCCTTTTATCTTTTTTGGATTTTTATCTTAACGACGAGGAAACACATTGTATACAGTAGTCGAAAAATAACTCGTTTTGGGTTATATAAAACATAGTCCACTCACGCGCATAACGTCGGGCATAAGTCAGAAATGGTTGATTCTATCAAAAATTTTCTTTCATAAAAATGGTACAAAAAAACTCTAGAATCGAATAGTACAGTAATAATATGAGATTCTCATTTAAAAAACAAGTTAGGGTCATTTCCCAGCTAGATCAGAAATGTGTGGTGATTGGTGACCGTTAATCGATATTTATTTAGAAATCGTGAGATGCGGTCTGATGTGATGTAGCTTTCAGAAAAACATTTTTTTTGTCTAGATGAGAAAGTTATGTTAAATCTTCTCCACCAAGTGATTTATAGCCAAAATTAACTTTGGATGTGTATAAGACCATCTTTTACTAAAGTTAATCGTTTCCGAATTAAATAGGTGGACTATAGGACTATACACCCTGTATATGATGGGAGAGGTGAGGAAAACAATATTTTCCGTATGAATTTCAATCTTTTTCATCCCGCTTTTTAGATGCATTTTTACGAAATTAGATAAATATGTCAAAATTCGGGATTTCTTGATTCAGTACGTCATTTATTTCTTTGTCTGGTTTATTTATTTACTGTTTTCTTTTAATTTTATTTTCTTATTAATGAATGATAATTTTACTTTGTTTATTTGTTTCATTTTATTTTGCTTTATTCCTTTACCTATCTATTTTTATTCGAATGTTTATTTATATTTTTTATGTAATATTTTATATGTAATGTTTTATAATAAAATAAATAATATATACATATATATATAATAAAATAAATAAATGAATAAACTGTTGAACTAAGGTTTTTGTGCGGGTGTAACTCCTCCATCCTCAAATGAAGCTCCCGGGGGTGGCTGATTGATGGGGGTTGCAATGGCCAAGGATTGTCTCCTCTTGCGATACCATGTAAAGACTCCATAAGCTGAGGCTGTGGCCAATAAACAGCAGACTGCATGGTCCATATGCTCATGGACGTTGAAATATAGGAAGTGCTGATGATTGGCGAGTGGTACAATTCTCTGTTCCTGTAGACCACTTTACTGCCGTTGATGTTCAATAAAAATACTCCTTTTAGTCGTTTTACTGTAGTCCCATCCTGGCGGCTTATAGGAAATACAGCCAAATACTGGTTGAGCTCACGTATCCAAGTCAACATCAACTGTCGCTGAACTAAGTTTATATATATATAAATATATATAGGNTATATAGTTTTTGCTATATTGCCTATATATGTATATTTAGTATGTTTTGCTTATTTTCTTATTTATATGTCTTTTAGTATGTTTGTATGTTTTAGAAATGAAAACATTTTTTTAGTCATGTTGATTCGTCACTTAGGATCTCTTAGAATCTTTTTTAGGCCTTTTGGGAGTGTTTCGTAGACGTCGGCGGGAGTGAGTATTGGATATCTACCCTCCAAGTCCGGCGTTACCAGAGATAGTTGCCGGCTGTTGCGTAAAGGACTTAAGGTTACAAAAAAAAAGAATAATTCGTTGGATGATTAAATTTATTGAATGACAATTTATGATAAAAATACGGAAACTAAAATCTGGCCAGAAACAAAACAAAGTAAACGAATATATAGAAATATAGATATATAGAGAATCGGTTAGAAGAAAGTTAATACAAAAATGGCAATGTTGAATTAAAAGAGTAAGGACGTTCGTACGTCTTGTTGACTCACGACAGTGAAAATCAAAAGGTTTGGCGCTTATCGTGGAGCTTGAGATTGGAGTCTGGGCCACTCGCCGGATGCGTTCGTTCGTACCCGTCGAAGCCAGAGAGCGACAGACTGGAGACCGCTGATGTACTTTCGTGCGTATGGGTTGAGTCCTCGGGAGAGACTCGCTGAAGACAGCTGATGTACTTTCGTGCGTACGGGTTGAGTCCTCGGGAGAGACTCGCTGAAGGCAGCTGTACTTCGTGTGAACAGGTTGAAACCCAAGGAGCGACTCACTGAAGAGAGCTTTTGTACGTTCGTGCGTACGGGGCAAGAACCAGGCGGTGACTCCCTCCTTTTACGAAGGATTGTTGAAAATTGACCTGTTTCTCCCTCCAGCGTCGTGATCCTCATACAAATTTCGTCTTTATAATTTTTAAAAATAATAAATTTAAAATAACACAGGATAAGACTTCTACTTAGCTAACATATCTAAAAATGTTTACATTGGCGTAAACAGGGAGGTTGATTACTTCTCTGGCTGTTTTTAAAAGTTGATATTCAGTTAGTTAATATATTTGGTGTCCTGGTCAGAGTTACTTCTTCTTGTCTGCTTTGTCGGAAGGATGAAGTCCATCACCTGACAGAATCTGTGATGCTTCGTAGTTTATTGTTTATGAAGTTTTTGCCTGTCTTGATCCCAATCTATCCGCATTTTATGTTTTAGGTGTGATTCTACATTCCCACGTGGGTGCGCTGTCATTGAAATTCCTTGTGTTGTTGCCTTTTTTGCTTGAATGTCAACTTGAGTATTGCTTTCAGAGAATTTCTCAACATATTATACCCCAATAAACCCGCCTCGGACATTGTTGTCAGTCCGCACCAGAGTAATTCACCTCTCTGGAAAAAATATATTGAATTTCCATGTGAACAAATAGTCGATGCGATCATTTTAATTGTTTGATGTCAAAAACGTTTCAGGAAGGTGGGCTAATCATTTAATCCTTTACTGGGAAATTTTAAATTTTGTGTTTTGAGCTGAGCTGTTAACCCATTCAGGGATGTGAGCATGACATCGCGCTCTTGCTTCCCACAGTGAGTACTTCGTAATATCGCGCTCTGGTCTCTTCATTTTTAGATTGAAGTTCAAAGAAGCAGTGTGTTGTTTTTATTCATCCGCGTACGTGAATATTCTCAACAATGGCTAGGGGCACAAAACTATTAGTACTATATACCCCAGATGCTGCCCTGCTCAAGCCTATTTTCATTTCGGGTGGCAGTCCTATGTTTGGAATCTGGGTCAAAGTCCAAAGTACTACAAAAGTAAGTAGCCGTGTGTCAACCTGGCATGGGATATTCTTCTTCGGGTAAAGATGACTCTTCTTCTAAGAATAGGTCATCCGAGGGCCCAACTATCTACAATACAAAATTCTATATTGTATATAGTAGCTATTTAATGATCACATTCATGTTGAAGACTCTAGATTTTTGCCGTTTTTAGAACACTGTCTCAGTGAAGATGATGACCGATGGGCCTTGTTTCTCCCGGCCGGTGGGAATTTTATTAAAATTGTCCTTCCTCCCATCAAAATATTACAATTTTACAAAAACAATCTTTAGAGAATTTTTCGTTCCATAATTTTGATAATTTGCTGTTTTAGGCGCAATTCGGGCGGAATCGTTCACCCGCATACCGCCGACGGTCGGTGGAAGCACGACGAACCCCGGGATACCGCTTGAATGTCCGCCGAACGTGACAGGTTCCAGCGACGAACCCATGGGACTCTCGGACATCGTTGCGAGCGGTGGCGGTCAGAAACCTGTCGAAGAAGAAGAGGAAGAAGAAGACGAGACGGATCTACTTCAACGACACTACTACAGCACTTCGACAGCCCTCGGAGTCACCGTCGGCGTCGGATGCCTTCTTCTCGTCTTGAACGCCGTCATCTTCTCGGCCATCTACTACCAGCGGAGGCGAAGAAAACGCAGAGAAGCTGAAGAACTCGAGCAAGTCGAAATCAAAACCCTATCTGACGCCACGTCCAACGCCATCCCCTTGAAACAACCGCCGACACCTCCTGTCAGGACGTCCAGTGTCCCCCCTCCGGGAACGGTGAAAAAAAGGGTTCAGATACAAGAAATATCAGTGTGACTTCCGTAAAAAGATATTTTTAGAACGACTGCTTGTGCAACCTTGTTTTAAATGTAATAAAATAAATTAATAAAAGTCGAGACAGTTTTAAAATATAAAAATTAATTACATCACCAAGTTTTTTCTTTAAACCTTTTCACGGTATTTGTATTAAATTAAATTCAAACATTTACTTTTATTCAGTTGGCATTCATAGAAAAGTTTAAACAATAAAAACAATCAGATTAGAATGAAGAGAAATACGAATTTTCTTATATTTTTTGTTGAATTTATTTTAGATGAGGCAGTTTTTTGATAAATTGAAACGCTTTTTTAAATTTAATAATCAAAATATTTCAGCAGAATTTATTCATTATTCAACCAACAGTTTAGACTGGTGTTGCAAAAAGCTGATCCGTTCAATTGACAATTTTTTTGTGTAAAGAAGTCATGCTCGAAACTGTGTCGCAATGAAAACACATTGGCTGTTAAAACAAAACTATAGTTTTAAAAGTTGTTGACTTTTAAATGTTCTAATTAATAAATATGGTGTACAAACTGTATTTGTGAGTGTTGACTTTACATAAGATCTTCAAACCTGTGAGTTCTTAACGAAGAAAACTTTTATTGATCAAAGTGCTTCTTTAAAAAAAAATACGTATATAAACACAAATAAAAACAAAAGTCAAAATGATTATATATATAATTAATAAATTCACTAAAATTATAATTATAATTGTATAAAATTATAAATATCTGAGGTAAATAATTTGATTAGCAAAATGAAAGTTGTAATATTTCTAAATTGGATAAGAAATAATGGTCATGTAAAACATTTATGTATGATTTTCGAATTTTGACGATACATAGCAAATGTTCTGTTCAATTCAAAAATTGTGGAGAAATTTGTGAATCTTTTTTTCCAATGGTTTAACAAAAAAATTCAAAGTTTAAAATGAGTTATAAATGTTATGACATTTTGTTCATTATTACATATCTTGTTAGAGTAATGTTAATGTCAAAGTGACCTAAATAAATTGTAAATTTAACAGTTTGTTAAATTCAACTGATTTCTAATTTATTTCCTTTTGTCAGAAAAAAATTGGTTCAGTCATTCTAACCAATATGACACAACCTAAGCCAGCCATATTTCAAATTCAAGATAATTTGTAAAAGTAGTAAAGGTTTTTCAATTCATGCTAGACTACATTAACATTACCCCAGAGAACTCAATATTCCTCGGGGTAATTGGGGATAAACCCTACCATTCATGCTAATAAATTACTAAATTCACTAGTTTTCGTGGCCTTACCACCATTCTTGACCAATTAATAGTGTGAATTTAATAAGTTTAAATGAAGTATACCTTTACTAAAGCTCTCCGTGGCCGATTTATTTGTCGCCAAGAATTGAATAGATTACACGACATTTGAAAAATGTCAAAAAGGAGGGAAAATTCGAAAGGTGGGGTTTAGATGGGAGGTTAGTGTCCGAGTGGATCGAGGTCACGATAGCTCAAGTGGTAGAGCAGCGGCGTATCTAGCCGAAGGTCGTGGGTTTGAATCCCGCTCGTGACACTGACTTTTTTATCTCAACTAAAAACCTTAATTAATTGAAAGCTAATAAATTACATTCACACGCCAGACTACATAGTACATACCCACTACCCCAGAGTACTCAATTTCCCTCAGGGTAATTGGTGATGTGCTACTTTTCACGCTAATAAATTACACTCATACATTCATTCACACTACCCCATAGTACTCGTTATTCCTCGGGGTATTAGAGGGATAACACCTTCATTCTTACAAATAATTACATACCAATAAATAACATGTATCACATAAATGAAGACCCAAAGATCCTATATACAATTAAAAATATTTATGGCCCTATGATATTGGAACAGCGATCTGTGCCTGCTATCGTGCTTCAAGGCTGTGCATTTGTCACTCGGGATGTTGTATTTTTTTCTTTGCTGACCTTTTACAGTCCATTATTATATGCTCTACTATGGTAAGCTGTGTAGAGACACAACAGACACCTATATCGTCTCACCCCCATTAAAAAGTGTCTAAATAATGATATTTAATGCAAATTTTATCTCTTTTTCTTTTCTAAATTTTGAAACCAACAATAATTTTTTTAAATTAAAACAAACAGAAATTATTATTTTCTCGTTTGTTCTTAATTTTTTTCATTGCAATTTCTAATATCAAAATAAAATAAAACGTTTTTAGGACTATCGAAATGAAATGAACTTTTATGAGTGTGATTTTTTAAAAATTATTTTGTAAATCAAAATTAAATAAAAATTATATACATATATAGACATAACAACTACCCGCTCACAATACACATTCACTCTAATAAATACATTCATTCCCACTTGGAAACACAAAATATCTACCAAGTACTACAGTACAATAAAACAGTCTTTCCTCCAAAAATTAGAACCCAGATGCATTGCTGTGTTCAAGCACAATTATCGCTTGGATGGCAATCCTACTCTCTCACACACATATGGATATCTAGAGTCAAGAAATGACAGTCCTCAATTATGTGGGACACATCGAGCAACCTTTCTCTACATGTTAGGCACATAAGTGGGCTTTGGCCTAAAAACAAGTGTCCATATGTCAACCTCGTATGGCCTATTAGTAAGGTATTATCTCTTTTCTTTGATTCAGATCCTCTGCCAGCCACCCAGCCATGCTCGAGATACGTCAGGGTTACACTGCTGATTCAGCCCACCAATGCTACCACAAAATAAAAGAATAAAGTCTTCTAATAAGCAAACATGGCATAAAATTTGTTGTTTATTATTTTCTGATATTAAAAAATCAAACTACGATATTTTTCAGACATGATAAAAATGGTTGCAGCCATATATCAATCAATCAACAGAAATAAATTATAAGAATTTTTTAGTTTAATAAAATTGACATTAAAACTAATGATTATAAAATCTCCAAATAATGTCAATAATCTATTGAGCTAAATTCCATTTTGCAAGAGAGCTAGAATGAAATAATTATACTTAAACATTAACAGAACTCAGGGGTGAAAAATGAATATATTATTTGACAAAACAAATAAAATCAGCTGAAAAAACTTTGCAAAAACAATTTCACACTTTTTTACATTTAACACTGAACGGACAACTGTCAAAATTGACTACATATCTACAAATATTTAACAAAAAGATCTACAATTCACAATGAGTTCTCAAAGTTCGCAAACGTCGTAAGTTAAACCATAAATGTCTGTTCTGATATAGCAAAGCTAGCATTTTGATGTATTCAACATATGTTTTAAAGAATGAACACCTGTACTAATTTATATTTTTTATTTTATATAGATTAACATCTTATTATCTACGATCATGATAATATAATTAATTTAAGCAATTTCAAACTTGGTTTTTAAATTGTTAATTTATATTATTTTATGTAATGTATATTCCAAAATTAAACTGCATATAAGTTTTACAATATACAGCAAATGAAATTATTACAAAAATAAAATAAAATCATAATTTATCAAATAGAACATGGTTAATAAAAAAAAATTATATTATATACAACTCATAATCATAATGGAAATTAGTGAATTATGCAGGGTGATGAACCTGAAGTTTAATTGTTCAGACCAATTACACAACTAACAAAATATCATGTTGGGACACTGCGTAGCACAAGTGGTTAAGGCGTCAGGCTCTCTGCTAGTCGATCCTGCGGTCGTGGGTTCGATTTTCACTATCACCTCTGAACTTGTTTTCTGACGCCTAAGGAGACTGGTGGGCACAATGAAAATTGACGTGGCAGTCAATAGAAGGTCTGAAGCAGGATCGGATCTCAGTGACCTCAAATTTGGTCCCAACAATTCGAAAATGAGTTATTTTGATAGATGAACACCAGCACACTGGGGGGTTATTCACAAACATGTCGCGAGCTCCCAAAAATGGAGCCAAGTAGGAGTACAATAAGCCGTGTAGAGCTTCAATGCTCACGGGAAACTCCTCCAGTTCCTGATATTCACCAAAAAATGCTTGTAAACGTTAATCAACATATGAAGCATTTTGTTCCACTACCTGTTGCTATCAAACAGTTAAACATTTTGTAGTTTCTTCCTTCCAGAATTTCTCAGTTTTGGAGCAAGGAACCCCTCAATGGATTTTCTGCAGTCCTCGAGTGAGCGTACACTTTTTCCAATAATAAGTTTTTCTGAGTCCAGAATAAGTGAAAATCTGAAGAGGCAATGTCAAGCGAATGTGGTGGGCGGGGTAGCACATCCCAGCCAAGCTCCAATAATTTATGATGCATCTGCAAAAACATGTAAGGGTGATCGTTATCCTACTTAAAAACAATACCCTTGTGATGAGCCAATGCCAATTGATTTTGGTCAATTTCTGAATTTAATCACTTTAATGTGTGCAATATGAAATAGATTGAACAGCTTGGTCGGGTAACAGAAGCCCACAAGGCACACCCTTCCAATCCAAGCAAATGCATAACTTTTTAATTTCTTGGGATGTAATCTGTCATTTGAAATTATGAACAGAAGGTGACTTCATTTTATTGCAATTTTATCATTAGATGGATAGCAGTGGTTAAGTCTGAAGGTTGGGACATTAGCAATATAATAAAATTAATAGAACAAAAATCCTATATATTTATATTATAATTATGAATCATGAATATGAAGCATTGCTTTAATGTAAATCTCCCACAGCATTTCAGAAACTTCAAACATTTCAATTGAATCTGCAAAAGGTGAAAATGAAATTATAATACCATATTTAGTGACCAAGCGTTTAGGAGAGAATTTCAAAATGATGACCAATGTACCAGGAGCACTAATGGCAGAAAACTACGGTAATTTTTGTTTTTTTAACATCTTATTATTAATATCATTGTTTTGAATGAAACATTTAAGAATCCCAAAACATGAACCAACAAATACCATCTATAACAAAAGTGGATCTAAACTTTCAATTAAACGGATTCTACCATAAATCAAATATGTACGAAGTCATGAAGAGAAATAAGAACCCACAGCTTGTTATAAGAAGAGGTCAGCCATTCCGAGTTACTGTAACTCTTAACCGTCCTATTGGCCTTGATGAACGAATCAAACTATTGATTTATGCAAAGGGTAAATAAAAGAATTGTTTTATTTTGGGTTTACAATTAAAAAAAAAAAAATAATAATAATCCGATATTTGTTTAATTTTGTGTTTCCATTTAATTCTGCTAGATCTAGATAGTGCTTCAGTAGAAGACAATACACACTTTACAATCACCCCTAAGAAAACGCAAACGGCACATTTGGATAAAGGAAAATGGGTCGCTGTCTGGGATTTCATCTCTCAAGATGAAAAAACTCTGTATATTCTGGTAAAACTGATATTTTTATTTATTTTAACAAAAATTTATACATATATCATTAACACAATGTAAAGGTGAAAAATGTCTACATTTTGTTCTGAATTTTTCAATTTAGTTGTTTTCTGTTGTACACTAGAAAGTCTATCTTCTGGTAAAATTTTGAATCTCAATAGTGTCTGAAAGACTGAATCAGCAATATCAATTTTACAAATGTCTAGCTTTGTTAAGATATATTTAATTACCCAACCATATTTGAAAATTTACAAGGTTGATCAGTACACAATATGTGATATTCATTTCAATCATCATCAGCTTTCAACCAATTTTCAGTCATTGCATGAATCAAAATTCCTTTAAAATTATCGTATGCGGCACATTTGTAAGTATACATTTTATTTTATTTTGTTTTTTATTTATTTATACAATATAAATAAGGCCTAGTAACGAATGTGACACTAAATTTTATCAGCTTCTATTAAATATATAAATACTCAATTAATTATACACAATTTTTTTTCTAAATGAAAAATTTGTGTCACAGGCGGGATTCAAACCCACGACTTTCAGCTCAATACGCCACTGCTCTACCACTTGAGCTACCGTGACTTCGATCGCCCATGCCTCAAACTTTTACCCGCCTGTGACACAAATTTTTCATTTTGAAAAAAATTGTGTAAAATTAATTGAGTATTTATATATTTAATAGAAGCTGATAAAATTTAGTATTAATCTAGAATCACACCTGTGAATCGTACACAGTCCCGCTAATCTAGTACAATCGTTAATAAAAAGTGTTTCTATATGAAGCCGCGATTTGCTTACAATTAGAATAAAATCGGGGAGTCGAAATGAGAAGTTTGTGGCATGGGCGATCGAAGTCACAGTAGCTCAAGTGGTAGAGCAGCGGCGTATTGAGCCGAAAGTCGTGGGTTCGAATCCCGCTGTGACACAAATTTTTCATTTTGAAAAAAATTGTGTATAATTAATTGAGAATGTGACACATTCATTAATGTGCATCAACATATTTAATAAGTCAAGTATTTTTATTTAATCCTAATATCCAATCTTTATGATTTTTTTGGGAATTGTAAAAAATTAAGCTGACCCATCTATTTCTATGAAAATCAATGATATTAATTCTCCTTCTCAAAGTGCTTTAATTTTTTTCCCAGTAGTAATAGCTGAGTTTTCAGTTCTGCCCAACAATTTGAAAAAATATTTTTTTATTTTATTGCAATGGTATAAAATTTATGATTGCAAATCAGGAAAAAATCTTTACCTATTGCATTTTTATGAATGGGGGGGACTATTACCCTGAGCTTATAAAAAAATGTTGGGCTACTTGCAGTAACGTAGTAACATATAACACTTTTATCAATGAGATAGTGCACTTTATGAGGCCTAATTAAATTAAAATCTAAAAACTCACAAAATTCTTTATCGAAAATTAAAGTTCAATCTGTCCCCCCCCTGCTCTGTTGGAAAGTATAGAAATCATTCATCATTTTAACATGGCGCAAGCGATATAACTCTGATCACTTTGTTGTTATAATTCTACCTAACACTAATTTTTGCAATTTTAAAAAGGTCATGTCATCGCATGATTCAGCAATAGGAAAATGGAATATGGAAATATGGTTGGACAACGGTATCCAAAGCAGCACCCCTTGGAAAATGGAAGACCCTATTTTCCTCATTTTCAATGCTTGGAATAAAAGTAATTTCATGCAGTATTTATTGATGTGATATATTGATATATTTTTATGTATAATATAATGCATAATTTTTTTTTTTAAGTTAAGTTCATAAGTGTTGTATTTCACTTTAGATGATGAGGCTTTTGTCCCCGATCCAAAAAGCAGATTTGAATACATTATAAAAGATGTTGGGGTTATTTTCCGAGGGATTCACAACTCTATAACAAAAGTGTTCTGGAAGTATTCACAGTACGAAGAACAAGTGCTCGAATTCGCAGTAGACCTGGTACAAAACATCGGCAAGTTGCCGCTGGCCGAATGTGGAAGCCTGGCCCTCGTAATGAAAAAGATCGCCGAATCAGTATGTTTGCAGCATGTTGGAAGAATTGAACAAAAAGTAAATCACTCTTTTAGTAGATTATACACCCTCCAGGTATTGTTGAGGAAATGAAAGCGGAAAACTACTCTACAGACATGACCATCTGGACTGGGACTAATACATTACTGCATAGGTTTTCAGTGTTGAAAACTCCAATTAAATATGTACACCATCATGTCATCTCTGCTCTCATTGTGTCATGTATCACACATATCAATGATTAATTAATCAAACAATCGGTTTTACTTCTTTTACTTTTTGCAGGCTTGAGAACTTTGGGAGTTGGATGTAGAAATGTGACTTGTTACAATTGGGCAATCAATCCAATAGAACCAATCTACACAGTAGATTTATTATACACCAGTAATGAAATGTCTGATGTTTTCGCAAGAAAAATGAATTCAATAGCGTAATTAATTTTTTTTTAAATAAATTACACTGATTAGTTTAGGAATAAAACTAAAATATTTTTAAAAAATGGTTTTCTTTTCTATTTGTTTATATGAACTGAGTTTCATTCTGTTATAGATGCTATTTTGTGTACACAGAAGTTTGGGCAAGGGGAATTTGCGCAAATAAGGAAGTGACCGGCTGGTACGGACTCACACCAGATCAGGGCCCATTCCCGATGAGACTTATTAAAAAAATATCAATGGAAAAGGAAATTCAAAACAAATCTTTCTACGGAAATTTTAATTCGGACTGTATCATCTGGAAATTTTTCCGCCACAACCTACCAATCAAACTGGTCACCGTTGATGTTAAAAGGTAATATATACAGTCTGAGTTGATTGATTGTGAGATCTAATTTTCAGAGGTTTGTTTTAGTATTGGCTCATTAGTGGCGACAAAGGCAGAAAATTCATGGCGTTTGTCAAATATTACATCATACTACAAAAAACAGAAAGGTAAGTAAAAAATTCAGTGTTCAAATATTTCTAGCATTTTTTTTTTTTCAATCATTAATTACCTACCTTTTAATGTTTACCATTACTATTTTTGTACTGTACTAAACAATGTACAGTGCAGACAACAGAAGAAAAAATCAAGGAAGTTGTACTTTTCACAAGGGAAGAACCATTATTCCAGAGATTTTATGTTAATAATGAAAACTATGATTTATCATTTGATCTAAGTGTTAATCAGACCTTCAAGATTAATGAAACTATACGGTAAATATTTAAACTGTATTAAGATCAATACAATTTTTTTTTAAATTATTTCTTTCAGTGTCACATTTGGGGTTAACAATGTTTCCAACATTGCCAATTATAGTGTAGAAATCCGGGTGATAGTGGCTTCAGTTTTATGCACTGGGCAGTTTGTCGATTGTGTAAAAGATGATAGAAAATTTATATATTTGGAGCCAAAGTCCTGTATGTTTCAAAATTTTTATTGACAATGATCAAATCAATTTTTATATGAATTTTATTGTTTCAGCACGACACCACACTTTTATGGTTCCAACGACGGAATATATACCAAAGTTATCTAATGAATGTATTTTCAAAGTCATGATGCAAGCATACGTGAAAGAAAATACTTACGACTATTACGAATGTGTTTTCATTAGAGCTATTTTGCCTGAATTGATGGTTTCAGTAAGTTTAACCGTATTTTTATAAGGACCTCATTTAGGTTTGCTTCAAACATTACCAAAAAAAGTAGGATATGTACACATTTATCCAAGTCCCTCGCTTCTATCTTTCAAGAAACAACCGACTGCTGCTATTGACAACGTGGCGGACCCAATGATTAATATTCATATTTTTTTTTTTTTTTTTTTTTTTTTTTTTTTTTTTTTTTTTTTTTTTTTTTTTTTTTTTTTTTTTTAATTCCAGACATAGATAAATGTTAGAAGCAAAGAAGGAAAATTTAAGTAGTTTTAAAAGTACAATATAGGCTTTTGGTATAGCAAGAAATGTATATGACTCTTTCAAAGTAATAGTCCAATGAATAACTGTTCATCAGAAGCTATATTTCCAATTAATTATAGTGCCAGTACAAAATATTTTGGGTGTACTACTATATAATATTGTAATTTGTCATATTGTCAGACTGTAACTGAAAAGGAGTCTTCACAACCAGGGTTCAATGACTGATTAATTCTGCCACGATGAAACTTTTTGTTTTATGTGTGGTGATTAGTGACCGTTAATCGATAATTATTCAGAAATCTTGAGATGCGGTCTGGTGACCAGACCACATCTCATGATTTCTGAATAATACTTTTTGTTTTAGTTTGCTTCAACCAAATTAATTAATCCGGTGTATTTTGGGTCTAAACATTGTTCTAGACATCTTAATTTTCTTCATCAAATCAACAATAATAAGTCTGCCAAGTTTCATTTAACCAAACACATTCCCTCCTTAAATACATTTTTTCTTATTTACATACCATTCATTTAGTTAGGCAGTGGGGTACTCGATATTCCTACATCACCATGCCTTCTCACACTATACAATACACATTCATTTTATTTCCCTGCTCCAAGTCTGGGTGTATTCACAAATTTTGGTCATCTAGCCCAGAGGACCAAAATTTATTACTACTCTGTCAGGAGAATATATTGTGAAGGTTTGTATACTGCAAGACCAGGCACTATCAGAAAATTACTGCCGGTTGTCTTTTAAAGAGTTTAAACTTAATTAAAAAGAATCAATTTCTTTACTACATGACAAACAATGAAAATGAAAGAAAGAAAAAATAGCAAATAATGAAAAATAAAAAATATTTAGATATTTAAAATAAAGTACTTAAATAAATGACAAACTAATTTTGAAAAACGAAGGACAGATCTCTATAGACAATATAGAGACCAAATTGCTGAAGAATGTATGTTTATATGGACTTTTGGGCAACTGAAGTTGAAAATTGACATTCATACATCCTTATGAATGACTAGAAGAAGTTCCAGTGTGTACTTCTTAAAAATCTACAAAATACTGAAAAAAAGAGAAGTTACGTTCATTCGTACGGCTGAACAATGTTGCCCCTTCTCCCACCAAATTGTTCTTTTCAGAAATTTAAAAATGTTTGGATATGGCAAATAAAATTGTATACACTGGTGTGAAATCATATTTCAACTTAAATGAAATCAGTCATGACTTTAAGTCTCAAGCTAAGCAAGTTTTGACTTTAACGACAAAAGGCTGGATCATCTAAAAAGTTGGCCAACTCAATTAAAGGCCTCATGATAATTGAATGGTATGGGAATGGACCTTGATTACCTTGGGCATCATAGCTGAGGCGTTAAGATGTCTGACTAGTATTTGCCAGGCTAGCAGTTCTGGATTCAAATACCAGCATAGCTCATGGAATTTAAATTGAGATAATTTGGTGAAAAAAAGGAGGTATGTACTATGTTTAAAAAAAATATGTTAAAGTGGTTCTGACTTCCCTCATCCATGGCGTTCAATGATTATAGTATGTCAGGTCATTTACTTCAGGTTACTTTACTTTATTTTTATATTGTAATTATTCTGTTATTTCTAGTATTACTTTAGCTTTTTCAGAAAATAACAAAAAATAATAATACATAAATACATTTATAATTCTGCATATATTAAATTTTTTTCTTTGAATGAATTATAAGATTGAGCCATACAATTTACTTGTAAAATTTCTTTTTTTGGGCCTGCATGATTGCTTGTTTCTGTCCATTTTCATGGATGTGACTAAAGCAGCAATGGTTCGCCGACTTTGATTCAAAACAGCCAAACTAAAAAATACCGTTTACAGTAATTAATTTAAAATAACGGCTTTTAGATAGAGCCATTTGCAAAAGTCAACTGTAAAACAATAGTCGAGTTGAGTTTTACTAATTCTACCCTCGAGACAATTGAAGAGGCTGTTCTAAGTTTGGCTGAACTGGACAGTTTGAATGTAAAGATTTTCAGAAAGTTTAAGTATGGCATTTTGAAACTGATCCTAATTCAGAATAATGTGCTATGTTGTTATTTCAGGATCATGCCGCAATCCTCAGTGCAGGTACAGTTCGCCATGGTCCCACGGCAGATCGGTACTTACCACATGGCCGCAAAGCTGTTGACCGATCACTGGAATGTTGTCAACTATGTTAGAATCCCTGTGAAACCACATAATCCAGGCAATGCCTTATTATAAAACTGTATCTCTTTTACATTGTCAATACACTGTACTACATTTTATTTTTATTAATTATCCATCATATAAGAGGGTTTTAATAGAAAAGAAATGAGCTTCTACAAAAGTAAATTTGGTATATTTTTAAAGACTATAGATTTTTAATTCATTTTATTTGAAATCACATTACAACCCACTTGATAAATTATGTTGTAAACACTGAGGTGGAATTCACTTTATTTGATGTCACACAACACATACATTTTTTTAATTTTCTGTACAATAATTTGAAAAATGATTCTTTAAATATCAATATGACAAAAATGGCCAGTCCTTGGAGTGAATTTGTTGTAACCAAAACACACCGAATCTTTGTCTTTGGTTCCAAAATGTATAAGATAATTTCAAATGACCAGTTCACAAAGTGCACAAAAAGCACTTTAAATGTTGTCTTCAACCTAAAATAGTAAAAGGTAAACTTTATATATAGCTTCAAAGATTTAAACTTAAAAAAGCACACTTTTCTTTATTAGCTTGATACTGTTTCCCTTCAAGAGAGAAGTTATTTTTAGCCCATTTGCATTTCAACGCCGACATCATAATAAGTATAAAATCACAACCTATGACAATACCCTCAGAAATTAAATAAATGAGAGAACCATGTGATTTATCTAAAATTCAAACAAAAATTACACATTAGAATAAAATAAATTGTAATCCTGCTTGTAATAATCCACTTACCGTCTAAGTAATATTCTTCCTCCACCATATTCTCGGATAAAGCGCGAACGACCCCAAAGTGATGAGCTGTTATTATAAGAAAAACATAGATTGCAGCTAAGACCCAAGCAATTTCTACAGCTATTATAGGCTTTGTTTTATCTCTTGCTCTTCTGTCCAATAATAGATTGGTTTGAGAAACAATCAGCTATGACTAAACATCTACAATTTCACCCTACATGTACTTCGTTGCATACCCAAAAGTCATCCAGATACTGAAGCTTGCAACAGTCAGCCATAGAAAAGTACAAAAGCTCCCAAAATGATGTCCATACCCTGTAAATTGTATTAAACCTCGTAAGCATTAAAATAAAATGCTTAATTTAAGCATGTTAATATTGAGAATAACTGCATAGAATAAATGCTTACCATTTAAGAAATTAGGATTTTCTTCTCAATAAGAAACTCTTTGATATGAACAATATTATTTCCAAAAAATATTTTTTTCTTCCAATTGAGTGCTAATTTTATTGAAGCAATATTATTAATATTTACTTAATATTTTATTGATTCCAAAAACAATTCTTTTTTATTTCAATTGGCAATTGAAATCAGATAAATCTATTTGTTAGTCCCAAAATTTTATTATACTACCAAATGGTGGATTGATTTGAATTTTTGAAAAATATATAATAAAAGACAAACATTATGGCTTATATCAAATAGTTATCGTTTTTATATTTTTACCATCAATCCACTAATACTTCCATTGATTCATACAAATGTGAGTATTGTTTTGGGATATTGTATCAGTATGATCTGTTATCTGTAACTACTATAACAGGAGAATATAATTATTACTACCACTAGTTAATGTCTTTACATTAAAGTTTTTTATTCTTTTCTTAAGAATAATTCTGTTTTATTTAATATATTCAATAAGAAGAAACAAGATTTGAGATGAAGAGGATGACATCTAACCTTGGCAAGGATAAAAAAATGTAGTTTTTCCAGATGATGGGTAATGGGGTGAGGCATGGGTAACTCTTTAGCCCCGTATTGTTTTTGTTTGTTTTATGTTTAGTTGGTTGTCTGTCCTCAAGAATGGTATACACATCAATAACAGCCAAATTAAAGTCATGGTATATTCCGATAATTTGGTGCTTGTTTTTGTCATCATATTGGAAAAGTTCTTTGAACAGTGGTGTTTGTCCTTAATATTGACAGATGTAAATAATTTTTAGGAAGGGTGAAAGACTAAAGATAACACAAAAGCAGTTTTATAAATTAGACAAATGTAATGAACAATTATAATTATTTAGGAATAATATAGACACCTAATTTTTTATTTACATATATAAATTTATATAAAAATATAAATAAAATTTTTCAGATAGGAAATACAGACTGCAATTGATTAAAGAGTTTAATTATTAATTTTTTATGTCTTTTGTGTTAAATATATTATTATTATGCTATATAAAAGGACTTCAGTTACTGATTACTAACATAAGCTCAATTTTACACATGTGTGTACATACATACGCATGTGTAATGAATCGAGCCTTGCTTATTTGCAGCTAATGGCGATTCCTGTTTTTGTAACGCAATAATCACAAGGTAAGACCTAGATGTTACCCACCCCACTGCTCATGTTAGGCTAGGTTAAGTTAGCCTTAGTTTATATCTAAATAATCTAATACAGGGTCTGTAGGGTACTCAATATTCTACAGTAGGCCCACTCACATTACACACTCACACAAGTAATTACATTTGCTCCGAACATACTAGGAAACCCCAAACGACATATTTATCGGTGCTACATACACAAAAACAGCCCTGTCTCCACCAAGAATCGGAACAAGTGACCTAAATATTCACTGCATTCTCAAGCACGGTTCTCATATTGGTGGCATTCCTACACATTTCCTAAATGGAGTCAGGAAATAACACCATCCAATGAAGAGGGACACATCGAGCAACCTTTATATACACTTATGCAGGTTTTGGCCAGAAGTGTCTGTGTGTCAACTTAGCATGGCTTTTTCTTAATCAGGTAAGGATGATGCCTTTGCTAAGAGTCAGATCCTCTGAGGTTACTTACAGTTAACTAGTAACATTTTAATAAACATTTTTTTTAACTATATGTGAAAGTATTGATCAGTGAAATTTTTACTCTTGTTGAGGTTAGTGTGAGTTTTATTATGTTGGGTTAGAGGATTAACCTATTTATTCCAAGCACTTCCTGGAGTGAGGCAGCCTATTTTTGGATCTCAGCATATTTGTCAATGGGAATGTGCTTGCCTTATAATAATAGCTAGCCTTAATTTTTTATATTAAAATTATGATGTTATTATGTGTGTGTTTGTGTGTTGTATATACACANTGTGTGTGTGTGTGTGTGTGTGTGTGTGTGTGTGTGTGTATATACAACACACAAACACACACATAATAACATCATAATTTTAATATAAAAAATTAAGGATAGCTATTATTATAAGGCAAGCACATTCCCATTGACAAATATGCTGAGATCCAAAAATAGGCTGCCTCACTCCAGGAAGTGCTTGGAATAAATAGGTTAACCCTCTAACCCAACATGTATGTATGTATATATATATATATGTTCAAGTTATTTATTCTGTACTTACCTAATATTTTGCTGAAATTGTGATACTCCTCCGCTTTCATTTTGATTCCTCGCAAAATCGTAAGGAATGTAAATCCAACAAATAGGCTAATAAGGTAAAAACACATCGCTTTGTTATGAATATTTTTGAAATTCAGCATACACCAATATAACATAACTGAAAGGAAGAGTAAAACACAAGAAGTGATCGACGTCGAAAAAACTATGGTAGGGCATGTTATCATACAGGCAGAGTCATGAAATGTCGTCACGTCAAGACATGTCATGTAATATGCATATGGGCTGACTTTTACTGAGTGATCGACGCAGAAATCGCGATAAAAGTGCCTCCCGTCTGTAAGCACACCGTGTAAGTTAAGAGACAAATTTTCTCCTTGCAAAACAGAACTGTTAAAACCGCACAGACTTCCGAAGCTAAAGCCGGGCTCGCGGAGGGAAGATACCACGTTGTCGGGGCGATGGAAAAATTCTAGTTTCGGAAGTGCAACATTTGTTTTGGCGCAGTTTCCTTCGACGACGCTGTAGCCATCCGGGCAGCATTTCTTGACGCAAGGGCGATCGCCTTTTGGAGAACAGACTCCTTCAGCCGTTAAGCAAGCCCGGATCACGACAGTGTCTGAAGACTCTGTCAAATCCAGGCAGACATCATCCGGGTTGAACCTCATCTCAGGTCGGCCTGGAACGCTCAAGACGATGGCCTCGCTCTCATCACGCAATACTTGCGTGTAATGCAGTACGAAATCGACAAGAACCTGTTTCTCGTCGCACATCTCCATCCCGTAATTAACATCCACTCCTCCACTCGACCTGGACATTAAAATATTGAAGAAAGCACTAGGCCTGCCCGTGTCGCGGGATTCCGGCCCCCAACAGGACTGCCAGGAGGTGTCGTAAGACCTGTTGAACTGGCAGCATTTCCGGACGTAGTTCATCGGAGGGACTCGGCGTCCCGGACCCGTACTACTCGACCCTTCGCACTTCGACTTCACCATCAAATAAGAAGCCGTCTCGAAAGAATTGTCGAAACAGTAAGCAGAAACGCCTTCTTCCGCGAATTCGACGGTGAATCTGCAATTCGGAAGTCCGGTGGTCGTTACGTTCAGGTAGTGCCAGTGGTGGGTCGAAGGCACGCACTCGAGTCCGGCGTTCAACGAGTGGTCCTGCGGGCAACATTTTCTCGCCGTGTAACTGAATTCTCCGAGACAATCGTTGTACGCTAGAACGAGGGAGATGAGAACGCTTTTCAGGCGCATGGCTGGGCGCTGAATGGCACAAAACATGTAAAAAAAGGAGTCACCCATTATTGGCCAAGCCCTTTTATACCATACAACTCCCTCCCACAACGGCAATCCTTTATTTATACTATAGTTTCAAATAATAATAAGTCTTAAATGAACTATCAAAACAACAGAATATCGACTATAGAAAATATTATGATACATTTGTTAAATTAAAACACTGACAGGCAAAACCCACTTGTAATATAACTTGATTTGTACATATTTTTAAATATTAATCAAAGTTTCACATTTTTTAACGTTTAATAATTGAGTCTTTGCCTAAATAGCAAAAAAAAAGTAAATTGTTAAGGAAAATGCAAAATAAAATCATTTAAAAATTTGGTTTTAATTTAATTTTTGTTTAATTTGTTATAATTTTGTTTTAGAGTATTAATTCATGTCAATATCGCGTTATTTCCTCTCTCGCCTTAATTACATCTCGAAGAAGCCTCGGCATCCTTTCTACCAATCTGGAAATGACTCTTTGCTGGAGGATAGCCCATTCTACACGAAGAGTCCTTTCAAGATCGTGGAGTGTATCAGGAAATGACGGACGTGCTCTTATTCGTCTTTTGAGGTTATCTCATAAATTTCGGTCGGGTTCAAGTCTGGAAAACGGGCTGGCCAGGCTAAGACCCTGATGTTATGCTGTTGAAGGTACGTTTGTACTATGCGAGCGACATGTGGACGGGCATTATCGTGCATTAGAATAGAATTGTCGCTGATTAAAGGCAACGCATTGGTGTTACAAAATTTCATCCACATAGTGAGTGGCCGTCAAAGACCCTCCCCGAGCAACAACCATCTCTGGGCGACTCTCCATTCCAATTACTGCCCACATCATCACTGAGCTACGTTGAAAAGGCTGGCTCTGGGAAAAACTACAGGCTTCACACCTTTCAATTCGCCTTTTCCACACTCTTTCACGTCCATCTGGAATCATAGAGTAAATCTACAATCTTCTGTAAAAAGTACAGTAGACCAGTCGTCCAAAGATCAATGGCTGTGTTCTCGAGCAAATGCGAGCCGTGCAATGTGCGTACTGTGTGTTCTGATAAATTCTGGTCTTCTTACGGGGCGAAAAGCCATCAGTCTATACTGATTTAATCTTCTTCGAGCAGTCCGTTCCGAAATTTGGACACCTCGAATTTCCTGGAGCTGATGAATCGCTTGAACAACAGGGTGCCGGTTTAGCAAAATTCCCAAAGTCAAAACAACGGTCATCCTGTGGTTCTGTCACCCTAGGGCGTCCAAAACCGGGCATTCTCTGGTAGGACCCAGTTTCTCGAAAACGTCTAACGGCGTCTCACAGAGTTTCGAAGGAACTCCGATGGCAATAGCGACATATCTCATGGAACGTCAATAATTGCCACACCACGCTCAACATCCTCAGCACTGAGTGGCATTTTTAAGTTTAAAATTGAAATTAAGAAAACAAATATGAAAACTAAACAGTTTATTGCTTCAGAATTCAAATGAAACTGAATAAACATTTTAAATTAACATTTAAAATCCATCAAGGATTAAGTGTGTTTACGTCTAATTGATATTCCCAATTTAAAACGTAGCATAAACAAATATTTATTAATAAAAACAATGAGACAAATTAAGGGCAGAAATTTTGCTTGTCAGTACATAAGCTACATTACATAGCCTTGTCTACAGAAACAATGATTTCCTAACATTCTTTCTCTTGTCTTCTAGTCCCATGATCTGTTTTGTTCCCCCTAAGTTAATAATTCCTTCTTGTGTGAGATTAGCATTTTTATAAAACCTGGAAGCTTTTTGATTTTAAGACATTTTTAAGAAGACGAGAAATTTGAGAGTTAATTCAATTAAATTAGCACATTTTTATTACTTGATTTCCTTGTTTACTTACGTGTTGTGTGCATCGTGCATTTTATTATTCCATAAATTCTGATATGATCCTCCTTTGCGCGAAATGCGTAAAAAGAACGGGGACTGTGCCAAAGTAATTAATTCGGTTATCCAAATTATATTGAAGAGGACAACGCAATCTAATTTTTTTCTGAGTACACTTAGATAGAGCTTAATTAAAAATCATCCTTGAAACTCATTTAAAATTAAACTTTTAATCAGCTAAAATCCAGGTTTTTTGGAACAAAAGAGCAATCTGGTATTTTTCAGCATTGAATAAAACAAAATAGCTGATTAGTGAAGTGCATTATAAAGAAATAAGAATATCCCCCCCCCCCGAGAAAATTATATAAAAATGATAAATATAACATTTTGGTCTTGAAATATTCATTTCTGACGTTGAGCAGAAAATAATGTCATTTTTTCTTAGTATTTATTTTCATTTTATTTATTTTTTTAAAATATTTTATTGGCATCAAACCCGGAAAATTTAATGTGACGTTACTCGTTGAGTCGCATCAATCTAAAAGACTAGTGGCGTCCATTATGAAGCCGTCAGGTTCGTTGTAAAGCCCCAGAAGTACTCTGATATGTTAGAATTCCTTTTTTTAATCGGCGTTCGATGAACCACCTTGATCTGGATTGTCTTTTCCTCCGAGATTCTGTAAGGGTAATTACAGATGACCAAAAAAGAGCTTTCTCTATGCTTGAGTCTAGATGCTCGAACAAAAAATTATAAACAAGCAAAAAGATACAGGTTTTGCAGTGGAAGTTCCACTAAATTCTGGTTCGCTCTCGAAGAAGTCGAAAATTTGAAATTAAAGTTATGTGAAAAGGTCAACGTGTAAAAAGCCAATAAAATATCAGTTTTGTGTTCCGTTTTATGTGACCGATGAGAAGTAGCATTCAAAACTGGCTATTCTTCCAAAGAAGCCGCCGGAAGACGCCACGACGCTTCCCAACCTGTAGGCCCAGCGGATTTAAGACTATATGTTAGTACCAATGCTGGTTCGAAGAAATAGAAATAGCCTGCCAAACTGTGACAGGTTATGGGCGACATCTGTGTTTGGTCCACACGGAGAAGAGGTCATACTGACAATACTGTACGTAGTCTTACAAGAATAACACAATTGCATATTTTGCCGGGAAGTGACCACTAAGTCTTCTTTATGAAGGATTAACAACGGATAAGCAGATTTTCAATCGTAGAAAGATTGACGTACAGTGTGGGTGAGATGAAAAATTAGTGTCACGAGCGGGACTCAAACCCACGACATCCGGATCAGTACCGCCGCTTCACCCCCTTGAGCTCAAAAAAGAGGGAAATTATTCTCGATTTTACACAAAATTTTGAATCAATTTAAATCATTACTTTGGTTAAATAGGGCTAACTAAAAAACGGCGTACAGGTGAAAGGTTGAACTAACCTGAAAAGTGAAATAACTCTAATACAATTGAGAGTCAGACTTTGGACAACATTGACGTCTGTCGCACCTCTTCTTTGACAGAAAGACTTTTTTTTCTGCTGTTCGCTTATCTATGAAAAAATATATGTGTATGGTTTGTGACATTTTTTTTTCTTTTTTACAATGGATACCAGGGATTGGAGGAGTTCCCTCCTGAGCACTGCAGCTGACCTGTACAGCTTATTGTACTTTATCCCTGGCTCCATATTTTGGGCGATGGCTCGCAACACAAATGTGAACTTGAGCCTCCGTTGTACAGGTTTAGGTACTCATTTTTGAAGGGGGTTGGGACCAAATTTAGGGTCGCTGAGATCCGATCCCACCCGTTCCATTGATGAGAGCCGTGTCAATTTCTTTCAATTGCGGCCACCGGTCCCCTTAGGCGTCAGAAAAAGTCCAGAGGCGACGGTGGGGATCGAACCCACGACCGCGGGATCTACTAGCCGAGAGTCTGACGCCTTAACCACTTGGCTACCGCGGCCCCCTTGTGACAGTTAGTATGAGGACGAAATAAAATTTTCTTGCCATAAGGGATGCCCGGTTATTAGAGGTTTGGAAAAGATCGATTGAATTTTGGTACATCGCCGGACTTGTGCATTGGCTTGGGATACGGTAGCGGGCACAGATCGCTGTTCAGGTACCTCGGGGCTAATTGAATTTTTAAATCCACATATGTAGTATTGGAGGTGTGTGTGACGTCTGGGAAGTAAAGGAAATTGTGAGATTTCCTTCTGTGGTCTTCGGGATGATGAAACAGTAATATGATTCTTACTGATCATCTTGGTCACCTATCCTCGACGGGTTGGTCTGTCAGACGCGTTTCGCTGTCCTCAGTGTGTATATGTGATTCTATTAAGTTAATACTGTTTTCTAAGGTCAGCACTATCTTTGTTTTTCCGCTACAGACGGTAGAACTCCAAGGAAATGTCTGTAGGCAGAACCAACGAGGATAGACAGACAAGCCGGACAGAGGATCTAGCTAATGATTCGTCTTTCCGAACTCACCATACTTCTCAAGTTATTTAACAAGTCTATAGCACCTCCGGGAACTTTGAAATAATCCCCGTTCAAATTATGTTTATCGATTTCAAGATCTGTATTGGGTGGCTGCTAAGCCCATCACACTGCGTCCATCAAAATTGGACTATTGTGCTCCTCCATGCACTCATTATAGCTCACCTTCCAGCTTTAGGCTTTTCATTAGCCTCCTTAGCCTTGGTACTACTCAGGATTCAGATTTTTTCCCAATGGCAAGTACATATTAGCATAAAATTTACTAGGTTGATCTGTGCGTCGGTGAATACATGTCAAACCGCTTCACTTACTGGACCCGTCTACACTTGCGCCATTTTCAGTGAGAAACTCGGTTGGCCGCGTAGGTCCGTACGGGCGTTTATTGGTGGGTTATGTTATATTTTTTCTTTGAGTGTGCTAGTTTCTCGATTGAGTTTCCAATCTATTCGATCCAAAGTTCTACGTACAATATTCCATGTCACAAAACATACCACCCAATCCGATCTAAATATACGTCCCAAAACTGGCCCAGTCCCGCAAACTGTCTTCTCATTCAATCCAGCAATCCGCAATCTATCTAGCTCAACCCTTTCTGTAATTTGGTCGTTAATGAACAAAAGGGTTGTCACTTAAACGATTTTTGAAAATCGTTTGCTTTAAGTAAGCAGGAAACAAATCTGTGTTGTTAGTGACTAAAATTCTTACCGTAAAAAGGATGGCGATGGACCAGGCGTTATGGATCAGGCAAAAAGTTAAGGACAAGCAGATCAAGATGATCGGCAATGACCGAACTTATTAGCGAGAATGGAGAGGATATGAATACTCTGAGCTGGGGTGATTGTCTTGGAAATAAAAGAAAGTAATTATCTGTACATCTTTATGTTTTGTCCGTATTTGAAAGTTGACAACCTGAACAAACGAAAGACTACCATTTTAGGATATCGTTTTAGAATAAATGTAAAAGCGGAGAGTCAGCAACCAGATTGGGACGTTCCAATTTCTGCAGATTGCAATTTGCAGATTCCGGAGGGCCGGTGATAAAATATTTTTTTTTATCGATGTTTCAAGTTAAAATAAATAATGTACACTTTACTTTTAGGGCACATGGCATGAAATCCTTATGCTTATTTCGGTTAGGTTGAAGAGACGGAAAGAGGTTGTATTGAGTAGGTTGAGAATAGGGCAATGCCGGACTACCAAAGGTCACTTAATGACCCTCCGCCTGTATGCGGAGCATGAAATGAAATAATAACAACAAAACATATTTTACTATCATGTTGCATGATGACTTAAGAAAATTTTATTCTCTCCCGAATACGCTGGATGAACTATTAGGGGACAACCAAAAAAATTTGACCAAATCATTATGCTTTTTGATAACAGCAAATTTAATAAATAAAATGTGATCTACTATACTGATAACGATAATTAAACAAATAAATGAATGAAAAGTAAATAAAATAACTGGAGCATCGGCCCGGCCCGGCTGGATCGGAGCCCTAGGCCAAAGATTCAGGGCGAACATGACCCTTGGTGGTTCCTGTCCCTTGGAAAAAAATATTTAAAAAATAATTTAAAAAAAATAAAAAACCTCTTCGTAGGCAAACAAAAAAGATCAAAATCAATCATAAAGCGTGCTTTAAATATTATAATATGTGAAAAATTAATTTATTACAAAGTTATTTCTCGATTTCCTTAATATGTATCATTAAAAATAACACAATGCAGAGTCTTACCACTGGAAGTGAGATTCTATAATTTAAGTTTTACGTTTGTTTACAACAAATTTTCAACTTTTTTCCCCTGCTAATTTATAACAGCAAAATTGTTAGGCTGTATATTATAAAATAAATATATAATCAATTGTTCGCTAATATTAGCGGTTGCAAAAAGAAAACAAAAAGTATAAACTAAATATAAAAGTTTGGAATGACTTGTAGTCGAATATCGAATTAATTGGAATACGTAAATTGAGTAATTTTGCGTATACTGGCATAGCGTTTGCCTGTACTCTCTCGTCGCAAAATATATATACTTGAAAAAAGGTCACAATTAAAGCGGCTTATGAACTTTTTTAAAATCATATCGTAGGAATCAAACGGCTTGAAATTCCTAATTGATTGGTACAAGCAGAAGACATACATCTTTGCGGTAGTTTTCTTGGAGAAGGGTTGCCGACAGACAGCCTGTCGCATGAAAGCATGCTGTCGGACGTGCTTTTCTTCAGCGGGTGAGCGATTTTCACCTCGTTGCTCAGAACAGTGAAAAGCGTTGACGTGCTTGGCCTGTGATTCTTCGGCTTCTCGTTGCAGACGACCGCTTTCAACTTCCCGTGGATCGCTTTTAAAATCTTTTTCTTCAAAATGAATATCGAAAAAATCAGGATGCCCTGAGATGCGTTCAGGAAGTCGAGGGCGGCCCAAACCAGAGAGTCCTGTACACCGTACTCGGAGATCGATTCCAGAAGCCAGCTGATACCCATGACGACAAACAGCTTGAAGTTCATGATCAACCTAGTAAGGAAAATGACATTATTTTACAATATAATGAACTTTGGTGCTTCGGTTTTACTTGGACTTGTCGGCTTGGAATCTCTTCTCCGCCAGCACGCTGTGGGCTACGCGATGCAGCTCGTTTTTGACATTTGAACAATGGATCGCGGTCAATATAAAGAAAACAGTGTTGCTACAAACAAATACAATCATAGGTCCAAGAAAAAACAGGAAGTGTGCATATGTTCGAACTGCAACACAAAATCAATGTACGGTTAAATCACACATGAAAAACCTTTGCATAACAAATCTTTTACTTTTGTAACAAACAATCATAAATCAGAAAATATTGAAAAACAAAAGAAGTAAATTTCAAATAGAAGGTTTATCTTGGAATGATTCTTTTTTGATAAAAGTAGCAAGTATGATTTATTAAAAAGTAATATATTCACGTTGACAACTAATAATAACTTATAAAATTTAATCTTTTAAGGCAGTCCTATGCTTAAAATAACGTACTTTCCATCCCAATGAAAATTTCCTTTATTAGAATGATTCCAATGCCTAAAAACCTCATAACCTTCATCATTCTACCATCCAATTAGGCTCTTGCCCATAATGATCAAAATCCTAGAAATCAAAATCCTCTTCCCATTCTTCATTCCCGTTTAAATATCATCGCTACCACGCTTCAGCAAAAAGAAGTTCGATTGGGAATGGTACAAGGGGCTGCTCTGGAAGCTTAGTCTTCTCTTTTAACTAATACCTGATCTTAAAATCATACCTAACCGATAGATACTTTCAAGTCGTCCGTGGCCCCTCTCTATCAGTTGGCTATTGCGTAGATGCACGAGTACCACAAGTATCTTAGGACCCAACTCCCAAGCAGTATACTCCGCAGGCCTACCCTTTCAGAAACTATACTTATCGATATCCTCCTAGACGATACCGCCAACCTTTGTTTTCATAAAGATCTTGTCATCTCAACCTGCAAACTCATATCACATCCCTTGAGCAGTGGCTCAAGCGGTGGAATAATAAACATACAAAAACGTGAACATGTCACATTCACTCTTTGAAAAATGACCACAGCTCTAATTAATATCCCTCTCCCACCGTGTAGTCAGCTTCCTTGAGTTATAAACTGATAAACGACTTATATTGAAACCCACACACGCGACTTAAAAGACAAGTACTAAATAGACGTTTCAGCCTTTAGGACTATTCTACAAACGATCAAAACTGACTACAAAACAAATGACTCATTTATGTATATTTCAATTGTAAGACCCAGGTGGACATACGGCTTATAAATCTGGAGTTCAGCAAAACGTTCTGCTACAATAGTCCCAGTACAAACTGTCTTCCCATTAAGAACGTTTTCTGGTTCTGTCAGGCGTATTTCAGCATTGGGTCAACTTCTGGGGTTTGTGGATGGTATTGAGTGGCGTGCGTGTGTGGGTGCCCTTGGATTAAGCCTGCTGAGCTAGAATTATTGCAGTCGGTTCTTTTGCTTTTTAATTGAATATAGTGTTTTGAATACGATAGGTAGACCAAAATGACCATACTAAAGGTTCAACATCCCAAAGACCACACCAAGAAATGTCAATTCATCCCCTCTTTCCAAAGTTGCAGAATGCTGATGCCTCCATGCCATAATGACCATTTTTATTGGATGGTGGCCGTTAAAAACTATGACGCGAGACAGTTACTACAGTTCTTTTTGACGGAAAGTAAGATTTTATTTATGTTCAAATCAAAATAGTCCTAAAAATTGTTCTTCGTATATATCGTTCATACGTCCACAACGAAAGTTATGAATATAAATTTTAGCCGATTTGCCTTGATACTTACGTTCGAAGAAACAAACTTTAACGCCGATATTCGGCTTTAAGGAGGCAGGAAACAAATCTGTGTTGTTGGCTACCAAAGCTCCCACGGTAAAAAGGCTAGCGATGAACCAGGCGTACACCGAGTAGAATATGAATCTCCTCCTTTCACTTTTATTTCTGCGCGTAGGTGATCTAAACGACCTAAAATATAAATTAGTTGTTAAAAAGAATCACTGTTTTTAGTAGGCTGAAAATAAACACAAGCATACCTATTAAAATCAATGATTTTACGTATGTAAATGTAATTTTTTGACGTTTTAATTAAACTTAACCGAGGCGTACCTTTCTTGCCCAAAACAAAGGGGTAAATAGAAATTTGATATTTTACAATTAATTTATAACGTTATTGTGTGTTTACTGATCTTGTGTGTTTACTGAGGCGTTAACGTAACACGTTGATAATTAAGCGGATGAATTCCGAGTTGTTTACAATCCTTCCAAAATTGATCTAACCATGAAGTGCGATGTTACGAAGATCAATTTTAATATTTATTATATCAAATGTATTATGAATAAGTATTATGAAATTAATCTCAGGATTATCATGAATATTTTAAAAGCCTATTGCCCAGTTATAATTAGATAGTCGATCTAACGTAACTGTAATAATTTAACATACATCTCAAAACTACGACTAATTCAACATAGAAATGACGTAAAAGCCTCTTGCTACAAACAAATAATAATTTCTAACGTTTATTAATATTCTTATGTTACAAAAGCGCTAGAGTTTCTGTTGGAGAAGTGGAGAAGTTATCATTTAAATGCAATACACAATATACAAATGGAAAGAAATCGCCTTTGGTACTTAGAAGCGAAGGGGTCTTAGAGGATTTTCGGGGTGAAAGGTGTTGGACTGGGGGTTGGAATGAGGGGCTATGGTTTTATAGACGAATCTGTATTGACTTCTTACGATTTCGAAGAAAAATTGGATTTGGAGGAATGTATGAACAGTAAAGTTAGATAAGAAGTAGAGCAATAGTACGAAATATTTGGGAGGATTATTTGAGGATGGAACGCTTGGTTGAACCCCACAGTTCGATTCCGTCCGGATTGCTTGTATCAATGATGTGTACACGAGGCGTTTGTTTTGTAGTGAGAGTTTCGATCTGTTTTAAAGTAGTCTTTTGAGTAAATTATATCTTCCGTTTACTTTTATTCTTTTGAACCTAGTATGGAGGTTCCAGATAAGTCTTTTTTCGATATAAAGTCCAAAATTGCGTACGTCATTGGTTGTTGGGAAAGGAAGGGGTATGTAATAGATTGGCGAAGTAATATGGCGGAGGATGAGTCGTTGAGTCTGATCCTATATTTCTTGAACCAAACAGAAGGATGGACGTTTCTGAAGGTTAATATTGGGTCTAGGTTCGCTGAAAGGATGATGATATCATCAGCGAATAATGCATTGAGATTAACAGGAATGTCTGTAGGTAATGGAGATGGTGGTACCAAGGTTGCTGCATTGCAGAAAATCTGCTTCAGCAAAATGGATGGGGGAGAAGGATGTTTCGATTCCTACATTAAAATATAATTAATCGGACATCGTGCCTCCAGACCGCATCTCACGATGCCCAATAATGGACTAACGGTCACTAATCACCACACCTTAAAATATACTTATCGGACGCATAGGATTTTTGATGAGGTAATAGGGATGGGAAGTAGATGATCAGTCCACTTCTTTTTGGTCGATTGTGGGGTGGAGTTCCAAGTTAGTCTTTGTTGGTAAAGTCCAAAATAGAGGACGACATTGGTGCTTGACAAAACTAGAATTATAGAAGTAATGCGGTGAAGGGTGAAGGTTGTTTGTTGGCGTTTAGTACGATCCTTTTCCATTCTTCCTAAAGTGCTTGGGCCATGAATTTCGGACTAGAGTGATTTCGTTCTTTATAGATATTGGAATAATTGGTTGATCCCACATAATCCAGAATGGTTATAGTATTGATGTGTATATAAAGTGATGAGTTTTTATTTATTTATTTTATTTATTTATTTATATATTTGAGTCGAGCGTGTGGATTCCAAGCAAGTCGATATAAAGTCTCAACTTCTACATGTTCTACAATCTAAAATAATCTATCAATTCTAAGCAGTGGGTGAAGATGGTATTTCAATTCACATCCTGGGCTGTACTAACTTACTAGAAATGTCTCTATTGTTAAATTTCTTCCTGAAGTCTTCATGAGATGATCTTGTAACTGCTTTGTCTGCAATTTGCTCTCTTTAGTGATTTGTCTGTTGTTTTATCAAGATCACCAGTTATGATGGCGAAATGCCAAAACAAACAGGATATGGTGACCATGATTGTACACGACCAAAATTACACCTCTATGAGAAATCGTTTTAATAGAGTTTTGACATGCCACGATCACCCACTGCTTCAGATATCTAATGCGTGTGGTGATGCTGATGATGATGATTAATATTAGAAAGTGTGGGTTTTAGTTCCCCAAGCATTGCAGCTTTTTTGCTTTTTGTACTTTCCTAGTTCCTTAGTTCAGTACAATTCAGTACAAATATTTGTATCCCAGGTTATTCTCGATTGTGCGGTTGCTTTGCATTCGAAGATTATAAGGGTGGCTGTTTCTCCTTCTTTGTTGTAAAACTACATCATTGCATATGGCCATGTTGTGTAGTTGACTTCTCAGATGCCAGTGACCTGTACATAGCCATTCTCTCTATCTGCAGCAGTGAGTTTGCCAGTCTTGATGAGAGGTGTTTTAGCATAAGCGTACTGGGCCTAGCATTTTTAGACTTTATCCTCTTCTCCTATTGACTTTTCTGGATCCACTTTGTGATGGAAGAGTTTGTTTTTGTTATCCCAAGAATAGGTTCAGGCTATATAGTCTTGCAGATCTGTCTGCCTTTTCATTACCCGGCTAGGCCTTTTTTTTCTTTCTCTGAATATTCCCCCTGTAGGGCTCTAACAGGAATATCTTTTTTCGGCCTTCTGGCTCGGCCTAGCGGTATTTTCCACTTCGCCTATGAGTTTCGAATTATTCATGTTTTTTGAACACGTGGGCTGTTATTTCATATGGTGCCCCGCACGGACACTATAGGTTTTCTTTGAGACGGAAACTGTGCAATTTTGCAGCAAAATCTCCATGTCCAGTCGGGGACAAAAATGATTAGGTTTTTATCTTCAGTCTCATGGTTATGACTGGGAATATGTGGTGAGTCCCTTTATGGTTGAATCCCACCGTCGCTGCCGTTCTGCTACTGTCCATTCTATGGTTTCTTTTACGTTTTTATCATTGGTGATATGTCATAAGTAGTTTTTAATATCCCAGATCGAGTTTCGTACCATTAACCGCAGGGATCACGTATTGGGACCTTACTCGTGGACTATTTTTTGATAGCCTGCTACACGAAAAAGATCTTATTGCCGTTGCCTAAGTGGACGACCTAACAGTTCCCTGCAAGCAGACGCGAAGAGAGGTCTAAAGATAGTTGGGACAACAATTGTGTAACAATAGTCGATAAATGGTGTACTACAAGAAAGTTAGGACTAACAAGTGAAAAAAGTAACATAATTATGCATAAAGGACAACGAAACATGAGAAGCCCTCCTGTAATCAAGATAAATAGACGAACGATCCCTTGTCCCAAAGTTAAACTGTTTTGTTTTGTAGATTTGTGGTGTGTTCCCTAGTTCTTTCTTAATGCAATGTTATTAATTTACTTATGTTTACGTAAAAATATTGTTTTTTTTTATACATATAGTACTTTACGATAAAATTACTAAGTGTCGTTATGAGTATTTGTAAATCATTCCTAATAAATTGCATATGTTTTTCTCTAAATTTCATTAAATTCGGTTTTGAGATTAGTTCACTCTATTTTCCCCACAAGGCGAGGATATAAAGTTTGCCTTTCACTCTCACTACTATTCTTTTTTTTAATTTGGAGTCATAACGGGCTAGAACGTGACCGAAACATCAAAAATATCCCGATTTGTTTACTTCTTTTTGGAACACACATACGGTACAGATCAAACATAGTGGTAACAATCGAATCTAAACAATCCATTTCTTAGGATCAGTAGTTACCAGCGGAGATCTATGAGTCGGCTAATCTAATTCTCTCCTTCCTCGGCACTTAGACCATAGTAAACTAGAAAACGGCTGTTATTGTACTCAACGCAAAAGGGATCGTAAAACGTGGAAGCAAAACAAACTCGGTTTTGACATTAAAACAGCCTCCAGGGACTGATGTTTTTCTAAGGGCGATTTTTTGAAAAAACAGAATACAAAAACAAGTAATAGCAATTCAGAATATATTTTTATTTTTACTAGTTTTCTTTAAGTCTGAGACATAATGGATTAAGATACTGAAAATTAGCCCTAAGTTGCTTCGTGATTCAAGTGCCTAAATTTAAATTTCCTTCAAAGAACCAAATTACTCAGTCAATGCTTAAACGAAAATGTCTATTTTAATCTTTGATATCTATTAATCACAATTGTTTTGTTTTGAATGAATAATAAAAAGTTTTAATATAACACAAACGGTTGAAAGTGAGACCGAATACCAATTTCAAATAAATTACACTTTCTTTAAATACAGATGTAACTTATTTTAACTTATGTTTTGCTATCTATGAACTAAATAAAGACGGCGCGAAGGTTTTAAAAGCATGTTTGTTTCGATTTTTAATTCATTGTTTACAATTTTATTTTGATCTGGATCAAATTGTATCCTGGTTGATTTCAAATCAATTTTGAAAACTTTGAAAAAATGTCAGGTCCAATAACAAGAAAAACAGCAAATTATAGGCCAAACAATCGTGTATTTGCCCAAATTGCAATATTTATGTATGAATTTTAACGTACTACCAACATAAAATACTTGCATTTCATCAAAACAATAATCGCATTTTAAACTCTAGAATTTTCCTTATATTACATGTCAATTTTGTTTATAACATACAAGCAGTCTGATGTAGTATGCTTGTACTTCCTATACGCACTAGATTTGATTTCATAATCAGTTAAAATTGTAAATTTACATGCTCCAACATGAAATTCGTTTATTCCCTCTGTTTTGACCCTATCACCAGAAACATTCACCAAAATTATTCATTTTCCTTACCATTATTTAAAGCTCAATCCTAAGAACTGCCTTTCCTAGTTCATTGAAAATTATCTATCTTAACGCCCATTATCAAATCTCAAAAATCTCAGCATCTCCATACGCCATATCAACATCAGTCTGTTGCCAATATGTGGCAAGATTCGTGAAAAATTCTTCCTAAAACATCTATACCCCAACCTTGAAAAGGTCCAGAATCATTCCATCCCTATATTCAGGGTGGTAGACAAAACCGCAATGGTATCACCGAGTGCTCTCTTAGCCTATGATCGAATGTGGCACCCGGGCTTGCTCTGGAAACGCCAGAATAATTCACTTTTTACTTCATCCGAAAATCCCGTTTGTCCAAAAGATCCTATAACTACGAATCGGATCATCTTTGTCTCTTATTCACAAAGCCGAAGCGGGTGTTATGCATGGCAACATCTTTGATTCCATCTTCTATTCGGTATACACTGCGGACATTTCTATCAATCCCGATACAACACTCCTCACAATACAAACGATACGCTATCTTTTCAGGAACACTAGAAGGCATCATTGCATCCTCATTTCAGGGGAAGGTTTCCCGCTCGGGTGCTTTTCTAGAAGTGAGGCTGGCTTTATAATGAATGTGACACCCGGGTAGAAACTCCTGGATATCCTTGAATTTACTTAATAACTCGTTCTACTAAAATTTTAAATGTCCGAGAGGTAGTTTTAAGTTCGAATCAGAACATTCTTCTCCTTCAACGACTATGACAAAGTGGATGTTCCGCAAGGCAGCATCCCTAGTCCTATTCTTTATTCAGTATAGGCCGCAAATATTCATATGATTCCGGTACAGTATACCTTACATATGCAGACGATACCGCTACCCTTTCAGCAAAACAGGTTAGGCATCATTGCATACTCGAGTTCTTTCCTAGACGAGAGCCAAGTCGTCCCTTGGATTGTGGCACCAGCTTTCGCCTAGAAACTCCAGGGAATCCTTAAATTTACCTAGTACTTAATCCGAAAATCCTATTTGTTCAATAGGGATCTTCAGGTACGAATTGAAACATCTTTGTCCCCTATCATGCCCGAAAAGGTGTCTCGCAAGGCATCATCCACGGTCCAATCCTCTAATCGATATGCACTACAGACTTTCCTATCAATCCCAAATAGTCGTGGTGTTCATAAAACTCCAGGGCAATGTATCTTGTTTGGATGAACGATTAAAGAAATGAAGGAACAGATCTCAACAAATAATCTTCATGCTTCGTAGCATCAACTCTTTCCCCGACTGCTATAATTCTATTCCTCTCCAAGCAACCATGTTGTTCGCTATTTTGGATTTAATCGTCAAAGACTTACTTGTAACCCTCCATACTACACACACAAAAAAATATAACTGAACATACGATATAAACTACTCAAAATACTACTTGACACGAAACGTTGGTGGGAACGCGCGATTGAAGCGTATTATGAATTGTTGCGTAAGATTTGTGTACGACACTCCACGGGGATCCCGGGTGTCGGGGTTGTATTTCCAACTTTCCTGGTTATTCCCCTCCATCCGTGCACAGTATTTCCTAGGTTGCTTTCTTTTCCAGTCCATCCACACTCGTCGTCCTCCTTACATCATCCAATCCCTCCAATTCAACTCCTCACATCACACTCATAACACCCGCTCATCCCCAACCGACCTTATCCTTCCGCAACATACAATCCATACCTTCGAAAGATCCTTTCTGATCCGAGCCCCTAAACTCTGGAACTCCCTCCCCCTTTCTATTCGTCATGCTGCCTCCTTTTCCTCCTTTAAATCCCACCTGTATAATCACCTCCTCTCCCTCCAAGCAGAGACCTCACGTTAACATTTTTTTTTTTATATTCTTGTAATTTTCTCTTCTGGCCGCCTTACTGGTATACATTGTGCCAAGATTTCTATCGTTTTTTACTTTTTACTTCATACAAGGAACTTCCTTTATTTATTTCATGTAAATTATTCTTAGGGGACACCAATCCCAGAATAAAGTTATGTTTCTTCTTCTTCTTAAACTCTCAACAAAACAAGCGCTTCTTTTATACATCACTACAAAAAATCTGGACGGAATCGAATTGTGGAATTTAATCGTGCATTCCAACCTCCAAAGATTCTAGTCACTCTAGTCCAAAATTTTCGGAATATTGCCCAAGGTTCCTATTTCTTATCCAAATGTCTACACCCCATTTACTTCGAAACCGTAAGAAATCGATACATACGCCTTGGTACAACCCTAAACCCTTACCCCTATATAAAACCCTTCAGGGCAATCCTCCAAGTCGCCTAAAATATAAATGTTTTCGCGAAGTCACTACGGTGAAGAAATTAAATAATTATGATAGGAGTGTAGTTAATGGGCTACTTTTGCACTCTGATGAGATTCAATATAAGGACAACGGAGTTACTTGTAGCACTTTTAAATAGTCACATTTAAATACTAAATAATTTATTTTTGGCTTTTTACAATAGAAAAGTAGTATTAACAACATCAATTTTTTAAATTTATAAATGTCGACTAATGAATAATTTAAAAGTAAACATTGAGATTTTCTACTCACCCGAAGGTCCACCAGATGTCAAAACTGATCACGTTGAGCCAAGCGAAGGCACCGAGAAACGCAAACTGGTTCACGTGAGCTGTAAACAATGGGGGAAAAATAGATCATTTAAAAAAACAAACAATTCTAGACTATTTAATCCCCGGGATTATTCACTCTCTCCGCCAGCCCGTTTGAATTCAGACAAAATTTGGTGAAACTGCGGCTTTTATCCTGGACTTGTTAACAAGAAAAGGATCCAAAGCGTTGTCGGCACTAGAATGATTTTTGTCGTCGATGGTCATCGATCATTTGTGTTTCTAACTCTCCCATCTGTCAGATCCTTGCCTATTTCATTAATGTATAATACAGACCCACGACTTTAAAAGCCCGTCTGGCACACCAAAACACCGGAGGCTGACCAAAATGGTCCGTTACGACCAAACTACAGTCATCACTCCGCAGACCACGTGGAGAAACTCATAATAAAACTGTTTCTTTAAAAATATACGATTTCATTTAATAAGGTAGGCAGAAAATCATTTACAACCAAGATCCTGCAGTGGTAAAAATGGCAAAGGGAAAAAAAGATTAATTAATTAAAGCAGCCTCAATGTGAAAGAGATCGATGTCAATATTTAAAATTCATCCTTGAGAGCAATCATTTTTGAGAAAATGTATGATTTCTAGCCACCTGGGTATCTCTGGAATGAATGAATGAATAATAGTATTTATTTACATAGAATACAAACAAACTCAAAATATTTTACAAAACATACTTTACTGCATGGACAACAGTCAGCCGGAGTTGATGTGAGCAAACATAGAATAATAATAAAAAATATAAAAAAAGAATACATTAAATAATTAAATTAATGAAAATACTATAAAATACTGAAATTAAATTAAACAAAAAATAAATGAATAAATAAAGCAATACTAGAGAAGAAAAAAAGAAGAAAATCGAAGAAATAGTAATAATAAAAGCTAACAAAATAAAGAGATAAAAAAGAGATGAGAAATACTAGTAATTAAAATAAGCTACCGCTGAATTAACACCTATCTTAATTACCACATTTTGATTAAAACACAATAAAAACTTGGTATAAATACACAAGTACATGCCTCGTACAAACCGTGTATCAATGTATGCAATATACGATATTAAAAGCAAAATAAAACAGTAAGCAAGGAATTAATTTAATTATATAAAGTCCTTCTATCGTCGTTGATCACAGTATGTATCATTTTATTACTTAGTTGGTACTCAGGATAAATACGATGCATTTTTTTGTCATGGAAGCATAGAGAACACGAGTAATATATCCGCAAATAGAAGAAAAAAGGTTTTAAGTAGTTTCTTTATCTCTATTAACTATTTATTTTCATATTTGAAGATAATTTTCGACTGAGATCAAGACTAAGTGAAAGGTACATGATAATAGAAGAAGTTATCCGAAATGATAAATGATCATGAATATCAAAGGTTTATTTTATTTTCAATTGATATTCTAATTCTATATCAAGAAAATATGCATTATTGATCATTCTTTTATATTTTTTAAAGGAATTTTTTTCAAAATTTTGCCAATTGTTTTGTTTAACCGCCTGATGCATGTTTCGTATTTTGTCTATGCGTTATTTGGACTGTCGAATCCTTTTAAATAGGGTTAGTTTAACTTCTGAATCTCTTTATTTCCTTATTTGGGATATATCAGGTTTTTTTGAGCGTTAGGCAACTTTCAGCTAATCGCATTGTTTTACCCTCCCAAAGACCTTTTGATTGTAAAACTTCAATAATGATATATAACTAACTATAGGTGGTACATAACTTAAACTAGAAACACCAATGTAAAACAAAAATTAAACATGCGAACTCAGATAATTATCAAATTATCATTCGCAACAATAAGTGATGATGAATAAAGAATACTTTTTATATCAATAATATATTTAAAAAAAACTGCGTGAGCACAACAAAAATTGTTTATTAAACGTATCACCCTGAAGGGGAATACTATATATTCACTTAAAAAATTCTACACATCCTTGGAAAAGGTAAACAAACCGCTTTGAGCAAACACAGATAAAACGTCCAAAAGAAGATCCTTTGACTTGGGTGAGATTGACCAATTGATTCCACGAAGTATGCTCACAGGATGAATAAAAATACTACTAACTTTGGATTTACACTTTTACATCGATAAAATGAAAATCATACTGTTTATTTGGATTATTTGGACATAAAAGATATTCGGAGTTTATTTATGTCTGTTTTCCACTGTATAAGTTAAAATTTTTATTTTTATTACAAGGGGAGGTTATGGACTTGGGATCACCGATTTCAATGAAACTTTTGTTTGATACTGGGTCGAAAAATATTAGGCAGGTAAGGAATTTTTGGAAACACAACGATGTAGAAATTTAACGCAGCACTCAATTTTTCTACATTAATTACAGGTAGAAGCTATCGTAGTCAAAATAAACAATAAATAATGCTTTGTTTACTTTGCACAAAAAGTAGCATTGTGCTCTTCCATTCTGCTTCACCTGAAGATCACATTTAGTTAACATTTTTCCTTCGTTAATTTCATTTGATATTTTTCTTATTCTTAAAGCTATTTTGCAAGCAAGGCATTTGCATGAGCATGACAGTGCCAGAGTCATAACATTATTAGAGGAAGTTGCCAGGAGACTGAGTGTAAATCACTCTACGGTAGGAACGGTTCTTCGGCGCTTCAGAGATTCACACTCGAAGGCCAGGACAGGATAGACCTAAGTCTACAGACGAGAGAGACGATAGATATATCTTTCTCTACGGAACCGCAGCATTACGGGAAATGAGATAAGAAATCTGATAAGACAAGTCCGAAATGTTTCGATTTCCTCCAGGAATGTAAGAAGACGGCATATTGGAAATAACCTCAGGGCTCGTGGACCTATTCTTTCGCCTGAAAAGAAAATGGCAATGGCTAAAATACATTAAAATTTACGTGTGGTTTTATTTGTCCATCAGGTATTAGAAAAAATAATTAAAATAATATATTTCTCGGCCCTTAGGTCCATTGGCAAGAATGCTCGGGCACGTGTTTAAAATATTTTTCGACCTATCATCACTAAAAAAAGTTTTATTGAAATCGGTGATTTGTCGTTCGTAGCCTTCCCTTGTTTGTTAAAAAGTAGATTGACCAATTGGTTCCACTTTATCGAACCTGGTTCTTCAGCTCAAAGAAGTGACCACTCCATTAGACAATCTGGCCTTCGATGGTTGCTACCACTGGTGAGCAAGTATGGAGAGAAATTGGAAGACAAAAGAAAAAAAATTGTATCTGGGACAGGGCAGGTTGACTAGAGCTCGGCTACTTTGCCTTCTGGGCTTGATTAATTACCAAAGTAACACTTGCTCAATACGCACGTAAAGCATGGCTTCGCAGATATGAACTTATACATTTCAACTTTTAAAAATGAGTTTCTCGCCTAGAAAGAAAATATATATAAGTTTATTTTTATATAATTTTTTTTAATTATATAAAATTGGTAATATCTTGGATCATAGTTGTACCATTGTAAATATGGTATTTTCATTGTTTTCCTTATATCAACAAGCCTTGAATTTTCCTGTCTTTGGTTGTTGTTTTGCTTTGGTTTTTATATGGCAAATTTTAGCTTGACTTACGCCAGACTGTCTTTTCCATGACGTTATAGCACGCTAAAAAAATCTATACTACTGTAAAATGTTGCAATAATAAGTAGTAGTTAGTAAAATTAGTGGGGGGCGTCGACACGGCGCCCATCACTGCAAGGTAATGGTCCCGGGTTCGAATCCAGCGGCCCTGCATTCGAACCCGACATACTTACAAATGGGCTTTTTCTTCAAAAACTCTGGCACCCCGAGGGTTGATATAACTCTGCTGTTGCGAACACTCGTAAAAAATAAATAATAGTACAATTAGTGATAAAATTAGAAGTTAACTCCCAATATGAACCCAAACTCTTATATCCTTAGATTTCGTAAAATCAGAGTAGTCACATCAATGTAAAAAGTTAATACACATTTTTTATGCAAAAGGCACACAGTTTATTTATTTATAATTTCTACTGTAAATGTTCCGCTAAAAGATTTTTTTTAAATGAATTTTAGACTCGTGTCTGAGCTTTCTGGTCAATAGGTTCTTTGAAGCGGAAAATTTAAGTGATATACATGATGTTTTTTTAATATACTTTTCTGCCTGTATTGTGCATGTATTTTGTTATTTCCCAAGTTGCATCTGAGTGAAAAAATTCTTGCTGTAACTGACGAGGTTGATATGAAACATGGCACATATTTTATCCACTGTTGGATGCGGATTACCCTGTATAATATCAAATTAATAGGTTTATAGTGAAGAAGTAAATGTATACTTTTAAAATGTCATCTTTTCGAAAAATATATTGTTGAAATTATTTTAAACCACATTTTATAACTTGTTAAAAAAAAATTAATACACTCACCGCTTACTTGGCAGGAGAATTCACTAGTTAGGTAGCTGTTCTGAATTAAAAAAAGGCAAAGGTAACTGACGAACAGGCACGACAAATGACACATAAGTGTCTTACCATGGAGGTTTCTCAAGTTTGGAAGGCACGCGTAAACCATGAGTGTGAGGAGTACGAAGAAACACGATATGGCCATGGACCAAGCGTTAAATTCGAATACGAAAGATTCTTCATCTTGCTCGGGAAAACAGCCGAATAGGAAAACCCCGAAGAAATCATCACGGTCCGCGTGTTCCAGGCAAAATTGGTCCCACCCGGAAGGATCTCCGTCTACGAAAGGCCCCTCTCTAAATAACACTAAAGACGTGTTGTCGACTATAAACTGGGAATTACAATCCATCGGGTAGTAAAAAATCGCCGGTATGGAGTATTCCTGGGGTAAAAGTAAACCGTCGGATTGGTTGTAAACTCTCAAGGGGTTAATTGTGGCGTTTGAGGGTGCGCAATCTCTTCCGACTTTCGATTCCCCTTCGGGACAGCACTTTCTCAAGCAGAACTTCTCTCCGTCGGGGTAACAGGTCAATCCCGCCAAAAAGCAAGACCTCACGACAAGAAGATCCCTCGCATCTGCCAAGTCGACGCAAACTTCGTCAGGGTTGAATCTCATTTCTGGATAATCCGACATGTTGAGGACGATGGACTCGCTCTCCTCGCGCCTCACCCGGTCGAACGGCAAGGTGTAATCTGCGAGAACGTAATTCACAGGGCAGACCGGAGCCCCGACGTTGATATCCACAACACCTTCGAACCCCGCCATCATCAGGTTGATAAAATCATTCGGCCACTCGACGTCCACGTCGTCCTCGCCCCAGCAGGACTGCAGCGCGGTGTCGTACGTCCTATACAACGGGCAGCATTTTTTCACGTAATTTATAGGAGGGACTCTAAACAATGGTTCGTCGTTTTTATCACATATGAACATTTTGTAAGAATCCGTGTCCGTGGAGTAGTCGATACAGGACGCCCAACCGCCTTCTTGGGCGTAAGACACCGTGAAATTGCAATCGGGGATACCGTACGTAAAATTCATGTAATACCAACGATGGCCTGACGGCACGCATTCGTTCTCTCGGTTCAGAGAATGCATTTGATCGCAACATTTTCTGACAGCATGATTGTTAGCGAGTGCCCGAGGGAAAACGAGAATCACCGCGAAGACTATCACAACCATGGCAGAAAGCTGACTGACGGACAACTAAGGCTCTCTCTATTATTAGCCAACCCCACTTTCCACCTACCTTCCCACCCTTAAAGTCAAACAAAAATTGTTTACTTTACTCCTTTTTTGCGGGCTGTACGGACTTACATATAAATTTTCTAATGTGCCTTTAACATACATAAATAGGCAACTTTGGAGTTATCCTATCCTATTCTTTATCGTAATATTTACACAAATTTAATTATTTTTTTAATTCGATCAGTGTCTTTAAAAAATGGCTACCGTGAAAACTGTAAGAAATAAATTACCGGAATAAATTCGACTAAGATATCCAACGTACTTTCAACTGCAAGGCCGTTACATAATCTTAAATCATTTTACTGTACTTAATATTTGTACAAGGTCTTAAAGTTGTCAATAGGGAAAAAAGATTTGTCGACGAATATTGTTCATCGTATTCCCAAGTCAGTGTCAACAACCTTACGATCTAACTGTTGGTCTTTTTTTAATTGCCTTTACGATTTGCCGGTGTTTGTTTATTTAAGATTACAATAAAAATAATAATAATAAACGAATCTCATAGGGTTTTTAATGCCCTTTTCATTGATGTAATCTTTTTACATTAGGGTTAACATTTTATGAGATACGAGGTACTTTATGGAATAAAGTTGTGAAAGGTTGAAGTAATACAAAAAGTGAAATATCTCGAATACAATTGAGAAATAGACTTTAGACTTTGGACAGAAGGGACTTTTTAGTACAATATGACATGAAGACCTCCTGAAGTATTGACGTCTGCTCATGATTCACTCCGTATATTACAATTGTTGTCAAATATTTTAAACAAATTGTATAATATAATTATTCATTTTGAGACGTATTGTGTTTTACATTTTAATACACTGTCTCCCTTAATTTCAGCACTCTCTTATTTATTTAAATATTTATATTATCAGATTTTCGTGATTATTGTTAACCTGGAGCTCTTCTATGATATTCAGATGACTCATTGATAGAAATAGTACGTTAATGAGCATAAAGGGGCCTAACTATGAGCATCATATGATCTGGGATCTACAACAACCAATTTGCAAGCCGAATTAATAGTCACAGAAACAGACACTGGCTGCCTCAAAACAACGCATACCACCACATCCGTTTTGTGGCATGTACAAGAACCAAAGAACTGAAATCTTCAGATATTAGTGAATACAACAAATACTGGGACATGCCTCAGTAAAACGCCACTTTTATTCATTATGAAGGGAGACCAGAGTCGGATCAGCTATGCGGATCTAACACACAGCCACCTTCTGGGTCAAAACCCGCATAGAGAGTTGCTCAGTCTTTCAAATTTGGTGGAATAGTGCCATGCCTTTACCCCTTACATGCAGCGATTAGGCAGACCCCTGACTAAATGGTCAATCGTTGGATCCTCTGTTCCATTTCTTCCGGAAGTGCGCCAAAAAACCTAATTTAATATTGTTATTGTATCAAAACAAGTGTTTTACATTGCTGTTAAAGAATTACTCCTTTGTATCGCACTTTTCAATTTTAGACATTTCATATCTTTATATATATAAAGTGTGAGGTTTTTGTGCCGATAAACAGCTGAGGTTATCAACGGCCCTCTGCGTGTTTCCTTTTTTTTGTCTTTCACGCGTGTTTTTTTGTTTTAAATTGCAGCCATTTGAGCGTCTCGATCTGGTTACTGACTCTCTGCTTTTATATGTGTATACGTTGATATCCCAAAATGCTAGCCTCTTGTTTGTACCTCAGGTCATCAACAACAGAATGCACACAAAACCTACAATACATAAATACATCACCACAATCATAAAAGTCTGGTCGCATTCACTCCCCCACGGCACTCGATATTCCTCGGGGTGGGGTTGAACTTGCTCCGTTCTCGCTAATAATTTACTTTTACTCCCCAGACGTCCCACACTCGGCCCCAGAATTATCGTAATTAATTAACGTAAACAGCGCAGCATCCATGGCTATTTGCTTTATTTGCAATAAAACTGTCAGCAAGGATGACAAAAAGTCTATCCGGTGCTCTGCTTGCATGGGCCTGCTACATGGAAGGTGTGTAAATTTCACTGAGGATGATATCGTATCGTTAAATCGCTGCAAAAACAATGGCGTTGTCCACCGTGCTCGAGCTCCAACAGGAAACTCTCACCCACGAAGCGGTCGGTATGCTCTCCGCCGATCAACAATCCTGCCAGCATTACTGATACCATTTCTATTCTTGAGGCACTCACCCTTCTAACCCAAGAAATTTCCGAGATCAAGGCCTCCATCAGTGGTGTCGACAGTATTAAGGTGGACATCAGGGAAATTAAATCTACTCTCGATAAGCAAGCCGCATTGTCGTTTGAAAACTCTGATCGTCTAACGAAGATTGAGGAACACCTCGAAACATCGAAGAAGATGTTCCAGGAACTCTCTCAAGAAAACTGCAACCTGAAAACTCGAATTTTTGAACTCGAAGCCCGTCTCAACCACTCGGAACAACTCTCTAAATGCAGATCGGTTGAGACACGAGGGATACCGGTCAGCCCAGGCGAATTCCCGTCTTCACTCGTGTCTCAAATTGGGTCGCGGCTGGGACTGAACTTAAGCCCTACCGATATTGATATGGTCGAACGCTTGAGACCTCGAAAAGATGATCCCCGTCCTCCCAGCATAATTGCGCGCTTCATGAGACAAACGTAAGGGACGAGCTGATCCGTCTCCGGAGGATCAAAAGGGACTTCTCCACCAGACACATAGGATGGGAAAGCACGGTGAACCACCCCATCTATATCAGCGAGGATATGACTTCCACAATTAAACACTATATTGGCTGGCTAGACAGTGTACGGCAGCTGGGAAGCTGAAATATGTTTGTCTTTCCAATGGTCAAATCCGATGCCGAAAAGGAGACGGGCAGCCGGTGTTCATCATCAGCAAGCCCTCGGACCTAGACTGCTTCCGCTGACTCCCTGGCCCTCGTCACCATCCTGATGTCATCCACTTTTCCACAGTTCCAGCCTGCCTCCGACTTCTTATCGCCTGCTTTTATTCTTCATTTCTTAATTTTTAATTTTATTATTATTATTTGTACTTACGTTTTGATCTTTAATCTCAAACTTATGTTTTTCTTATTTTTACTTCTTTTCTTTCCTGAATCTCTGTTGTTTTGTTTTCTCCTAACTTTACCCGTCTTCGTGATTTGTAAAGGTCTGTCAACAATGACTATTGTTTAACGGTCTGTTATGTCAACGCCCAGTCCCTCCCTGCCCATTATGATGAATTCCTTGTACATTTCACTGATAACTTCTACCACATAATTGCTGTCTCCGAGACTTGGCTTAAACCAACCGTCCCTTCCTACTCCGTATCCTTGCCTAACTATTCCCTTCTCCGGCACGATAGGCTAGTCCGGACCGGCGGCGGTGTTTGCTTATTTGTCCACAACAGTCTACAACGTCGCATCCTTGAAACATCCCCAATCCTCGAATCTCCCCTTATAGATTTCATTTTTGGTGAAATATCTCTCCTTTTCCACCGTATCCTTTTTGTAGTTGTTTACCGACCCCCTCAGGTTCCATTCCCTAATTACTTCCTTTCCACCTTATACAACTCTCCTTTCTATATTCCAACGTGATCATCACAGGTGACTTCAACGCGAATTATTCCTCTGCCTCCTACGACAAAGACTCCTTGAAAACCTATGGTTCTCCCTTAATCTCTCATGTATTCCATTTAATCCCACACATCACACTGCTTCTGTATCCACCTGGCTCGATCTTATGGTTGTGGATTCTGCCGATAAAATTCTATCCTCCTCCCAATACCATATCTCCTTTCTCTCCTCCCACGACTTGATTCAAATCACATATAATATTCCTACCCCATGTCCCGCACCCAAAACCATAAGGTTCCGTCAACGTAATACCCTTTCATTCGAGGTTTTTAGGTCAGATCTGGAGTCGGTCGAGTGGGCCAACGTTTTCCTTGGCTCATCCATCGATTCCATGGGACCTCCAATCCCCTCAATATCCTTAACAAACATGCCCCCCTAAAACCCCACACTATCCGTCGACCTCCTGCTCCCTGGTTAAACGACGAAATTAGAGCCCTAATTAAAAGGCGGGAAGCGGCAAGAAGGCGCTTTCGTCGAACCAAACTTCCTGAAGACCACTCTTCCTTCCAAGCCCTTCGCAATAAAACCCAATCCTATATCCGTCGTGCCAAAGCCCTTCATTGCCAAGAGGCAATCTCCACCACTCCTGATCCTAGAAGCAAAATGGAAGCTCCTTCAGAACATTGGCATAGGTCGCTCATCTAACTCACCATCTTCCTATCCGTTCTCCCCTAATGAATTAAACACCCACTTTGTCTCGCCCAACTCTTCTTCATCAACGCCTGTCCCCATATACGCTCCCTCTGGACCCTCATTCAGTTCGTCAAACTTCCATTTCTCCTATCTAACCCCAACCGAAGTCCTCGAGGCCAGAACCAAATCCCACTCCAAGGCCATTGGAGTCGATGGCATCCCTATCCATTTTCTTAAACTCTGCCTCCCAATATTACTCCCTGTTCTAGTTCTCATCTATAACTACTCACTCCAAAACTCTGTTTTTCCGACAGCCTGGCAAAAAGCCCTTGTCCACCCTGTCAATAAAGCCCCCAACCCATCCTCCCCTACAGACTACAGTCCCATTTCCATCCTCTCAAACCTGTCCAAGCCCCTAGAAAGATTAGTCCAAGCACAAGTCTCCAGGCACCTTGAACAGTCCCATCTTCTCAACCCCCTCCAATCTGGCTTCCGCCAAGGTTATTCCACCCAATCAGCACTAATAAAAATTACCAGTGACCTCCACTTAGCAATGGACCAACTGAAAGTTACTATACTTGTCCTTTTTGATTTTTCCAAAGCCTTCGATTCTGTCCCTCACTCTTCTCTCCTCTCTAAACTCGAATCTTTTTCCTTCACTTTCAGCACCATCCATTGGTTCCACTCCTACCTTACCAATCGCCACCAAGCTGTCTCCCTTCCCAATAGTCCTATAAAATCTGGGGTGCCCCAAGGCTCTATCATCTCTCCTATCCTTTTTTCCATTTATATCAATTATCTGCCTGACTCCATCCAGTCCTGTAACTATCACCTATATGCCGATGACTCCCAAATTTACATATCCTTCCACCCTTCTGATCTTCACTCGGCCATTCTCAAGATCCAAAAAGACCTAAACTCCATTAACGAATGGGTACATAAAAATTCCCTAGTCCTCAATCCGTCCAAATCCACCGCCATAATTATCGGGCCCAGGCAACTCCTCAATTCCTTCCCCAGCATCCCACCTCTCATGCTAAATAACCATCCCATCCCCTTCTGCTCTTCGGTTAAAAACCTAGGAGTAGTCTTTGACCAAAACCTTTCCTGGCATTCTCACGTTTCCCAAATTTCCCGCCATTGCATTGCCTCCCTCATCCTGTTTCGTCGGTCCTGGCTTCTCTTACCTTTCTCCACCCGCAAACTCCTTGTATCTTCCTTTCTTCGATTATAGCTGTGTGGCATATGCGCGATTGAAACGTATTATGAAGTGTTGTGTAAGAATTGTGTACGACACCCCACAGGGATCCCGGGTGTCGGGGTTGTATTCCCAACTTTCCTGGTTATTCCCCTCCTTCCGTGCACAGTATTTCCTAGGTTGCTTTCTTTTCCAGTCCATCCACACTCGTCGTCCTCCTTACATCATCCAATCCCTCCAATTCAACTCCTCACATCTCACTCGTAAGACCCGCTCATCCCCAATCGACCTTATCCTTCCGCAACATACAACCCATACCTTCGAAAGATCCTTTCTGATCCGAGCCCCTAAACTCTGGAACTCCCTTCCCCTTTCTATTCGTCACGCTGCCTCCTTTTCCTCCTTTAAATCCCACCTGTATAATCACCTCCTCTCCCTCCAAGCAGAGACCTCAAGTTAACATTTGTTATTTTTGTTTAATATTCTTGTAATTTTCTCTTCTGGCCTGCCTTACTGGTATACTTTGTGCCAAGATTTCTATCTTTTTTTACTTTTAATTTCATAGAAGGAACTTCCTTTATTTATTCATGTAAATTATTCTTAGGGGGACACCACTCCCAGAATGTTATTTCTCTTCTTCTTAAACACAGACACAACACAAACATACATAAACGCTGTACACATTTAAAAATTCATACAAATTTATATAAATTTCAAAAAAGTTCTGTGTCTGAACAGCAATCTGTGTCTGCTGGTGTGCCCCAGGAGTACTTTTATAACTTCCAAATTCATATTTATGTTTATTAAGTAAACTTGAATGCATTTAATTTATAAAATATTTTTATGCAAATTACTTCTAACTACTGGATTTAATTAAAAAAGAAAGGTTATCATGTACTATTAAAAACAATTGATACTTATAATGAAACCTCTGAGAAAACATTCGCACCTAATGTTGTGTGCATAATTGTAAGAGAAGATAAAAGTTAATTTAATAAAATACCTCATAATTTTCTTTGAAAAATGGTACTTTGTAGAAAAAGTTTTGTAAACAATTGTACCTGGATTAATTTATAAAATATGTTAAATAGATATTGAATTGTACAAATATGTTCATTAGATATTTTTTTCACTAAAAAGTGGTTAAATAATAAAGTATAAGAAAGGGGGGGGCTGCAATTTTGATATTTTTGAAAATAGAGAATTGTAAGAGCTGTTTTACATTTGTCCAACAATATTGTGCTAAAACCAAATAGTACATTTTTTAGTACAATTTAAAAAATCTAACTTTTTAAAATTGCATTGAAAAAACATGGGATCAAAATTAAATAAAATTATAAATTGATTGACATATGGATGAACAAGCTCTCAATTATTACATGTTTAGATTCCATGTGGTATTTTACATTATCTTTTGGGCTAATTCTTGCTTTGTGTTTTATTTACGGAAATGAAAATTAACCTACTTAAGTGCTTGCCAGGAAGAGTCGAAAACAGTTTGAACAAGAGGTATACACTTAAATAATTTCTCACGGACAAGCAGTGTGAGCCCAGTATCCAGGAATGAGGAGATAGCCTGTTGGTTGAGATTTATTATATCCTTATTATAAATCTTAGTTTCAAACCCTTACAAATCAGCTTTAAAAGTAAAGTGATTAATGTTCAATACACTAGATCCCCACACTCAACTGATGTCTGTAAGAGAGACATTTCGAAAATAAAATGTTTAAAACACATTTAAAACAATTATGACAAATACAAAAAATAATGTTATTACGAGACATACGATAATTTTTATAAATATTTTCTAAAATTAACCAGTGACTAAATGGTAAACAAAAAATGACTCTCTTTACAATAATTTTTTTATTTTCAATTTTACATAGATAAAAATAAAATTATATTGTCTAAAATAATTTAAGTTGTGCATATTTTTTTATACATAATAGATCACAGATTTTTACACATGTCAAGGCTGTTTAAAAAGACTCTTTATTCAATTCATAATCAACCTTTTTGTCAATTTGCTCCTCATCTATCGTGATCTAATAAAAATAAATAAATTATTGGCTGTTTCACATATTAGTAGTTATAATAAAAGTAATTTACCGTGTTTTTGAGTTGGTTGAACTTTTCATTTGTTTCCTCCTTTCCAAGCCTTTCCATGAATCTTTGGCGATACAGTAGAACTGTATCGATATGTGTTTTGTGTCTTAAAGCAATATCAAGAGCTCTATAAAGATCAATAATGTGTTAAAAATTAACTTCCTTTTGAAAAGAAAAATTTATACCTTTCCCAATTGTGTGTGTTGATATTTGACATGATTGCCCTAAACACAAGTCCATTTTGTAAGAGAAGAGTCTCTGCTTCTTGGATGTTACCACCTAACAGTGACATTTCCGCATTTTGAACTGCCCTTATTGGAATTTCCTAAAATTTACACATTTAAATATATATCTCGATTATGTAAATGTTTTTATAAGTGTATTTTTATTTACTCTAATATGCTGTATGTACAAAACTTTGTCATATTGGTTGATAGCTGCATAAGCAGCTTCAGCTGTTTCCAAATCTTTTGCCTGAGTCGCCATAACAGCGAGGCAAGCCCAAAGAGCATCGTCCTAAAACATTTTGTTATAACAGATCGTCATGAAGTTTGTAGGAGACACTGACTTTCACTAATCTACAGACACGCAGCGCATCTTTCCAAGATGATGACATAGCGTATCCATGTAAAATCGCAACGTAGGGAGAAATCCCGTTATTTATGAGAGCTCCATCTGACCTCCTTATGGCAACATGATTGCCTATAAAGCTCACGATACTCGGACGGTGACCAAACTCACTGAAATTTGATCAAACGTCAAACTTGTCAATTACTACAATCATTTACGCTCATTTCACCTTGATTCTTTTGTTACAGAAGTCCTCCTTGTTAATTTTTTATCAACAAACAATATATATGGGTAGTACCAAATTATTAAAGATGTGTCTTGAATTGCTGCTATTATGTTAAGATGAGAGTTCCATTTGAATGACTGTACGATGCTTCCTGTTTTAAAAGGTAATATAATTATAGTTGAGAAAAAAAATATTTATCTTACCAAGTTTGTCAATTTTCCTTGCAATAGACAGCCTCGGTTGGACAGTAGCGATGTAGAGGTCCCGTGGTCTATCAATGAATGCGATAAGTCGATCTAAAGCATTACCACCATGACTCAAGCCAATTTCAACCAAAGCATTTGGGTGCTGCAAAGATGGGCCTAGCTCTTTTCCGTTTATGTCAAAAAGCTGAATCACTGTAAAATCAGAGTGTAATCATTACTCTATAAATGGCGATAACGTTGAAATCTGTACCTCTTTCATCGGCTTGATCGCGCACAGCAAGAGAATCAGGCCCCAATGAAATGTGCAGAGGATTCAGGATGCTAGGATTCAAGCTGGCCCATCTCGGCGAGGAAAGTAACCTTCCTTCGTAGCTATACAAGTTAATGCTCGTTCTCTCAACCAACAAAAACTGTCTAAGTTCAAAAGTTTCTAAATATGGTAAGGTGTTATGCTTTTCAAAATATGCAATAATAATTGAAAATTCAATTTTACTTTTCAGCGAGCAGAACGATTGAAACCGATCCTTCTCTCAGGTCCATTACGATCGGTGTGTTCAAGTTGTTAGTCGAGTAAATGTAGAATTGGGTTGTTGTAATGACCACAAGATGCTTGTAAGCAAGGGCGAGGTGAATCACTCTCTCAGGAAACTCAATCGTGTCCTCACCTGTCTGAGCCACATTATTAACGACAATTGTCTTCCTTCTTGTAGCCACTGCTTCAAACTGGCCCCATTCTACTTTTCTAAAAGTAAACAGTTTTGTTTAGTGATTTGCTTGAACTAATTCGCAGGAATTGCATCTCACCTGCCAATAACATGGGCCAACAAGAGTTTGTTATTAGCACATCCTGCAGCTAACTGGGTACCATCGGCCGACCAAGCAATGCTGTACAAACTACCAGTTGAGGGCTTCTCTAAACAGTGTGACCACTAAAATAATTAAATAACATTTCAAAATTCAAATTTTATATATATTTATTATATCCATATATAGATATAGATATTTAGCATGTTAGTTTTATGTGTAGCACTTGATAAAACATATTTATGTGCATCCTACTTATCCCACATATTAACTCTTCACTCAGACCTAAGCCATCCCACCCATTACGCCCCTCTAAACCGTTCACTCCATCAGAGATCCGTATACAACTCAGTCCTTACAACTACTTACTGCCCATTCAATTGGAAACTGGCCCAACAATGGCCATTGATTTGCTGTCGTTACTTTACAGAATCATTGAAAAACTCCTGAAACACAATATCCCGTCTTTTGAAATCTTCATTGTCATTCCATCCCATCAATCTGGTTCTGGCAATGTCTCTCTGCCATTCAGAAGGAACACTACACCAGGGAAATAAAACGGCTAGGGATAAATTCCCAGAAGATAGTCATCTTCTCTAACAGTCAGGAGCTATAAAGGCCCTAGTCTTATGCGAGGAGAAGGCAAAGAGTTGGAACTGCACGGAGTCCTTGACGGAAGTCAGTGACACTAAGGACCTGATCGTGGCATGGGCCCCTGTGGTTCGGGGCATAGAGGCAACGAAAAGGATGACATGTTGACCAATAAAGGAGCCAACATGGACTGTGCCATGAACTCCTGCCACAAGAGAGGATACATCTTAAAATGGATCCTTAATGAGTCCAAAACCTGGTATAAGGCAGGAGAAGAGATTCATAGAAGGACCATTTGCAAAACCTACAAAAGAATTATTGGGAGGCAATGGCAATCGAACCAGGATTCTGGTTGGACTCCTAGCACCCTTAAGAAAACACATGCACCGTATAAGAGTACAGACAGTAGAAACACTGTGCAGTTACTGCCAGGAAGAGGAGGTGATCATAGAACACGTTTCTATGAAGGTCTATGTAGGTGCAAGTTCTTGCAACTAGGACAAGAAAAACTGCAAGCAAGATCACTAAGCTCTGGCAAAGCTATGAGGCTGATTAACAACCTGAAGCTGGCCAGTGAGTTATAAAAACAGGGGTGCACAACAGATCTATTCAGGTCAAGGTGTAGAAGACCTTGTGAACTCCTCTTTTATCCCTATCCACACCATTCAACAGTGCCACTGGGCCCCCCTCCAGGAATGCCGCTTGGGTTCTTTGTTAGAAACGTACAGGACCATCTCTCCTGTTTGGAAGAACGGTTCAAGAAATGGAAGATCACTCAATAAAACCAAATCTCAGCAAATAAACTTTACCCCTCACCATATCACCTCTTTCCCCTGACTACTACAACTCCATTCCTCTCCAAGCAACCAATGTCGTCTTGGAAGATTTGGAACCTCCTCACTCGATTAAAAAGAATAAAACTGAACAGACAATTTACTCAAACTACAACCAATCTGGTCGAAATCAAACTGTGGGGTTCACCCAAGCTTTTCAACTTCGAAAGAAAGACTCTCCAGTCCATAATCCTTTGAACCATTGCCCAAGATCCCTACTGCATAACAAGCCTTACTAGTACACCGATATTCAAATACCTTTGTCCTCGGACCGCAGAAGGCTCCTTAAATCCCAGAAGCATCATCCCAAATGCTTCTAGATTATCCACTAAAGTGCCATTGATCAAGGAATGTAATTAATAGATTACATGTATTGTACATACAAAATTACATAGATTACACAATAATGCTGCTTGTAGCACCCTAGCACTGTAGTAACATAATAATTTTTAAAAAAATTGTTTGATCATCCTATCGTTCTTGACCGCCTATTCACACTGGTTTTATATGTCAAAAATGCTGGACATTCTTCAGTGAAGATAATCCATGTGCTATATTGTTGGTTTTATCCTTTTTATAAATTTGTAAAATTGATGGAGAGATGTGAGACCCTCTTATCACAATGTTTCTCAATATGTATTTATATTATTGAAGGTTATGTTTAATTTTCATCTATATATTTTCCCGCTTTTAACAAATTTGAAATTTATAATGCTACATAACATGTTATAGCATTAAACATAATACTTTTGAAAATACAATATCATTTACTAGTACATTTACAGATTTGTAGTGAGGTCTGTGAATTAATGTGAAAATGTGAAAAGGCTTGCTCGGGTGTTTCCGATATTCTAATCTGCCATTTCTCGTTATTTTCCTCTGACTGATGCATTCGGGCCTTACATCTTTAATAGTTGATCAAGCTACAGTTTAAATGTACTATCAAAATTATAAAAAGTACACCATGTTTGGCAATTATTGCACTGTAATTTTGGTCCAATATTTAAAAAAATCAACACCCCTTAATTAAACATTAATTTTAATTGTCTTCTAATTTATTCAGTTTAGAAATAGCTGGAGTATAAACAGAGTAAGATTGTGTACCCAAGAAAACAAGACATAAACATTTTGTCTCCAGGACTGTCGTCAATCCGAAGAACAACAAAAACAACTTTGACAAATAAACACACAAACAAAAGTTTCTAAAATTGATTATTTTTATTTATAAAACTTTTAAACATTTAATTGTAAGGGGTTAAAAGTTTTATTTTCAAATAAATGTTAAAATGTCATGCTTAATGTTTAAAAAAAATAAAAATAAAGTTTTGTCTTACATTACCCCTGATTTATCACATAGACGCAACGTGTTAAAAGATCCGACAGCAAACAGTTCACCACTTGGTGACCAAGCCAATGAAGTTATCGGATGCTCATGAAGCATGCTTGAAAATAACAAAGCTCCAAAACTGTCCCATACCTAAAAAACAAATTTTGTCAAAAAAAAGTTCAATTTTTGCACTTTATTATTAAGCAAATTTACTTTGTATCGACAATCTTCTCCTCCAGATATAATTCGGCCATTAACATAATCCCAGGCAACTTTTAGAATAAGACCTTCATGAGCTTTCCACTAAATATGGATCAAAATAAGTAAAATATAAAAACTTTCAATCATTCTACTGACTCTGTTTGCTTTTGTGTTGGCCGCCAAAGGTTTGATGACTAAATGTTTCCCCTGGGTGTAAATAACTAGTAAAGAATCAGCACTCCAACAAGCACTATAAATCGGTACACCTCCGCTTTGCACTGCCAGAGACCTCAGCATACCACTTCTCGACCAAATTTTCAGAAAGCCGTCCTCACCACCTTTACAGAAAAGGAAGCGGTGAAAAAAATTCACAATTATTTTCATAATTGTCATTACTTGTCAAAAGGCTGGATCCATCCGGGCTCCACTGACCTACAAGTACTGCGCCTTTGTGCGCTTCTACGCTCTTTTCAATACGACCGCTTTTTCCAACAAGGTGGAACTTGCCTGGAAACAGTTTTCGAAAACTTTACTTTCTCATCCCACTCAGATATTGTTTCATCGGTTTACCATCAGATGATGTTATTAATAGCTGGTCTTGACCTTGTTTCCTTATACTCGGGTTTCTTGAGAATGAATGGAAATCGATCGGATACACATCACTTGGGAGCTCACATATTTTTTGGGAATCTGTGGTTACTAAATTCCATTTCATTAACAAATGATCATCCCTGAAATAATCTTATTTGTAGGAATAAAAATAATGTGGAAACATAAATTTCTGTTTTTTTTAGCATTATAGAAAATATGTAAAATGTCTTCAGTGTTTATTTTGACTGCATTGATACACAAAACACTGAGAATTCTTTGATATATTGTACCTCCGGCAAAAATCTTTGCAAATGAAAAATAATAGAATGAAACACTTTTTAGCGTCTTACCCACAAGACATCACTTCATCCGTGTTATTCCAAGAAACGCAGCAGACTGTGTCTTTGTGTTCAGCATCTTTTGGAAAAGAAAGTTTCAACTGCATTCTGTATTATTTAAGTCCCAGAAAATGGATAAAATGTTGGTTAACAATAAAACTAGTATAAATATTGCCATATGCTTCACTCATCCACTGTGCACAACTGTTCATGACAACTGTGTTGCCAAGGCAACACTTCTACAAAACATTTCACGCTGTGCAGGAGTTTTTTTAAAAGAGTAATAATAATATATTTTACACAATTAATCCAATTTACAAAATGAGTTTAAATAAGAAATATACAATATGAAAGCAAAAATAAGAAAACAAAATAAAAAATTACTCAAGTATCAAACAATATATATAGTAAGAAAATTAAAATAATGTACTAAATAAATATCCCTAAAAAAGATGACATTTATCATTGTTAATTTAATTTTTTTAAATGTCATTGTAAAATAATATATTTTAAAATATTATATAAATAATATTAGAAAACAATTGTATAAAATTATATTGATTAAATAAATAAAAATGAGTATTTTGTGCATATTCAGTTGAATTTATTCAATAAAAAATTTAATTATAAATAATATAAACTTAAATATGGAAATATATACATACATATACAGAAGGACAAGTTAAATCATTTAAATGAAAAACATTGTTATAGAAATAATGAAAGATAATTTAACTTAAAATTCGACATAATAATTCAAGATTTAACATGTCTGCACCTTTGACTGTAGAATGAAGAAAAAGAAAAAAAGAAAAATTGTGAGATTTGGAAAGTTATTGGCAAATGCATCTTTCTGTCAATAGGAGTATTTTTACTATAGTTTGTAGAATGGTAGAAAATGTGAACAATCTTGCCTAGACAAGTAGCTCGGTACAGAAAAGTTAATTTGACTGTCAATATAGTAGTTAATTATTTTGAAAAGAATAATAAATCAGACCAGAGTCTCTCTTGTCTCCAGGGGAAGTAAATTGAAGCACTGATCAAATTGTCAGTAGTAGTTGCATAGGCAAGATTTCTGAGAAATTAAAATTGTACACATTGAAGTTTATAAACAGATTTCACAGTGTAGCAATTCCAAACAGGAGAACAGTATTCAAACACTGATCTTACAAGCAATATGTAAAGAGTGATCAAGACATTTGGGTTGAGATCAGAAGAGTAACAGGGTAAAACAACCCAACATTTTTAAACTAGAAGATTTAATGCAATCAATATAGGCAAAAAAATTAATTTGCGGTCAAAAATAACACCGAGGTCTTTAGAAGTTTACAGAACAATAAAAAAAATATTTGTATTATGGTTATTATTTATGATTTTTTAAAAAAGAAAACCCCTAGGAAAAAAAACATTTAACTATAATTTTAATTTTAATTTACAGAACTTTAGAAAACCGTGTAAAATTTTGTTATTTAACAAATTTCCCTATCTAATAAATATTACATTATATTATAATTAGGATTTTTTTTTTCAAAACTGCTCAAAGTATATAAAAACACTGAGATGTAAAAGTAAAAGAAAATTATATTCTGCTATCCAGCAGTGATTTTATGTCCAAACTTCCTTCCTATGTGTACAATCGATGGCTAGGACCAGGTAGGCAATTAAATATGTTTGCAATGTAAATTATTAACACGAACCCAAAGGAAATGTCACAAATCAAACCCATTACCACATAAGATAAAAGCAAAACCTATGATTTAAATACTAGTTGTTAAAAGTAAAAAAATAAATAATGAGTCACGCCTTTTGTTGTTCTAACTCTCACCATTACTCTTGAGTACAAAAAATATTATTAGCAGTATTAATGTTATTTTAAAAAGGAAGCCACATTCATTTAACAAGTCAAGACGTTAAAATTATTGAAAATTTATCTCTTTGCTGGGTCTCTGTGCACTCGTGTTGAGAGAACCAAAGAGATATTGCTGTTTTATGTATATATACATTGAATTTTGAAGAGGTGGGGAAGGAAGTCGGGATAGAAAGACATTTGTATATATATAAATTTTATATATATATATATATATACATATATAAAACATCAATATCTCACTGGCACTCTCAACACGACACACAAGAATGACACAACTACACAGAAAACAAACACTTTGGGTGAATACAAATACTTTGAATGAATCTAAAAATTTTTATTATTGTATAAATTTATTTTTTTTAATCTAAAATGTTCTAGCATTGTTTAAATTCACTTTTTCACATCCTAAATGTATTTGTAAAATTTAAGCAATGTTTATAAATCCCAGGCCCTGACGATGATCTCAATGAAGATCGGAACGTTGGCATGATAAAGAAAATGTTTTTCTAAAATCTACGTCACACCAGACTGCATCTCACGATCTCCAAATAATCATTTTATATTATGTAAATGTTGTTTAATGTAATTGTTTTTATTAATTGTAAACTGATTTTTATTAAACTGTTTGTTTTATACTTGTTATACTTTAATGTTATTTGTTTTATTAATTTGTTTGTTTTTATTTACAATTTGCACGTGTTATTTATTTTACTAGTTGTTTTATAGTGTAAGTTTTATTAGAATCGTCCATCATTAACTTAATCTGTCAAGTAATTTATATTTTTAATTGCCCATGTATTGTTATAGTGTAAATGTAAGTATAAATTATAACATTTAAGAAGTAAATTGTAAAAAAATTCAAATTTTTTATTAAGCACTTGCAAATACCTTTTACTTCATTGCTATTGATTTTGTGCACAGGATATTATTTTCCTTTGCAGAAAAAGCAAAAATTTACCGATTTACGAAAATTTATTTAAAGTTAGTCAAGACAGCCATACCGACAATCGAGTTGAAATGGATTAGGATGCAGGAAATCTACGGCCTCTGTGTTGAAAGGGTTAAATAAACAAAAAAACAGTTGAAAAAAGGTTAAAAATTAGGACAAGTAGAATTAAACATAAAAGCACTGATAACAATATTCCCTATTTTAATTGGATCTCTCCTTAGGGGATGAAATTGAAGTGTGACTTTAAGTTTTAATCCCCAGTAGGTTTAGTGGCTGTAGTCCATTGGTATATGGTCTCTCTCACAGACACTCTCTCTTTCTCTCTTGTGTACAGGGGGTGGAAAAAGTAGATATTCTTCTAATTCTCTTTCTTCAAATCAACCTTGATATCACTAATGGCAACCTGTGTATACATTATTGACATGTTAAACAAAAACAAATCTCAACTACAAAATAAATCTTTATTTATAAAATATTATTTACAAAATGAATACATTATTAAAATAATTTAAAAATGAGAGATATTTAAATAAAATATTGCAAGGAATGCTGATTTCTAACTGGATTCCTCAACGAACAGAGTATGAAAAAGAGAGCCAAGAGATGGCAGATTGCTTAGCATGATCAATCTCAACGTTTCCGTATATTGCTTCGGTGGTCTGGAAGTCGATGTGTCCCTCCACATATTGCCGTTTGCATCGCGTGTGAAGAGAGCCGGAGATGGTACATTGTCCCTCATGTAGTTCCAGACACAATCCCTTAAAATTTGAACAACCTAGAACGTGACAATCGTTAAAACGGAATGATATCAAGTTGAAGCAAGCAGAATAGAATTACATGTATTGGAAGGACGTAAGGGATTACATCTCCAAGAGCAGTCAAAGGAGGAGGTAGCAGTTGTCCCAAAGCCATTATCTGAAGTATTTTGACTGTTGTGTACACCAAGGCTTTGTTATGTCCTGGTCCGTGCCCTTGCTGACTCTCCGCAAACCACTGCCCTAACAGTGTTGCAATCTATAATTATAACTCATTTTAATTTCTACGATGAAAATTGAATATTTGTGTAAAAATGAAAAACATACAACTGCGCGCAGAATAACAGAACAGTAACACAATGCTGGTCTATGGTGAGCAATAAAAGCCAAAAGGGACCACACAACAGGGACGTTATCTAAAATTCTCCTAATGGACAAATCCCTTTCCACAGTAACCTTAAATAATTGAATTGAAAAAAAAGTACATTATTACTTTTATAATTTTTAATAAAAATTTAAGACAGACCTTACAGAAGTCTTCTTCTGGCCAGGGTAAACCATTATACATGACATCAGGTGAAATAAGCTCAACGAGTAGGAGAGCGACTGAAACCACAGCATCCCGTGATTCCTCGTTTGATTCGCCTGTACAACAAGCTTTTAAAACTGAAAGCAAAAGATTTGTGTTGTGTATGATATCTTCGTACGATGTTGGGCAGCTTGGGCTGGCTTTTCTCTTTCCGTTGCCGATAATTCCAGCGTGAAAAATTGATGAATGCCTCTGGCCCATTAAAGCAGTATGACCCTGGAAATTTATAGATAAGTTTGGTATGGTCTAATGGGAAAATAAAAAAAATAAAAAAAACCTGTACCTGTTTCATATTTTCTTCCATTAGACTGATTGTGGACTCAATAAGAGGAGGAGAGAAATGGGGCATGGCACCGAATAAAACTGAAGGTTTGCGGAATAAGGCTCCTTCTAAAATTTCCCTTAGGGCGAATATCCTTCGGCTTCCTGACTCCTGGCAGATCTTTTTTAATATCAAATTCACAGCCCGCAATCCCTTCATCTCTTCAATCCCTTCTAAAATGCAAAACAGCAAACCAAATAAATTTTATTTATACATTTTTATTTATAATTTTATTTATTATCTTGTGAAATATTTCCATTTGTCTGCAGAGTAATATACCTGAAATTTAGACATTACGGATCAGTTTGGTCTGTCCAGCCTCGCTGGGTCGATCTGTCAGACATATTTCAGCGTTTTGTCATCTTCTTTGTGTAATAGGCAGACCAAAATGATCGTAATGACAAAATTTTATATAAACATTAGCGTTTCAATTTACCTGAGTACACTAAGCACTTGTAAAAATAAGTGATAGTAGCTTGAATCACCGACTTGCTCAAAACAAAATGTGGTTGTTTCCGATACTCGGATATCGGCTTCCTTATTAGTTCAGTGATTGTATGTGCTATTGAAATGTCATTCTCATCGCACAATAAATTTGAGATAATTAGGAGATTGTCATAAACCGCCTCGAGTATAGGTAGAGAAATTAATGTACCGCTTGCCTCCCATCTAAAATTACAAGCAAAAATTAGACAAAGAAGACGAGTAAAGTTGATATTAGGATAAGTGCACAAGCATTTCATTTCCTTGCCAATCAAACATAGCATTAAAGATATCTCAGAAGCATAATTGAATCACTTCACATTATATGATGCTATAGTTTTTGTTTTATGAATTTTATCCACATTTCCTTTCACATTTGATCTTGAATTATTTCACCCTCCTTTATTATTTAGTGTAAAAGCTGGAGAGAAAGGATGATTACATTAGTACATACATCCCGTTTGAAATGTAACATCAAAGCATTTTTGCAATATTTTACTTTTGTACAGGAAAAAAACACCAAAAGCTAAAAAGAGTGAAGTGCTTAAAAGAAATACAGTACCAATATTTGTTTAATATATTTTTCACTTAATATTTGTGAGTGAACACTGTTTTTTTTTTTTTTTTAATTTTGGCATCAAACAATTATACAGCCATTTACAAAGAATATACACAATTTAAACAGTTCATATTATATTTTCACAGACACGTAATTTAAAAATTGTAGTATCAAGTTATACACTCTGGGATTCTGAATAGAGCTCTACTTTCAGTAGTCGGGTGTTCTACTCCTTCTTTCTCCAGATCCTGATAGAATTTATTTCTGGCTGACGGATTTTGGCTGCAGTGAAACATTATATGCATTAGGTCCTCCTTTACTCCACATGTGTCAGAATTTGGGTGTTGTTTTGTGCCAATCTTGTGAAGATACGCTGCACAGATGCCATGGTTTGTTCTTAACCGATGTATGGTGGTTATGTCTTTTTTTGCCGTGTCTAGTTTGTTAAACCATGGTATTGTTTTCACTAGTGGAAATAATGTTTTATAAGCCATTCCCTTATCCGAGGCCCAATATTTGAAAAAGGTCTGTATAAGGAATCCTTATGATTCTAAGGGTGAGTAACTGTGTGGCATTTTTTGCAAGTTTGTCGGCTGTTTCGTTGCCGTAGATGCCCGTATGTCCTTTAATCCACATGAAACAGACCTTTTTTTCTAAAGTGGAAAAGTTGTTGACAGGCTTTTTTATATCAGCTACAATATAATTCTTAATGTTAGTACATGAGTTTTGCAAGCACTGGATTGCACTGAGGCTGTCTGTGCAAATTATAATGTGATTCGTTGTAGGAAGGTAGAGTGTAAAGAAAGTTAACGCTGCCTTAATTGCTAATAATTCCGCCGAATAAATTGATATCTCTGCCAGCAGAGGAATTGATTCCCCTTTATTGATGCTAGGGCAGAACCAGGAGCATCCAACCTTACCAGACATGTAAACAGTTAAGTGGTCTTTAGGGAAAAGTTCTGAAGATCAGCAAGCACTTGTTAATTAACTGCTATGGGATTTGTCCGGAGTAGTCTCTTAGTACATAGCAATTAAGGGCGTTTCTAATTATTTTTAGCTCTGTAGAGAAAATTGGAGGGGTATCTCTTTGTTCGATTTTTTCTGGATATTTTGCCAGAGAGGTAAAACTCGTGGTAATCGGTGGAGGTTTTTTCTTTTGCCAATATTTTTTTGTTAGATTCATTATGGACAAATCACAGATGCACTGAGCAAGAGATGTTTTTTTCACCATTTGGCGTAACACAAACCGTACTGCCAGTTTTTCTCTTCTATGTGACAGCGGCTGATCGTTACATTCAGCTTTGATAACATCATTGGGGGTGCTCTTAAGAGACCCCAAACAAGTTTTGAGAGATTTGTGCTGTATGATGTCCAATTTCTTTAATTTTGATCTAGAAGCTTGTCCGTAATAAATTGATCCAAAGTCAATTATAGATCTAATTGTTGCTTTGTAGTAGAGTAAGCTGACTGTAGGATTAGCATATCCTGAAATACATTTCAGTGGATTATAAAATTTCTCTGCTTTGGTCTCAATTGCAGCAATATGGCCATTCCATGATAACTTATGATCCAATATTAATCCGAGAAATTTGACTTCATGGATCTTGTAAAATAACATATTTTTGATTTTTCTTCAGAAATATTTAATCCGTTGGTGTACGTCCAGTTCAGTAATTTTGTCACCACCAAATCCATGGCCTCTACTGCCGCTTCTGCTGATTTGTGAGTGGAGTAGACATATGTCATCCGCCAGTTGAATAATTTTAATATTTTTTGTTATTACATTTTCTACATCTGCAACGTATAGCAAATACAGCAGTGGGCTTAGTATTTCTCCTTGAGGCAATCCAATACTAGCTTTCCTCGGTCCAAGAGTGATGTCATTTATTTGGACATATATGTTCCTCTCTGAGACGAGAGTGATTGTGTTTTTAATAAATTTGATAGGTAAACCCATCTTTTGCATTTTTTTTGCTAGAATGAACAGATTGATGGAATCAAAGGCAGCTGATATGTCCAGAAACAATGCTAAAGTGCTTTGGTTATTCGTGAAACCTAGTTGTATGTCTGTGACTAGTATTCCATGGGCATCTGTGATTGAGTGTTCTTTTCTAAAGCCCGTTTGTGAGTTGGGCAGTTTTTTATTGCTTTCCAGCCACCATTACCATTCTTTTGAATGTCTTAAGCAGACAGGAAGTAAGAGATATAGGGTGGCATGAGTTGAAGTCTGATTAAGGCTTTCCAGGTTTCAGTATTGGCATTATTAATGTGTCCTTCCATTGTTCAGGAAACTGATCTTTTTCCCACAAATGGAGGGGTTAACTTGCTAAAGTGAGTTACTTGAGAAATGACTTCCTTTGAATTTCAAAGACTTACTTCTAATTCAGATGCTAGGGGGGGGGGGATTCTCTGTTGTCAACATGTTAAAAGACATTCTAGCCATCCAAATGAAGTTGAAGACATTCAAATCAAGGCAGTAATCAATGAAGATCAACATAATCTTGAAAAAAATCCCCCCCCTTTTTTACTTAGGAAATAATAAGGAAGGGGGTGTCGGTGGACACAACGGTTTAAACGTTGATTCAGCACTCATCATTGTAAGGTAAAGGCCACGGGTTTGAATCCAGTGACCCTGCCTTTGAACTTGACATGTTAAAGTTGTTGTTTTTTAACAAGGATATAAACCACTCCATTCACGCTAATAAATACATTTGTTCTAAGAAATAACACATAACTGTCACATACATAAAGGTCCAAAGATCTATATACAGTTTAAAATACTTATGGCTTTAAGATAATGGATTACAGAAAGTAATGTGATTTTGTTACAATAAATTAAAACAGATAAATTTGTAACAAGTTTTTATTTTTAATCAATGAGTAATATTTAGTGACTGTTAATTAATGATTATTTAGATATCATGAGATGTGGTCTGGTGTGATGTATGTTTAGAATAACATTTTCTTTATCATACCAATGTTTCAATCTTTATTGAGATCAGGGCCTGGGATTTATAAACATTGCTTACATTATACTAATACATATAATATATGAATATGAAATTATACAATGATGATGCCTACATAACACCAGACTGTATCTCACGATCTCTAAATAATAATTTTTAATCAATGACTCACCCTCGCAATCAACAACCTTTTGCCATCTAGTGTGCAAATTTTTAATGCCAGATCGATAAAAAGCAATTGGTTTTTCAGCAAAGTATCTAGAGATGGCTTTTTGTATATCATCCATGTTAAAAACATTTTTGCCACTTAGAAAATGTTATAGCAATTGGAATAAATGGAAATCAGATGGCCCAATATCAGATGAGTATGGAGGGGTGAGGCTTCTTACTCCAATTCATTAATTTTTTCCAGGGTTTGCCTTGTGCAGTGTGGTCTGGCATTATCTTGTTAATTGTCTTTTCTGTTGACATTCACTGGACGCTTTTCAATCAACGATGATTTACTCGATTGAATTGTTCACAGTAAAGGTCTGCATTCACAGTTTGTCCAGGTTTCAGCACTTCACAATGAGCAATCCCGTGGAATACTCCACCAAACACAAAAGCGCCTTTTTGCGGTGAAAACCTGGCTTAATTGTATGGCGTGGTGATTCATTTGTAAAGATCCTTTTGCATTTTGGATTATCAAAAGGGGGATTAAAAAATGATTCTGTATTGTGACGCTGAAGCAATAAGTTGCGTGTGGTGGACTGGTTAGCTTTGTTTTCTTTGGACAGACTAAATGGGACCCCAAACACCTGCTCTGCTTACACTTTACTAATCTGCTGCAAATGTTCATGGATAGTTGACCAATGTTGTTTAAGTGTAACAGCTATTCAATTGTCTGAAATGGATTTGCTTCCACTTCCGCCTTTAACATGTCACTGTCTAAAGTTGTTCCTTCCTGATTGATAGGGGTCAAAAAGATTTGAACTTAGCACCAACCACCTTTGCCATTTAAAAAGTGAAAAAGTTGCGATATAGTTAAAATTAAAAAGAAAATAAAGTTGGATATGTACCTCTTCTGGTATTTGGCTGACAAAAAAATTTAAAATCTAATTATTTATGAGTAAACAAGTCACTCTAACCTTAAAATGTCTTTGCATGACTTTGAAGTACACAATGAGCTGATAACAAACTAATACTGACATGGGCAGAAACGACATTATTTTCCGGTCCCCCGGTCCCCCCCCCCCCAAGACTTCTTTCTTTGTTCACTTATTTTGTTAGTTCTTTGTGGTTTGTTATTTTGTCCTCTACCAAATAATTTCTCCACATGTGGTTTCACTCTATTAAAAGGTGTCCGTGTTTGATCTGGGTATGACCTAGGCACAACCTGGTAAGTACGATGATTACCTGGTACTTATTAGTATTATTATTTTGTTTATTGCTTCCCTTGTGTGTGTGTGTGTGTGTGTGTTTTTAAGTATTATTTTTGGTTTTTCTTTACTTAATAAATCGAAAAGTCTACAACAGGGCAAAGATTTGCTTCAGGCAGTAGTACTTACTTGACTAATTTTGTTATATTGTCCCAAATTCTTGATTTATCTTCGACTTCTCTTTCTTTCAGCGCGTAAGTAATAGCTGGGCTAAGAACGTTGGAGCTTTTATAGCCGAGGGACAATTTAACAACAGAGGCTAGATGTTCATCGTCTTTTGATCTCAACAGTACATAAGCGACACACTGTGGTAAGATGGATGGCTGCTGTTGGCCTGTAAATCAGAACCCTTCATAATTTCTGTTTTTCTTTTAAGTACAATGATGAAAATACCAATGAACGAGATCATAGAAGATACAGCATTTATGTGAGATTTATTCTCGCTGAGAAGCAACGGAAAGATGTCCTCGATATTTTTCTGTATTGACTCTAAAAATGGCACTTTCGATGCATTCCCTTTTATGGCGATTTCAATTTCTTTAATTAGAAGCTCTGAAAATACAAGTCATTAGTTAGGACACAAACTAATTGAAAAGTTTGTCATACCGAGGACTTCTTCAGCTACGGAAGCGATTGTTGGATTGGAATCAGTCGTCGCATCAAGAATCAAGAAAAATATTTGATCAGCCCTTTCTGTCACTGAAAGTATGAGATGTATCAATAGGTCGAACAAAGATTGCCTTGATCCGGCACACTGGGACCATTCTTCACCAAATCGTTCCATCTTTCCATAAATTGGTGTCTTAACTGAAAAGAAATATTTAAAAAAAAATCATACAGTAAAATTATTAATAATTATTTTTTATAACAAGCTTACAGGCTTCAATGACAACTTGGACTAAAGCAGAAAGTAGTACAGAAGTTAAAGAGGACAGCTGTAAAAGATACGGTACTGTGCTTAACTTGTCAATCACCAAGTCCCTCTCCTCGATGACTTTTGGTACATTCAAACTGTCCTGTAAAAATTAAATGCGTTTAATGTATACAAACTTCCAAAGGGTTGAAAAAACATACCTTGAATAAAGTGAGCATAGATTGCTCGATAACATCCTGATAGCTACCGCTTAAATGCATTAAAATACCAATGATCGACTGGAACTTTGGTAGCTGATAAAATGGAAATGTTAGATAAATGATTTATATATTAACTCCAAATATATTTACATTTGTATTTAGTTTTTTAGTTATGTAATCCTGTAATCCGCATCTTAAAACCCTGGAAATGACCGCTTCTGGAAAGCGTGTTCCTATAAATGCAACTGCCCAGTCGAAATGTGGACTGTGTTTAACGCACGTGTCTAAAAACATAAATTTTAAAAATAAAAGTTCCTTTAACATCAACTGTTTTAAATAATAAGCACCTAAAAGGACATCTATGCAACCATCGCTCTCTTCACTCCCGATCAAATGTTTCAAACAGTTAATATTGAGGTCGATAAGAGTTCTTGTGGCTTTACAAGTAAGCCACTGGTGTAAGCTGTCGTTCAATGAGCCATTTACAGGAGAGCGACCCCTAGATGAATACTGGGCTGACAGTTTTCCTACAAAAATAGTAGTAGTAACATATAATTATAAAGTACGGTACTTTTATACAGTTGGGCTTCCAACTATCCCTTAGCTGTAGTAGACAATAGTTACAAATTTTACTTTACCACTTTACAAATTAAAAAACAAAATCATCAAAATTCCATGTACTATGCAGGGTTCAAACCTAGAGCCCAGAAATAGGCCACTGTTGTCTCCAAAATACTTCATCTTAATATAAAGAAAAATTAATAAACTAAAACTATACAAAAATGAAAAAGAAAAAAGACTTTAACATTTATATTTTAAACGTTAATGAAATACCTAAAAGTTCAAAACACCAGTTTGATACGATAACTGCCCATCCCAAGGGTTGGCTTGAGATAAAACTGTGCAATTCATTGTGAACCTCGTCAAGAAGAGAGTTGTCCAAAGGATGCTGCGATGATAACGACGACGATGACAACGGTTGCTTGCCTCTATTCTAAAGACGTTTTCAAATTAATGTATATACCTTTAAAAACCAGTGTAAATACCATTACCTCAATTTCAAGCATGTGGTTGAAAGTGGATTGGTCGAAAATTGTGCCAAAATATTCGAATATGGCATCTCGTGATGACGGTAGTGCTTGTAGCAGTGCAAGAGCTTTTCGGGTCAGCTCAAACATATCGCATTCTTGAGGCTTGGAGGCATTTTTTATAAAATAGCTGATCTCCGCTCTGAGATCTTTTGGAGGTACAGGTTTAATAACGCTAATAGATGTCATTGCTAGAAAAAAAGTTTTAAGTTGATTTTTTTAAATGTTTAAAACTATCAACACAAATTAATAATGCATAGACACAGATATATCCTATATAATGTCAGCAAAATGATCGAATATAGTGGAAACTTCCTAGCCTGAATTATTAAGGATTAAGTCCTGTTAGGTCTGTTAAACTGGATTCCCCCTGCACGAAACTCACTTGCGCGACTGTTTTGTGAAACATGTCTCATGATATAGAGACCTAGCCATGATTGCTAAACTTTTGGCACGAGGATGTTTCAGGGTGAGCTGACCTGAACCAGGAAATGTGCATTAATTATTCGAATGTTTCACAACTGATTTTTGTGGAATGCTAAATATAAAACTCATCAGAACAAGAACAAGAGAGTGGATGCGTGGAAGGAAATTAACTTGGTTAGGGAATTCTAATGGGGTTCACCGACGAAATAAATCTTTGATCCACCATCAGCATTTTCTGTGTTTGTTTTTCAACTTAAAGTATGGCCATGATAGCAAATGCAGCTAGTTATAAATGACATGTTTGTCTCGTGCAACTGATGACTCAACTTATTTCACCTCGAGGAAATATTACCGAGACGTTTTGCTACACAATTAATTAAGGTTTTTAGTTGAGATAAAAAAGTCAATGGCACGAGTGGGATTCGAACCCATGATCTTCAGCTAGATACGCTGCTGCTCTACCACTTGAGCTATCGTGACCTCGATCCACTCGGACACTAACTTCCCATCTCATCCGCACCTTTTGAATTTTCCCTCCTTTTTGCCATTTTTCAATGTTTTCCGTTTTGCTAAACAGTTGCATGAGTGAGTAAACCCAGTTTTAGGTTTTCTTCATATCTGACAAAAATCACTTATTCCTCTCTAAAGGGCAGATCCTTCAGGTATCCCTAAATAAGTCATTTTTGCCTTCATTTAAGATTGTCATGGGTGTTCCTCAGGGGTCTATCCTAGGTCCTACCTTTTTATTATCGTTCTAAACACACTCCCCTGTATGAACAAAAAGTGCCAATTGGTCCTTTATGCCAATGACGTTACATTATATGTATCATCCTGGAGACTAAGCGCTTTAGTAAATCAATTAAACCTTGCACATACAAAAACCTAACGTTTCTGTAATAGGAGTAAATTACAAATAAACGTAACAAAAACCGAGGCTATCTTTTTTATGAAGTGTAGACTACTCATCAATAATCAGGAAATCATAGGGGATACTAGCAGAGCTTGGTGTCCTGACAGATAGAAAACTTCATTTTACAGCACACATTAACCAACTGATAAATAAAGTTACCCTAGAAATCAAAACTACCCCTTTTTACTAGGGAACCAAAGTTAAGTGTAAAAAATGAAATCTCCCTCTAACCACCATCGGTACTCCACAGTTATAGAGCACTGGTAGGAAATTTTAAAAGCTACAAGTATTCCAAATAAATTTGTAAGGCTTGCTACCTTGTTTCCACATTACACAAAACTTTCTGACCGCCATGTATTCACTGTAATTCAAATTCTGCAAGGGACACTTCTCTTTACTAAAGTTTCAATAAACCCTAACACCATGTGTAGAGCAACAGGTACATAGGAGTAAACTGGAAGCACAGAAGGGTGAAACCTAATTAACAACCGTTAACATCTCCATAACCCAAAGCCATTAACAATCAAATGTACATAAGTAATTTATGTATATATTTATTGCATGCAATACATAGTTATACATATTCAATACCAAAGATAATTATTTATTTTATAATATTATAAAAATTGGTGCCTCTTCATGGATTTCCTTTAATATGAGGAATGTCCTGCCAAAGTGTCTGTGCTGTAAACGGGCTGTTTTATATTCATGAACGATATGCACCGATGTCGCTAGCTCCTCCTGACAGAGCCGCTATGATTCTGTCTCAGCTTTACCCATCTTCTGATGAGAGTTAAGAGAGCAGTGGCCGGTATAGAGGCCTATAATTCTCCTCAAATCCTACCAGCTGAGAGGAGGAGTTCGTTTGCTTTCTGTTTTGAGAGATTTACAAATCTTTTAGCTTGCCTTATACCTGGAGTGTTTGTCCAGTACTTTCTCAATTTACCAGTTCCAACTTACTTCCAGTTTCCAACACTCCAGAGTACTTAATTGTGATTCTAGTCTCATGGTTAAGAGAGTTGCCCCTTTTCTGGCTTGTTGGTCAGCCTGTTCATTTCTGTATAAGCCTTCATATCCGGGAACCTACTTTAAGGCAATCTTGTTTGAATTCCCAGAGTCATTGGGCAGTTTACTGCACTCTCAGATGTTTGGTATCCTCCTCTAGCTCGTGTGACTTCTTTTTAATTGCACAAAATTCCCTCGTGTCCTGGTACCCAAGATTCCACCAGGTTGTACTACGTGGATAATTGAGCATTTAAAGAAACAGATAAGGCTTAAAAGAAGTAAATCTATGAAGAAGAAACTACAACCAGAAGGAGAAATTGTTTACAAACAAAACAAAAAACGAAACTGAAACTAAAGCCTGATTCACACCTTGCGAGTAAGGATGCAAGTTGATCTTGCCATTCAGTGGTAAGTACCGACTGGCAACACCTGTAAACACCTTGCGAACCAAAAATGTTTGATTTACTGTCACCCCTATTGATAAGTAGCATAGGTTTTTGAAAGATGCACACCTATGATTAACTATTAATGTACAAGGAATTCATTTTAAATTCTATTGAGAATAGTAGTCAAGTTGATGCAGTTTAAAGGATATTGCTAAAGCTTTCAATATGGTGGACCATGGATTACTTTTGGGTAAGCTTGAATAATTTGGGTTTGGCGGCAGTTTTTTTTTTTTGCTTGGATTAGATCTTATTTCTCAAATAGAATAGTTTAGAGGTAGGCTTTCTAGAACCATTACAGGTGGACATCTGGTGTCCCCCAAGGATATCACTTGGGTTCAATTTTATGTTTAATTTTCATCAGTGATGTGTCCTGTCAAAGATACAGAATTTTTACTACTGGCAGGTGATATAAAAGGTTTTGCCGTTGAAATGCGCATTTCCAGGAGGAATTACATATGTTTGCCTCTTGGAGTCTGAGGAATGAACTTTCTCTTAATCCTGATAAATGTAAGTTTATATATTTTTATAGAAGGAAACATCCTACCCTTCCTCCTACTTTTAACTAGCATCTCGTTTGAGTGGAGTGTCTGAGATTAGTGACTTGGGAGTAAATATTGACATGTGTACATTTTCTCTGCAAATTAATTTAGTTCTGGCCAAGAGTAATAGAAGCTTAGGGTTCCTCAAGGGGATCCATCAAGTTTGCAGAATATTACTGCATTAAAACATCTATATTTTGAGTTGGTTCAGAGCATAATGAGCCCAGCAGCTTGGTTTGGTTTCCCTGGGGCATTCAATCTAAGATCAATTAAGGTGTTCAGTGGAAATTTATTAAATACCTAATCTGAATGAATGAATGAATAAACATTTATTAAAAAAATACTTATACATTGTGTTACATAACATTCATTAAGCAGGGGAAGTGGCGGGGCACTTTTACGTCCTATTTCAAAACTTTTTCCTATCAATGCACCTAGTCCTAGTTGTTATTTTTTTAAATTAATCAAACAAGAAAATAGTTGGAAAAATCTTCTTAAAAAACCCACTAGGTATCAAATAGGATAACAATTAACAAATGAATTAACAAAAAATGTGTTAACAAAATTATAAATAAATAAATGAGAATAACAAGAACAATGCTACACGGGTAATTGAATTATCACAAATTGTTTTATAGTATCACAGCTCTAGAGGAAACAATAAATATATCACAGATCCTAAATTTATGTATTGTGCCTAATCTTTCTGTTTCCATGGAAAGTTTACATCATACACTCCTATATCCCTACAAGTAGTGTTCTTGCTGGAAGGACCCATAAAAAAATTCCTGGACAGACGTTTTCATTATTAGCAATAAATACCTAATCTACAACCTAGGACACCAATGGGATAGTATGACGAATGGTTGAAACTGTGCGAAATGTTCTCCCTTCAGGATGGCTCTCTATTGATGAAGATGTGTGTCTTTTGGAAGGTGATAAATGTTAATTTAATTAGATTATAATTCATTTATTGATTTTGTTATTCTGTAAACTATTTGTATTTTTGAATTTTAAATATTGTTATGTGACTGTACTGATTAGAGGGTCATCCCTGTTATGCACTAAAAAATAAATAAAATTAACATTTTCCTTGGGTGTATCAAAATCGTGATATTCATAGTGCAGGTTTGAACACATTAGTAAAGTTAATAAACATAGAAAATTTTACATTCCTTCTTTCATAGCAATTCCTCTAAAAGTTCCTTGCATGATTAACGAAACTGAACAATTAGATTTTCGAAACACTTGTCTATGTGCATAAAACATTTTTGTGATAAAAGGCAAGCTGTCACAAGAGTAAACATAAAGTTGTTTTGTCTACTACTCGCACAATGTAAACGAATAATACTAATTAATTGCCGGTAGCTGGAACTAGTCAAAAAGTGTACCTCGTGCACGCCAGTTACTAGCAATGTGTAAACAGCTATTGCCTGCCCCTGATGGTGCCAGCGCCGGCATTGCCAGTAAGTACCTCAACTTGCATTCCAATAGCTGGCAATGTATATATCATGCAAAAGTACATACTAACGATAGCATCCTCGACCAAATGCCTAAAGAGTAGCTATGCCTGTGTTTCAACAGACTAGAATCAAATAAATCGGTTGTGTCTAGTGTGCTCTTCTGTTGCAATAATAGCTAAAAGGTATGTCTATAGTTTATAGTTTTTTACATAGTTGAAATAAATAAATACCTGCTGATATTGAAGGCTAGCGCCCTCAGCAATAGTCCTGGTGTTATATTCAAGTCCAAATTTTCTATATTGTCAGTTTCTTCGGCCAATTTATAATTATTTCTCAATTAATTATCCTGTATGGTCGAACCGGCTAGAAAGTAAACAAAACCTCAAGACCTCCCACGTGATATGTCAAGAGAAGTCGCCGTACAGAGATTAAAGCCGAAGGGCTTTATTTTCCGTTATGATCATGATTAATAGTGATCATTGTTTAAATATAATTTGAAAAATAATAAAAAACTTAAAAGGAACTGTAAAAGTGGTTGGTTTTTGACGTTTGTACGTTGTGGTTTCCCAGTAACAGCACAGAGGTTTCAGCTATCAGTGAGGACTGAGGTGTTTTCATCCTTGCTCCTGTCAAAGCTTTAAAGTATAAGCTAATTTTATTAAGTACCAGGTCGGAATAGTTCTATTTTAATTTTGTAAATTAATTTTTTATCACATCTTTTGTGGTGATGTTAAAACAATTTGTACGATATCTTCATGCACATGGACCCCTCTGGGCCAGTGTCAGCAAGAGTGATTTGGCCAAGCTGCGCAAAAAAACTGGCTACACATTTGCCAACTGCAAGAAAGCTCTGGAAGTCAACAACAATGATCTCTCCTTGGTAATACTTTTTATTTTCATTGGTAGCCAAGTAAAAAAATTGCAATGATATATCAGTGAGCGAATTGTGTCATGTTAAGTTGATGGTAGTCTGCGAGTCAGAAGTACACGTAGAGGGTGGCTCTGGATCAGTTTCAACTGACGATAGCGCAAAGTCACTATTGCAAGAATTCAGTAGGTCTTAAACTCAATTAGCTCCTATGCTGTTGAAGACGAGCTTAACTTGAATGTTGAAAAGTTCTAGGATATTGTGTTTGGATCCAGTTGTCACCTGTTAACAATTGCCCTATTTTCGTCTGACCCATGGTCAAGAACCTTGAGATTACCACCATATAACCCAGATTTCCCTAAGCTGCCACCCTTCATCAGTTCTGCTGTACCAGTCACATTTTCCCCTTAGTAAGCGTAAACTCTGGTTTCCTCCCTTATTCACCCCCACTGGGAAGCTTAGACATTACCGCATACCTACGGAACCTCGGGCGTCATCGGCCCTGCCGACAATGGAATGACTCGGTAGATTTTGTGCAAGCAGACTTTTGTGGCATATTCAGAACAAACAGAAAATTATTCCATTTTTTTTTTGTACCATCGCGGCACAGAGCTTTTTATTTATTTATTGTTTTGTTTGTGTCATTATTTTTCAAGTAGAATTTTTTTCTCAATAAATCTTTTTTTTGTGCTGTGTAAGCATGTGAAAAGATCCATTTTTTTGTGTCCTCTAACTTTGGTTTTTCAATTGGTTATTTGATTTAGCTGAACTGTTGTGTCATTATGCAAATTTACATTGAATTGGGTTTGAGGTACATCCAGATCAAAGGAATTTAAAAAAAAATGGAATTGGAAGATGAAGGGAAGCAGACATCTAATGAATTGTTTTGTACGTTTTATCTTTGGCTCCCCAAGGTGATCTCACACAACTGATCTGTACTCTGTTTGAGTGATTATCTTATTGCAACTAATTATTCCTTTATCTGATATTTTACCATTCCCTTCCTCACTCTGTCCACCAAGGCCAATCCATTTCCACTTTTAAATAAAATCTCTTTGATTATGAAGAAATATCTTCTTCCCATTCTTCCCATTGGTATGCGTAATTTCCTAGTTTCCTCCTTATTCACTCGCACTGGGAAGCTTAAAGACAAGCTTAAACATATAACAAATTATTTTGTATGTTTTATTTTTGGCTTCCTAAGGTGATCGCACATGACTGAGCTGTACTCCGAGGAGTTATCTACCACAAGTGATAATTCCTTGGCCTCTTCCTTTATCATATATCTTCCCATTCCCCTCTTTACATATCTAATCTCTTTATCCCGTTAACACCCGTTCTTATGACCTCTGCATTCTGTCATTCATTGCTTTCAACCTATGGAATTCCCTTCTTCAGTCTATCCGTCAAGGCCAATCCCTTTCCACTTTTAAATAAAATTTCTTTGTTTAACTCTTGTTCTTACAACTTGGCACTGAAGAATTTTTAATTACCCCTTTAATTTAATTTCTATAGTAAAGAATTTTCACATTATATAATTTAATATTTTATTAAAAAGGAACTGCAGTGGCTGAGAGGTTACGGTTTCCAACTTGTATTTGCCACACCATTGGTTCTGAGTTTGAATCACAGCAGAACCCATCACTTGTTAATTGATGATAATTGAAAAATGTATTATAAAGTGGTTTGACTGCTCATCTGCTACACCCAATTTTGACGTGAAGTCTTCCTGTATGATAGGAAATACTTTACTTTTTATTTTTGTAAATGGACCTCTTTGTATTAGCTTTATCAGGCTTGAACCGCTGTAAATATTTTTTATTCATAATTAATTATCTAAAGGGATTGAATAAAGTTAGTTTTTCAATTCCAGTTTCAATTTGAAAGTCAAAACGCGTACGAGTAATAGACAAAGATGGACCCAAGTTCCAGCCAACTCAACGTGTTTTCACCTAGCTTCGTTTCGCACTTTCTATTTTTATACTTTGTTACCATAGATGAAAAATCCATTGCCAAAGAAGTCTACCACACTGTATGATAGTCATTTGAACATACTATATTCAAGTCTCTTTTATGTTAAATTTAAATTAAAATCTATATAAGAAACATCCAAAAGATTAGAACCCTGGCTTGTAGAAACCATTGTTGGAATTTTCTTTAAAGCTTCCATTTCAATCTTCAAGCATCATTTTTATATTGAAAAGCAAAAGGGCATTAAAAAAAATATGTACTGGCTTGTAAAGTAAGTCTGTAGCATTTTTCAATAATTTGATTTTATCTGTTATGGTTTGAAGCAATGTTTATTAATACTATTATTATTATTTACACACTCTGAACAGGGAAAAGTTAAGCTGTTTTATTCATCAGTTTTTCTGAAATCTTCTATTTTTACAAGTTGTTTTGCTTATTTAAAACGGAGGGAATAATAGTACAATTTTAATTATTGGTTTTTATTATCTCAAAGAGAAAACAACTCTTCAGGCTGCTTAGAAAACTGTTTGGGACAATGAAATCAACCCCGTCGACCTCATTAGAAGTGCTGCTAAACCTACCACCATTGAAAGAGATCTAGAAAAAGTTCATTTAGAATCCAAAAACATTAAATTGGATGGGGATTAAACATTTCAGGCATACAACAATAATACACTCATTTCTAGAAATGGGTACTGACTATATTATCTCTGAAACATTCTACAAGCATTCTATAAATTCTCAACTATAAAGGAGAAGAAGAAATCAAGAGGAAGTAAGATACAATATGGTCCATACAGATCTATACAAATGGATCCAAAACAATTGAAGGAACTGGATCATGTATGAAAATCAATCAAACTCATTAGGGAAGTATATTTAGAAAATCTTAAAAAAAGTTTGCTCTGACGAAAAAAAAATCCTCTTAAGGTCAGACAGCCAAGAAGCTATAAAGCATTAACATGTTAACAAATCTTGTAAAAAAAAAAGTGAATGCATCCAACATCTCCAAAACCTGGGGAAAGGATGATATCTTGTGTGCCAGACACAGCTTATGGCAAAAGAACCCTTACAAAAACTGGCAAACTCAATGCTATAATTAGAAAGGATAACACGAGAGTGATAGGACTATATACTGTCATCTGGAAAAACATCTACATAACAAATTAACATAAGTAAATTTTCAAATATACATTTTTAAAATTTTCCTTAATTACTAACTCAAAAAAAAATCGTTATACTATATGAACAAGTACATGTGTGGATAACAGATAATTTGTTAATACAGAGTCCTGATGAAGGCGATATATTCTGCCGAAAGCTCGACAAGAAAATAAATGTTGTTTCTGTCTTCCTGGCCTCATCCCCGATCTACTTTTTGTACTAGAGTTTCACAGCATCTGAGAGTAGCTGGATATGTTTGTTGGATGATTATTTGACAGAAGAATTTATGAACTGCATCTACATCTTGATTCCGTCCTAAAATTCAATGTCAATGACCCATTTTTAAAAAGATTAGTAACGGGATGAAAAGTGAGTCCTTTACAACAGTGTTCAGTCAGGAAAATCCTTGTGAAAATGCAGCAGCCCACCATTAACAAGTCCAAAAGCCTACATCCCAAAGGAGTAGTATTGTTCATTTGGTATGATTGGAAGGAGGTGCTTTATTATGTTTATTGTGCGCTTCTTCCGCCCAACCAAACTGTTAATTCACACAATTTGAGATATTAAAGTATAAGAAGCATTGCAAGGGGATTGTTTTTCTACAGACAGACACCCGTTCCAGTTACATGCTAGAAATTTTTAGAGATTGGATGACATATGCTGAACCGCCCATGGTATACTCCTGACATCCCCCCCTTCAGATTTTCACTCATTCCGGGCTCTGCAAATCTTCTTTTGTTATGAAATTCTCATCCCTTTTCCTCCTCTCACAGCTTTTATTAGTACAGGAAACACTATTTCATTTGCTTTTTCTTCAAGGAAGTGTACATCCTGATTATATCAGTGATACCGTGGGACAGGGGCAACTCCTACAGACTCCATAATAGATTTAGAAGTGCTTATATAAAAACCCATTTCCTGGGTGAATTCCAAGAGCATTAGCTTGTTTAGCAACATCTATCAGATAGCTTTCCTGTGCCTGAGGAAGGCCGATGTAAAATGCTTCATCTGCCTTTTTGATACAGAGAGAATCAACATCCTCACTGCTGAAAACGGCCATTGAAAATTGTTTCATCATGCTTAAACTTTTGACAGACATTCCTACAGAAAGAGTAAAAAAGTTCTGTAAATAAAAAATAAAATAAAAGCCCTGCTGAGAGGGGTCGAAATGGGATTAAACGATGTTATCAATTTGAGAACTTCAGAAAACACATCAAGGAGTTCATCGATGAAAAGCTGAGAAATTTTACTATGAAGATGTTACAAAATTACATGGAAGATGTAACATATCGTGGCCATTTACAAAGTAATGCTAAGTAAGACCCCTTCTATTGTGTTAATAATCAAAAACTAAGGATAAGAAAATTACGGTAGTTAATAAATTAGGAAACATGCAATAAAATGGAAAACATTTCAGTTACATACACTGGTATATTCTACAATTTATTTTAGCAATTTGTATCACCCTGTAGTTAAAATTGAATACCTATTTTTAATTTTTTTTTTCTTAGGCTGAGAAATGGCTGAAGGAGCAGGCTCAGACGATGGGATGGGCAAAGGCGACAAAGCTCGAAGGTCGAACTACTCTCCAGGGCCTGATAGGGCTCGCAGTAAAAGAAAATTCTGCTGTCGCCGTTGAAGTCAACTGTGAAACTGATTTTGTTGCTAGAAACAAATCATTCAAATCTTTAGTCGAAGTCATATCCAATGCCTATTTAAAGGATGTAGCACAATCAACAAGTTCATCTTTAACGAAGGTAGTATTTAAATACTTAAAATTCATAATTGTAGGGGTATCTGTTGGATTTTTTATAATTACATTTGGAAAAAAATCGTGTATTTTAAGACTTTAATAGATGGCAAAGATCTCAAACAAATTCACAGCACCGATGGCAAATCACTTGGCGACCACACTGCCCTTGCTATATCCAATTTAGGAGAGAATATAACAATTAGGAGAGGCATGAGCATCAAAACTCCGTCTGATATGTTTTTAGCTGTTTATGCCCACCCCAAGCCGGAAAACCCTTCTGGCAAAGTCCAATTTGGAAAATATGGCGCTGTGATTGTCTATCAGACGAGCAAAAACGATAACAAGGTCCAGCAGTTGGTTCAGCAATTATGCCAGCATGTTATAGGTGAGTAGAGGGACACTTGAGATCCCAGGCATTTTTTGACATTGAGCTTTTTTCCAGGAATGGACCCTTCCAAAATTGGCAAACTAGGAGAAGATGAACCTTTGGAAGACAAGGACAGTGAAACAGTCATGATTCATCAGGAATTTCTTTTAGATCCTTCAGTCACAGTAGGACAACTAGTAGAAGACGCGCAAATTAAAATAGTTGATTTTATTAGGTTGGAATGTGGAGAAGCTCAGAAAGAAGAAGACAAAATGCAATTGAGCCAGTGTTAAAAATAAATAAAAATAAAATCTAAACAAAAAAATTGTAGTACTCTACACTTTGTGGTCAAACAGATTGTTTGGCAAAATAAATTCTTTTCTGAATCTTTTCAAATAAAAATAAATAGCTTTTTTAATTTTTTTATTTTCCTTGAAGCTAAATTTAATATTAATAACCATGGGGCCTAGGTGTCCGCAATGGTTTAGGTGTTGACATCTCACACAGGCGCTCATCACTGTAAGGTAAGGGTCCCGGGTTCGAATCCATTTGCTTCAGTGCTGTTTTTTATGGTACACTCCAAAAATGGAATTTGAAGAAGAAAAAATCCAGAATTATAGAAAATAAACTTTGGTTTAATGTTAAAAGTTTAAAATATATTTACAAAAAGGCCACCTATTGGTATAGTAAGAAAGTACTGCCAGTTTTGAATTAAAGGACTGATTAGCTCAATATTCACATTGTTTTATCTATATTATTTTTTATTCAAATACGCTTGTTTAATCCCCAAATTAAAAGGCTTTATTTCTCCTCAATTTCTGTTTTCAACTTCTTTAGTCGTGTTGAAAAATTTAATAGGTAGTCATTTCTTTGGACGAAACACATTTTTTAAGACAATGTTTACTTTATGAATTCCAAAAAGGGAACATTATAATAATGTAAATGTTCACAAAGTACAATGGTGATTTTCTCGATTTAGAGAAGGAAATCTTGTTCTTGAGTATGATGCTTGCAGTGGATGTAGTTTTGATGTTTACAATGTCATATTGAGGTGTAGGCTAGAAGAATATCCCTTTTTGACGACCCGAGAACTAAGAGAGATGTTAGAAGTTTCACACACACCATTGGAAAACACATCCAAAGACTGGTTTGTTCAAAAGTAGGCCATATGAACTCAATAAAAAGAATTTGTCGGATTGCATCTCAATTTGCTCTTCCCTACTCTGTCATAACTCTTACAACCCATTTCTTCATAAAACAGGTGAAGGGTCCTACAGGGAGAGGTTTTGAATCCATTTATTTTTTCTGATAAGTCTTGTTTTACAGAGAGATGGACTAAAAGAATTTCACATTAAAAATGACAAAGATCTTGTCATTTTGAAATTTGAGGATGATGTGGTGACAAGCGCATCTTCTAGGCGGGTCCATAATAGTTTAAATATAATGAAAAAGTACTGATCATCAATAGGCCGGATTGGCAAAGAATCTTTTATGTAGGTACTGTCAATAGGTGACCCTCGGAGGAGAGGAATCATTCTCACCTGATTAAGAATAGGCCATGCAAGTTGACACATGGACAATTTTTGGGACAAAGCCCGTGTATGTGTCTTGCACTTAGAGAAATGTTGCTAGATGAGCCCCACTTTATTGAAAGGTGCCATTCCTTGGCTCCATATAGAGAGCGTGTAGGAATGCCACCCAACAAGAGAATTGGTCTTGAGCACAGCAGCACGATTTCCATATCCTATTCTAATTTTTAGAGGTAACAGGATTTTTTCACATTTTATTATAAATTGTATTTTATAGATATCTCTTTATGTATATTAGACTGATTGTATTTATTAGTGTGAATGTGTAGTGTGAGAGGGCTGATGACAGAATATTGAGTACCCCATTGACCCTCAGTTAGGTTAATTGTACAATAGGTATAAAGGGTGACAGAGGAATCAACATCAAGGTGGGTGATTCTTGAGGCCTGCATTTATTGTAAATTGTACAAAAGCTTGAAGCCAGCAGGCTACGAGAAGTGATAGGATTGGCTCTTTACACATATGTGAGTATGTACATGTCTGTAGTTGATAAATCAATAATCAGTACTGATCTTTAAAGTTTCTAACCTAAATGTTAATAAAACAGTAGACCCAAAAGAAATAAAGTATTTTTGCAAATGTTTTAAACTTACCATTATTATGATTATTAACGCCACTAAGTTAACAGCTGTTTGTTTGTTGAAAATTAAGGAACTTCAGGGAGAGATTTTGAGTCCGTTCTTTTTTCTCTTTATATTTCTGACATGGAGACTTGTTTTACATAGGTCGGCTAAAGGAATTAGCATTAAAAGGGACAAAGATCATGTTGAAATTTCTGGTGATACTTGCTTATTATTGGCAGGGAGTCCAAAATAGTTTACATGTAATGAAATAACCTACAATTTGATCCTTACAGAACTTCTCCTCACTGGGTTGGTCTGACCAATCAGTAAGTATCAAATTATGGTTCATCACCACAGACCACAGGATGAATCTCATGATAATGGAGGATTATTGCACAGTGCACACTGCTCAAATTCTCCAACCGTAAATAAATAATATTCAAAAAAGTGTTTTTGTAAACGGTTTTAGTACGTTTTACATTAACCATTACATTCACTAATTTCGTGGTCCGCTTGACCAATTAATATATTACAATTAATTAAGGTATTTAGTTGAGATAAAAAAGTCAATGGCACGGGCGGGATTCGAACCCACAATCTTCGGCTAGATACGCCGCTGCTCTACCACTTGAGCTATCGTGACCTCGATCCACTTGGACACCAACTTCCCATCTCAACCGCACCTTTTGAATTTTCCCTCCTTTTTGCCATTTTTCTAATGTCGTGTAATCGGATTGGATTCTCGGCGACAAATGAAATTGCCACGGAGAGCTTTAGTGTAGTATACATCATTTTAATTCATTAAATTCGCTAATTTTGTGGTCCGCTTGACCAATTAATATATTACAATTAATTAAGGTTTTTAGTTGAGATAACAAAAGTCAATGGCACGAGCGGGATTCGAACCCCCCATGAAAAATGGCAAAAAGGAGGGAAAACTCAAAAGGTGGGGTTGAGATATGAAGTTGATGTCCGAGTGGATCGAGGTCACGATAGCTCAAGTGGTAGAGCAGCGGCGTATCTAGCTGAAGGTCGTGGGTTCGAATCCCGCTCGTGCCATTGACTTTATCTCAACTAAAAACCTTAATTAATTGTAATATATTAACCATTACTATGATAATGAGTAATATTTTTTGTGCAACTATTTTTGAACACAACTGTGAGTTTACAACAATTTTTTGTTTCACCACAAAATTAGGGGTTATGTCTAAAGATAATAAATCTTAAAAAAAGGGTTAAATAAATAATAAAAGGCAATTTATTTTTTTTATGTGTGTGTTTCTTTTATTTATTCAATTATGAACCTATACAGCTAGAGAGAATAATCACAGCTGAAATTAAAATAAAAGTAAAAATAATACAAAACATACAAACATACATTTAATTTTTGAAAAAAAAACTTCTTTTCATCCACAAACATTCATTGTTACATTTTTATTTAGTTATTAGAATATTAACTAATAAGTAGTAGGTCTTTATTATATAAACAATTTATTTAAAAAAAGTTCACTGAATATATTATTTTAATTGTTTTTTGTACAATTATATTTCCCTATAAATATACAAATTAAACAATAAAATAAAAGGAACAGTGTGCCTACTTCACATTATCCTTGGAATAATGCCACTTAAAATATGAAAAAAAGTCTTAATCTTTTGAAAAAGTCTAAAAATTCTTTAATAAAGTCTTTGATTTCTTATTTTTACAAATCTAAAGTCGTTCTCCCTTCACAAACATTTACAGATTTATTTATTTTTTAATTACACAAATTTTTATTCGAGTGTTTGGTTAAACAATGCTGTGAAGATTGTAATTGCCACAGTTAAGACGGTACGTGTGGTTCATGAAAAGGGAGACCTTGGTAAAAATATACCTCTTTAAACAAAAGAGGTCAAGTTTAATAAATACAATAATAATTACAAATATAACCTGAGGTCAAGTCTTTACAGGATACGTGGAAAGTAAAATTTTTTCTTCCTTTTTCAGTGCTGCCCGGGGGATTGGGGGTGGGGTTTGAAAAAGTTCGCCAACACTCGTCGTCGTCGGCTAGGTTTCAATTTGCCATTTTTGTCCTGCATTTATAAAAGACTGGCAAATTCTGTTCTTGCCGAAATATAACCTAATGTAATTTATAAAATACCGTGTGGGAAGATTTCTTTAAGAAAAACACATATGACAATATACATATACTTTTTCTTATACAATTAGAGGGGGCTACTTTTTTTTTTCTTTTTGAAATTTTTTCTTTCAAAAACTTGTATACACATAATAAAGTGCAGTTTGAACTGTACAATGGCTTGTCTACAATTCTTGGGTAAAAAATTGACTACAATTTTTTTTTGTGATTTTATATCTCATTAAATCGATATGATCTGTTAAACTCATTGACAAGCGGCTTCTATTTGATCAATATTTAAAAAAAATATTTTAAGTGTTTTTATTTATTTATAATTTCTTTTAATATATAGATTCTTTTAGTTTGATGAATAAAGACATTAGTATAAAATGTTAAAAATATCAATCTTATATTTAAAATTCAAAGATCACACTTACATATAACACATAGCTTAAAACTTTAGATTTTAATTAATATTGACCAGCAAGTTGCCGCTTAGAATTGCTAAGTACATACAAGGAAAAGAAAAATGAGAATTGGCAAAACAATGAATCGTTTTTGTTTACTTTTTAATTTGTTTAAACTATAGCCACTTTGGCAGAAAATGGATTTTCAACTGGAGGGATAAGTTTGGGTTTTTCATATTCAGTCTTGGTATCACAAGTGATGTCCAATCATTGTTGATCGCCGTACAGTTGAAAATCCACCTTGACACAAGAGATTAATATACTAATAGTATTTACACCGATTCATAATTTTACTTTTTGCAATTTGAGCATTGAATTCTATTTATATTTTTTTCCTTCACCACAGTAATGGCCTTGTTTTGATCAAATACATTTTTATTTTATTTTATTTTTTTTTAAAGGAAAGTATAAGAAAAAAAAAGAGGCCGTCATTTTCTTCGATTTTTCTTCTCTAGCAACAAGAGAAATTTTAATCAGAAAATCAAGTAAATAACCGATACAAGACAATAAAATGACCAAACCATCGTTTGCCATCCCCCGATTTGAAATTAAATTAATAAACGCATCCACGAAATATTGCCCCATTTTGCACTCAATTTATATTTATTAAAACTACTAATTACAATCTAGATTTTACTCAGTGCAAATTTCCCTACAATGTAAATTGAATTGAAAAGCCTACTTTTCCATTAATAATTGTTTTTTTAACTATGAATGTCACTAGTGTGCTTAGTTTTTTTTTTTGTTTTTTCCTTTTTTTCCTTTTTTTATATAATTTTATTAATTTTTTAAAATTTATTTGCTTCTTTTTTTGTTTTTTGACTAGTCGGGGTGGGAATTCCCTCTATTATCCTAAAGAAAATAATCCCCTCCGAAAGGAACATTTACAATAAATTATAAAAGTCTCTCTTCCTTTTTTAAAACAAGAAGAAGAGAGAAAAGTATACATTTATTTACTCTATACAAACAACAAAAGTTTTGGCAATAAAAAATAATATATGATATTTATATATAAACGTGACCACGCCATTGCTCTGTAAAGATAATTTTTTTTTTTTTTTAAATTTCAGGCCGTACATATGGCACATACATTTTTCCACAATCTAAAACGGAACAAATCTCAAAAACCTAAGTTAAAAAATACAAAATGAGAAATGTTGTTTAAAATAATTAAAATAATTTACTTACATCAAACATTTTTCGGGGGACATGCACCGCATTATCGTTTTGATTTAATTGATCATTACAGTTAATATTTACAAAAAAGATTAAATGACCTTTGAAAGTGAACTTTTCGAAAACAGTTTTGCTTCTCTTAAGACAGAAATATCATGGAAATGGCCACAAAAATGTATTTGGTATGTTTTAATTCACCCAAATAGAAAAAAATTCTGAGGAGATGATCCTGCAGATATCACGCCAAGTCTATGTACAAAGGGTGGGGTGGGCGGAAGATCTCGCAGTATTAAAAAAAAATGCATGGAATACAGTTCATTCAAAGTTGAAGAGTAACATTTAACCTGTAAGGTCGTTTACAATCAAAGGTGTTTTATTTATCATTTTATGTGGTGAAATTGAGCTTGGGTTGTCCGTATGTTTGATTCTTTCCAAAAAGGAGTGACTATACAAGGAATGTGGTTGGACTAGGTCGCACCTCCTTTTAAACCGTCTACTGCTCATCCTCTTCCTCCTCGCTCTCCCCGTCTTGACCATACATATCAGCCAGTTTATCAAATCTTGGACCCCAAGTTCCAAGATAATCGTAATCCTGCTGTTCATCATCAGTTCCTGAATAAAAAAAAAAAAATCTATAATATGCATTTCTCTATAAAATTTAGATTATTTTTGTTTTTTAATTTTCAATTTCTTACCAGAGGCGAGAGAAGAAAGGCTTCCTGCAGTTGATCCACCACCTTCATAAGCATAATTCCTCAGATCGTCAAAAGGAGGAGCATTTGGATCGGCATCAGCCCGCTTCTTGTGTTCCTCGATAAAAAGACCTACGTTGGGCTCTACAACTCCCACCATTCCAGCCGGATCTGTAAATGTTGAAATGTTACAACAAAAGTTTTGGAAAAAGAGATAAAGAGATTTTTTTTAATGTACTTACAAGGCATTTTCGTAGGAGGGATTTCTGGATGTGGCCCTCCTATAGGAATCTGAAGAGGGGTGATATCGAATGCAGTCATATCATCCTCACCACCCCCTTCATCATCATAATTTATAATATTTTCCCTTACATCATCGTCCGGTCCTGGATACTTAATGTGAGACTCCCTCCTTCGATTGTACACGACGAAGACAAGAACAAGTACTGAAAAAAGCAACAAACTTTAAATAACTACCTTGAAAAATATAGGTATATTTTTATATATTAAATATATTATAATGTATTTACTAGGATACTTGAAAAAAAAATTGAAACTGTTGTGGTGAAATGGGTGAAATAATTTCTAAAAGAGGAACAGAACAATATAACAGTGATTGAAAAGGTTACATTAATTAAAAAAGTAATAAAACCAACAAGGAATAGTGAAAAATGTTACTTGTTATGTGCTATCATGCTAAATTATACAATAAAAAACAGGATGGTAACCAAATGTTACAATTAAAATTTATAAGCATGCGGTACTTCTACTATTAAAACATTAAAAAAAAAATCATAGCATTTACCTTATACCTTAGAAGATTGTTAGTTTTGGTTTTTATATGATTTGTTATTTCAAAGGCCTTGTTTAACTTATTTATTATTTTACAGGCGAACCCTATTAAAACTTACTTATGAGCAAGGCGAGGCAGATAACAAATGAAATGATGAAATCTGAAGACGCCTGAATCGCACCGGCTTGGAGGATATTGCAATGGGGCCCAGTAAAATGTGATGTGCAATGACAGGCATAGCGCCTTTCATCGGCAAAGTCTACACAGACTCCTCCGTTCATGCACGGCTCCCATTCGCATTCATTTACATTAACGCATTCAACCCCTCTTCCGGTCAGCCATTGAGGACAACTGTCAATGCATGAGTTTTTTTAATAAAGTAAAATAAAATGAAAAGAAAAGAACAAAATTAATAAATAAAAGTAACAAAAGAAGAAGAAGCCCTTGATCTCTTTTTCTAATTCACATGTATCAATATAAAAGTCTGAAATTAAATAATAAAGCTGACGAGCACTGTCTTCACAACACATACAATTTTATTTTCTCACATGGTATATGGGGAGTTTCTTTACACAAACATACTTACGTGACACTTTGCGACCTGGCAGGTATTTTTTTTTTTTTTTGCACACTAAACAATAAGCAGGAATTAACTAAACAAAAAACCATGCTTGATATAACAAAACAGGGACAGTTATAACAGACGAACGTGTAATTTTTCTACATTTATCATCTTTCTTACTGAGAATGATCAGAAGGCAGACAAGTATTGCTGCGAGAGCACCCATTCCAAGCTTTAGTGTTTGCCCCTCTTGGACGAGCTCGCAATTCTCTCCCCAGAAACCTTCTGGACAGTCACAGCGATACCTGAGCCTGGGATCATGGTTGATGCAGCGTCCTCCGTTCCTACACGGGGACTCGAGGCATTCGTTTTTATCCGTGCAGCCCTTACCATCGGGAGACACTATTCTACCTTCTCCACACCTGTTTTCATATCCAAAACAAAGTATTTTTTTACATTAACTATGTAAGGGATTTTTTTAAATTGTAATAAATGGTCAATTGAAGGCAATATTTTTTAAAACTGTAGAGTTCTGATGAATCTGTGTTGTCCCTGATCTGATCTGCCTATTCTAACTTGTTTTGTCCACCACATTTTACCATCTTCAATAAATGTTGGCCTTGTATATTGTCATCTATGCCGAATTGACACAAAAAACAAAACAACACAGACAAACCACTGAAGATGGAGCTTGATGAGATCCATCATAGGCGAATGGGGAGATGCTAATATACTGACGGCAAAAATGGTGAGAACATGCAGACCAAGGTCATTGAGACTGTCACGCCACAAACTTATTTTTATGTTTACCAATTGGTTCATTTAATAAGGAAGAAAGCTTTTTCAAAAAGAAAGACATAACTTAACAGTTGAATTATCCAATTATCCTCATAGAAGCAGTGCACTCGGGACATGCACTAGCTCAATTTTCTCTAATTTGGTAAAAAGACTATTTTGGCTTTTAGAACAAAATTAGGACTAACTGTTTGATAATAAATTACATGCGAAATCCTAGAAATGTATTTAATCTTAATTTGATAATTGTAGCATATTTTCTATGATCTACTGAACATTTTTAGCCACACTTAACCTGTCCAAAACTTCCTAATTCCAAAAACCCAACTTTTTACTGACTTCTAGAAAAAAATTTGGATTAACTGTTTATAAATATAATATATGTGAAATCCTAGAAACATACTAAATCTTAATTTGATAAATGTTGCAGGTTTTCAAGGTTTTCTATGATGATAGGACCATTTTTAACCACAGTTAACTTGCCCAAAACTTACTAATTCAAAAAAACCCAACTTTATACTGACTTTTAGAACAAAATTGGATTGACTGTTTATAAATAAAATTTATATAAAATCCTGGAAGTGCCTAGAAACATTTACTTTTGTAATCCACAGAATTCATGGTAATCCTAGAAGATTCTTGTTTATTTTCTTTCTAATCCCAATTTGTCCATCATGTCCCTTTTCTTAATTTTTTTAAAGTTAGTGTATGGTAATCCTATGCCCCCTAAGCTTCTCCCCTCTCACTTGTCTCTTAAATTAGTTCAAAACTGTGTAAAACTAGTCTTCTCTACATTATCTGGACCAACTGTGGGCTTTTTACGATCGGGAGCTGGTGGACTCGGACTCAAACTCTGTCATCACCCCTTCGCCTACTCGCAGTAAATCCCCAGGTAAGTAAAGCCCTTTTATTGCAACCCCTTATTATTTTTTTAATTCATAGCAAATTCCTTTCTTTCATCTATTGTTTTTTTTAATTTTAATTTTAATTTATTTGATTTTATTAATTTTTATTTTTGACAAAAGGGAGTCTGCTCAACAAAGTGTATTAGGTCTTAATTAAATAATTGTTGCATCTTTCCAAGGTTTTCTATGATCTATTGACCATTTCTAGCCACAGCTTCTTACTCAATATTCTCTAATTTATATACTTAAAAAAAACCTGCTCGTTTTTAAAACAAAATTTGGAATTGTTTCTAAATAAAATTCATGTAAAATCACAGAAGTGTATTTCATCTTATTGATCTATTGACCATTTCTGAAATTTATTGAATAATAAAAGGTTTAAAGCCTTGAAATTTAAGTTCTAAATGAGAGAACTGCAAGAAAATGAAATTTAAGTTCAAAAGCTGAACTTATAATCTTCTAGAGAAGATCTACTAGGATCTTCCTAGTACAAAGCACTTGACTTCTGTCAAGCCTATTTGCAGTAGGAAAATGTACTTTTACCTTAGAATAGTTTCAAACTTGTAAAATTGAAATATTACATTATTTTTTTATGAATCATTTGATCAATAATAAGCAAATTTACCAATGAAATTTGTAATCAACTATATTCAATATACTGATTAGTCAATTATTTTCACATAATGATTTGTCAATTAGTGAGCAGACCCTGCAAGCTGTTTGTTTTTAGTTATTTAAATTTAAACTTACGTGCACTCATATTCATTCCAGAGATCGACGCATTCAAATGGATCTGGACATATTACGTTTGCACATGGCTTGTTTGACGGGCAGTTCTTCTCCAGGTTCCTTGTCATTGTTGCTTGTCCCCACTGAGTTCCATTCATTGTCGGAGGCAATGGAAGTGATTTTCCTTCCAATCGTATATCATCCAAGCAGCCTAAATTATAAAATAATTACTATTTATGTAATTCGTTTAGGCTTAGTTAAAAATACCTTTTTGGTAATCAGCATAGACTTCAAATGTTCTAACACCGGTGTATTCAGCTTTTCCTCCTGCATAGACTCCTTCTTGTTTATCTACGATGAGCCATTGGTGGCCATCAAAGGAAAACGACTCATTGTAACGTCTACCTTCTCCACCGTCTAATTCCAAAGTGGCAGCTGAACCATATCTGGAAACTTTTACTGTGTGCCATTGCCCATCATCTACAGTGATTGCACTAAGCCAAATGTCCCTTTCTTCTGTCCGAAGACTGTTCAAGTTGTATCTAAAGTGCAACTTACTGTCCTTGATCTGTAAAAAAAGAAATATAATATAACAGCGAAATTATAGTTGAATTAAATTGTATACCTCTAAAATCGCATATTCTCGATTATGTTGATCACTTGCTCTAAAGAGTTCACCATGTTCTTCTCTCGTTCTAAACCTTAGTTGAAGTTGGGTTGAAAACCTAAAGTGAAAAACTCATGAAAAAAAATTCTTTTAAGACTATTTCACAGCCATTTTCAATACCTGTCTGGCTCAAATGAAAGAGCGTATTTGACATAAGACTGTGGTTTGAAAGTTGCAGGGACTGTGGGAGTTGTGCAACTCGGCCCAGCGTAGCCGGGAAGGCACTGGCATTTCGCTTCTGTGAAACTTCCAACACAGGTGCCATGTTCCCAACACCTGAAGTTAAATTAGTTTCAGCATCATTTAAAGCAAATTGCAACAAAATTTTCAAATGTAAATAACCAACCTGAAAGTCGATTCTTGACTGTTACAAACTTCTTCTGTCTGTGGACAGCCTGACACCGAATTCCTAGACAGTCCAGGATGTGCTAAATCGTATAACTGAAAAAAAAAAAAAAAAAATTAACTATCGTCAAACTAGAAGGGAACGTAAATTATTACCTTGCTATTGTGAAAAATGTTTCTTATACAACCATCAAAACCTTTACCATATGGCATAGATTGCCAATGGTAATGTGTAGGGTCAAAATCTTCAACATATCTAAAAAAAAAATTAAACATTTTATGAAGATCACCTTTATTATTCAGATTTTTGTGGCAAGTTTGTACCTTCCACCGACTTGCAGTGGTGTATTGACATTAAGGTATTCGTTGAACGGTGGTATTGTGCCTCTCGCTTGACACGAAGAATCATCAAACTCTGGAGGAGTGCCGTCTTCAAGTTCTGATATTTCAGCTGATTTGCAGAAATCTACGACTAGACGGACGTTTTCTGTATCCCAGAAAACGTCAAGCCTGTGCCATTCTCCATCATCGAGGGTCTTTTTCGTTTTGACTTTAAGTTCAAGTGTACCTGAACCGAAGTCGAGAAGAAGACGAGGGTGTCCCCTGTCCAATTCCAACGAAACAAAGTCTGCAATAAAAAAATTCAATTAAATCTCTGAAAATCATTTTTAAACAACTTGTAATGCAGATTTTTTTTTTTTTTTTTCAGGCATTACAACTAACTTTAATATGTAACAATAAAATATACACAAAATTAAAAACAAGAGTGGAGAAAATATTGATTGGTACTCCAAAGATACTAAAGCATTGCCTGTTTAATTAACACTTGTGTCATTATCACTTTCATTGTCACTGTGTAGGAGATCTTGTGGTATTTGTCGAGATGCGAATTTTTGGATGTGCTAATTTATAATGGGGGTTAATTACTTTTATGGGGGTTTACAAACTTCATTATTGGGAATGGATTTATCTTGATTGAAAGGAATATTAAAGTATGTGGGTAGTTACATTTGATACATAAATCAGGATTTTTCATAGGATTGGATGGTTTTGGCTGGAGAGGATGGTAGAATGTTTCGCTGAAACTCATACTTCCATTCTGTACGTCCCTCTTTGGTGTTGTGAAGCAGCCTTTTATTTTTGAGAGGTAAATCAGAACATTTGTCAAGGTTTTTTTTTTTTTTTTTTTTCCTCGGGGGCTTCCAACAATAAAGTCATTTCAGCCCCCTGTCACTGCACTGTTATGGCCGATGGGGTACTCAATATTCCGCCATCGGCCCTACAGTCTAAAAGACAAATAAAACTCTTACAACAAACAAATAAATAAATTACTTACAAATAAATACACGACACAATAAAACACAACACAGATACACTTATTTACACAGATATTCTCGTTTTATACACTATTTGCAAGTGAGGAAACACCCCCGTTTCTCTTAAAACGCGGAATAGGGGATCCAACATCTGACTTACTCCAAGTACGGTTTTTATGTTGGGGGTTCATGCCTACTCGCTCCCTGTAGGGGGCCAAGGCACGACTCTCCTTGACAAGATGAGACACCCTGAGCAACCTTTCTCTACAAGCAGGACACCCATGCGGGTTTTGACCCAGAAGCAAATGTCCATGAGTCAGACGGGTATGGCCAATCCTCAACTGAGTTAACACGAGTCAAGGAGTTGTTAATGAGCCCTTTATCATCATAACTAATTGATGTTTCAGTCATGTGTGAGGATCCACATCAAGTGTTTGTCTGCACCATGTCTCAAGTTGGGAGTTAAAGACTCATAGGGGAGATCTTTTTACGGAGAGTGAAGGTAGGTAATGAGGGTGGATTTGTCTGCGTTAAATTTTATCTTTTTTTTCATTCAAAGCTCTAATAGAGTGAGGTGTTGTTGAAGGTTTTGAGTGAAAATGGCAGGATCAAAGTCAGAATCATCATCAAATGCAGATGTAGTGGGTTGAGGACATGATGGAATGTCAGCTCTATCTCTACCTGGTTGTGGGGTGAGAACACTACAGGGAAACCAGTGCGGATAAAGGAGTGTACAGAAAGGAATTGCTTTCAATGACTCGGAAAAATTGGCCAGTGTGATAGTTGTGCAGTATGGGATAGTAGGTGGAGGAAAGTAACTGAGAAAGAACGGCAAGCTTGAATGCCAAACTTGATCAAAAGCTTGACTTAAGACAAGAAAGGCCCCAGAACAGTAGTGCTCTAACTCAAGGGAGGAGGAGACAATGTCTACCACATGATAGTACTGTTGGGCAGTAGAATGGCAGTTGCAAAAACCAAATTGATTGTCAGGTATTATATTTTGAGAATTTACAATTGGAAGAATTCTTTTTAACAGGAGGGTTTCTCCAAAATGGGTAGTAGAATTATTGGCCTACATAAATTAGTAAAGAAAAAATTTGATGCAGAATTTCTAGAAAAAACGTTTTACCTGAAACCATAAGTTCTTCGGGTTCAGGAGGAACAATAGGTCCGTTGTAAAGCAGCTGGCCGTCAGGTTTCCTTGTGATGAATTCCAAAGATAAATGTGATTGATCACACATCTCCAGTGATGGATACCACGCCCAACCAGTGCCTCTGAAACTCCTTGACACTTGTTGACATCTCGGACCATTATAGCCACTGGGGCAGTTACAACTGTAAATTCAAAAAATTAGAATTTATTTAAACTCTAAGCAAAAATTATGAATACATACCTTAATCCGTATCTTCCTTCGATGCATCTTCCACCATTGAGACAAGGTGATGTTCTACATGACTCCCCTTTCGTGAAATTTCTTGCGCCACAGGTGCATTCTGCAATTACGTCGACTCGAACACCGACGAGGGCTGTTTTGTTGGCATTAACCATGTAAGGCAGGTTGGATATGTCTAGAGAGTTTGTGCATGATCCTTCACAATTTTGATTCTCATATAGGCACTCGTCTATGCCAACCATTGTTATATTAATACCGACATCTTTTTCAATCTGCAAACATCATAATTACTGGAAATTCTTGCACAGATATTATAATAAATACCTCTTCTCTGTGCATGAGCACTAAGCCGTTGAGTTTGACCGGTTTAAAATATGGTGAGCCATGTGCTGAAAATCTGACATCAGTAACGGGAGGATATCTTCTTCTTAGCTGTACACTAAATATATCGACTTTATCCCTGTCTGTGTTCAGAAGATCTGCCAACTTATCTCTCAAGCTCTCAAGTTTACTTCTTACTATTGTCTGAAAAGACATATTATTTAATTAAAGTAGCTGTAAATTATTTGATGCAACTTACTCTATAGTTCCATATTCGGATAAAATCTTCATCTGTGATTCCTGCTATTCTAATTGATCCTGATTTAACCACAGCCTCATGAGGTATTTCTTTAACCGTAACAGTCACATTAGCTGGTATATCTGTCTGTGTGTGTTTTCTGAAATTCATAGTTAAAATTAGACACAATTAAATTTTTATTACTGTATAACTTACCTATCATAAACTTTGAATCTTAAATGGTATTTTCCACCTCGTGTTCCATGTTTCATTGTAATCATACCAGTGTCTTCATTCAGTTTGAACCTAGGATGTTCTGAGCTTTCCCAGTAAAATTTCTTGTCTGGTAGATCCCAATCATCCAGATCGTAAACATAAACCCTTCCGATTTCTGTATCTGGTGCTTGTCCCTAGAATTGAACCCATTTTTATTAGATCAAATCCATTTTATCTTAATCAATCAATAAAATTAAGCCTACCATATAGTTATATACAAAAATGTCTTTTGATCCAGGTTGCATTTTATTGTCGTTCACATCACCAATTACAATGGTTAAAGTGCTTGTTGCAGACATAGCTGGGTTTCCTGAATCCTTGATGACAATCGGGATTGTGTATTCTTTCTGCTGTTCACGATCGAATGACCTCAGTGAAGAAACAACAGCCATTCCGTCTCCATTTGCTCCCTCTAAAATAAAACAATTGATTTAACATAAAAAATAAAACACACTTGAATATAATTTTCTTTACTTTGGTCATGTTCAACTTTAAAGGATGCTCTGATGATGTCATCAGCATTCGGATCCATCCTGAATGTGAATGGTGGGCCGTTGTTTTTGCTTCGGTCGTCATCGTCTGTTGCCAGCACTTCGACTACTTTACGAGGCGGGACGTGTTCAGGCAATACAGGTCTGTATTCTTTGAGGAACATCGGTGCGTTGTCATTAATGTCTTGGACAATCACAGTCAGAGTTGCCGTGGCTGTTTTGGGCGGTACACCGTCGTCTATCGCCAGGATCTTGACTTGGTGTCTTGGCGTCTCCTCACGGTCGAGCTGCCTTTGAATCGTCACTGTACCCTCTTGACTTATAAGAAACTGACGTTTACGGTCTGAAGTCCTATCGATTGCAAACGACACTCTACTTTTTCCACCTTGATCCGGATCACTGGCTTTAAAAGTCTCTAATGCTTTACCGACCTCGGCATTCTCATAAACGGACACTTCAATATTCGGTCTTTCGAACTGCGGTTTATTATCATTGATATCGCGGAGTTTAACAACCACCCAAGAATAAGCGACATGGTATTTGTCATTATCATTGTCTTCACCCTAGTATAATAATTTGTTAAATTTTTAATATCAAAATTCATTATTTGGGGCAAAGTTATCTTACCTTGTCATTAACTTGTATTCTGAATCTAAATCCATTACTTTGAAGTTGATCTTCATAATCTAATGGTTGGACTATTTTAAGCGAACCAGTGCCATCGTTGTTTCTCACCATGGTGAATTTATCTGCTCCATATCCACTGTTTTCAATTACCTTTAATATTTCAACATTAGTTAAATAACTGTTTAAGTTTTGCATACGAAGAACTATTCAATTATTAAGCAATAAACAACAAATATCATAAAATTTAGGCAAAAAGAAAATACCTTGTACTGAAATTTGTTGGTTTCATCTTCGTCATGAACAGTGACTGTGAGAATAGGCGTTTCAGGTAGATTCACTCCATCAGTTTCATCAACTTCAGTAAACCATTCATCTTTTGTGAACATGGGAGGCATGTCATTTATATCTTTCACTCGTATCGATGCCGTTCCCGTGCCTAATGTCATGTAATTAACATAAAAAAAGATATTTTTATTTTAAAAACAAAAATAAAATAAAGTTACCTTTTAACCCCCCTCCATCCATTGCAACGACCTGTATCGAATAATCTGGGGTTCTTTCCCTGTCAAGACAGCAGACAGCCGTTTTTATAACGCCTGTGTCTGATTCTATCTCAAATATCGGTGACCCAGTTTCCTCTTCTATAACATTCTTTTCTATTGAATAAACTAAACGAGCATTGGTCCCTTCGGATGGGTCATCATAGTCAACTGCTGTCATGGTCATGACTACCATTCCTGAAAAAAGAATGGATTGTTTGAAATGTTTCATTATAAAAAGAACATTTTGGTTTTTGCTAAGTACAAACCTGCTGTTCCATTTTCAGTGACATTTCCAAAATAAACGCCCTGAGGAAACAAGGGCGCGTTATCGTTGATGTCTTTCAAGTTCACTTGGACATCGGCATAGCCCACAAGGCCTTCTCCGCCTTCGTCTTGGGCAAAAACTGTAAACCTCCATTGAGGCCTACCATTCGGCTGGTCCCTGTCAAGGGGCTAAAACATGAAACAAAAGCAAAATGAAGTAAACTTTAGAAAGGTGTTAATTATTTAGCAGCAGCTAAGGGGAGAATTTTCCATCATTTTACACTCCCTTGGAAGTTAGTACTTGCTCATTAAAAAATTATTTATAATTAAGGGTAAGAATCTCAATGACCTCATTACTTAAGCTTTACAACCATGAACAAATGAAACTTATAATTCACATTCTTAATACTGGCAGTGTTCATTTAACCACAAAAGAAAAAGAAAAAAAAAAGCTTTATTTATTTTCAATTTGAAAACTGTTAAAATTATAAATAATTAAGCTTCCATAAAAAGGCATTTGTAATCTAGTTAAATATTATGATACCATTTTTTAACTAATCTCAATTAAAAATGTTAAATGCGGCTACATTGTGATAATTTTAATGTGTCTTCTGAAAATTTGAACTTCTTTTATGTAAGGGTAGCACAAGATAAAATTGGGCTTACACTACGTTTTTTTTTTTTGTACAAAAAGGTTACATGTATCTTCTGCTGTAGGTAGGAAACAAAAATTTATCTAACACAAAGAAAAATTAAATTTGGCCACTTTTTAAGTAGCGATCGTCGGCTGGGACAGTAGAAATCGAGACAAAATGAACAGATTCGGCAGAAACAATTTGATAATAACTAATGCTTCTACCTCGTTAAATCATTTTGAAGGAAAGGTCGTCCAACCCTGCTTCAACGCTCCATTGGAAGCAATGAGGGCTTCTGTTAAATGGCCCGTGAAGATTCCATTGAAAACGTTATGTAAGAAGAGTTAGGATTTTTTTAATCGAAACAACGGATAAAACGTTAGGAAAATATTTTTAAAAAATTACTAGTACTATTGAAAATGAAAGTTGGCAAAGAAAATGACCGCTCACGGAAGAACTGTCATCAATTTAGCTGGAACGTAATGAAATGTATAATAATGGGAAGACGTCCGTTGGGACCGGAAAAATTTGATGATTTGAAATTAAGTCTAAAAATACAAATTAGTTTAAATATCTTAAGAATTTTTAAGTTGCATGGAATGTAAATTTCGGACCTAACTGACTTTTTTATCTCAACTAAAAACCTTAATTAATTGAAAGATATTAATTGGTCAAGCGGACCACTAAAACTAATGAATTTAATAAGTTAAAATGAAATACACTTCACTAAAGCTCTCTGTGGCCATTTCATTTGCCGCCGAGAATCAAATAGATTACACGACATTTGAAAAATGGCAAAAAGGTATGTTAGGTCCGAGTGGGTCGAAGTCACGATAGCTCAAGTGGTAGAGCAGCGGCGTATCTAGCCGAAGGTCGTGGGTTCGAATCCCCCTCGTGACACTGACTTTTTTATCTCAACTAAAAACCTTAATTAGTACTTAGCTTTCACTGTGCCCACCAGGGTTAGAAAAAAAAATTGGCAAATTATCTTCATAACTGTGTCTGTATCTTGGTTCATATCATTTTGGTCCACCTATTTTCGCTGTTTTGGTCTATCAGACTTTGCTAAAGTGTTACAAACTAAACAGCGGATATAAATAGAACCTCGTTTTGGCAAGGACTCGGCTTATTTCGCAAGTGACGCAGTCGTGGGTTGGCAAGTAACTTTATCTGCACTACTCTTCGTAAACTTCAGTTAAGCTAGTCGTAAAGTTCAGTATGTTCTTGCAATGCAAGATTGTACAAGCAAAAAGAGGTTAACAAGGCTTTTGAGAGACTCAAAATAAAACCAAGACGTGAACATAGGAAACCCTGGATCAGGTTTCTGAACGGATAAAGCCGGAGACATTTAATCCAATTATACTCCTTTATCCAGGGGGTTTAAGCCTACAAAAATTATGTCAAAAGAAAACACAGTTGAAGGCAGAAAGCAAAGGTTTGAATAGAAAAGAAAAAAATACGATCGGTCGGTTGACTTACCCATTGGACTTAGGAATAATAAAACGGAATTTGATACATTTTAACAAGTCGGTTTGTCTAAGCATCTGTTGTAATATCGTTAGGGGCATTTTTATGGGTTCTGGTAATTTCTAGTTAAAAAAATAAAGAAAAACATTGCCCAATAATCGCAGTCAGAAAATATCAATATAAAAGACGTCTTATCATCGAGTAATACTTAATAAAGTAAATAATACCACTTTTACCATCGATATTAACAGTCATGTCTATCGAAATTAATAATGAATAAGTCAACAAGAAAGGTATTTTAGGACATCTTTGGCCGATTTAACATTTAGTACATTCGTATGATAAAAAAAGTCCCACAATCATAAATTTATAGTGAGTGTTTTTAAAAATGGAAACCAATGGACAAACATTGATGTTTCGATAATTATCAAACATTTATGGCATTTCTAGAGTGTTTCAGGTACGTCAGCAAAGGCAGAAAGGCTCTTGGCAAAACAAAAGAAATCTATGTGGAAAGCGGTATACTCTTTTACCAACACGTTCGCTATTCAACTCGGTTATTGTTGCAATTGTTTACTATTATGTTTAACTTTGGACCTGTGCAGCACCCGTAGAAAGCCTAACATAGAATTTTTAAACAGCTTTTTTTTCACTGAGTGCAAAACAGACCGCAATTTATATCCAGTGTGGCTCGGAATTACCTCGAATCGTTGGAATTTTCATGTTTTTCTAATACAATAGGCGGAAATGTATTTTCCAATCATTTCTATTTAAGATGCGTCCAACCCCTCAGACCAATTAGATAATTAATTGTTGAAGATTAATCTGTGCCGTCCTCGTTGAGTAACGTACAGAAAAATTACCATTTCGAGGGTGATAAGTGAACACCTGTCAGAGAAGAGTGGAAGTTAGACGTCACATCCAACAAATTAAGAACGATGAAGCCGGCTAATTAGGGGCGGGCTTATATTTAAAAAAGGACCCGCCAGTAAGATAAAATAATGTGCAAAAATGGTTGAGCTATTCATACGACTTTCATTGTTTATGAGAGAGAACTTGTGAAAAAAAATTTCTAATAGGTATAAAAGCTACTCTCAAGCTAATCTCAATTAATTTGAAGATTTATTTGTTATAATGTAATGAAAATAATTTTAAAATTGAGGCAAAAATCATAATTAACAATGTTGGCAAGGAAACGCGATTATGAAAAGTGATTAACAAGATAAAAATTCTCAAAAATCGTGAAAAATAATGTGTATGGATTATCTCAATTGATTAATTTCCGCCTTATTATTTATATTTATATTATATATAATAAATTGTTTTCCATTCTTGGTTTCAGAAGAACAAAACAAATGGTAATCTGAGGGGGCGGCGAGGTCAGGAATATGTCGATGTAGACATCCCAGTCAAGCTCTAATCATTTTTACCGAGTGGGAAAGTTTGTGTGTGGTCTTGCCCTGGTGGAACACCTGAGTAAGATGTAACTCCGGTACAGATCTGATGGCAAAGCGAGCATAAGCCCCGAAATGCATAACCAAAAATAAAAACCTACAAAGGTTGGCGCAGTGCAATTTATTCAAACCTTAAACCGAAAAAAACGAACCAACCAAAAAAAAAGGTGTGAGAAAATATTCTTCGGTTTGCAAATTCTAGGTTTTTTTTCTTGAATCGTATGGTTTAGTTTGATTATTTGGGGGAATGTAGACATCAGAATGGTTTGCCAGCTTGTAATCCAACCAAACAGATGGTATAAGCAACTTTGGCCGTATTTTTGTGGCGGTTCATCGTCAAATTTTACGATCGTTTTTGTATGAAATTTTTGTATTGTAAGAATTTTTTCATGAATCGTTTTCAAAATAGATTATTTTTGTTTCGTCTGATTAAAAAATCGCAGACACTAGCATTGTGGATCAGGTAAATTTTCTTCAGTTGATGTGGAACCCATATTGTTTCCCACGGGACATCAAGCTTTTATGCGACATATGAGACGATTTTCATCGAATATTGCCTTGATTAGGATGTCTTCAACTTCATTGGCAAGTGCATCGTTCGTCCGTCAGTGAAAAATCACCAGGGCAAAATATAACAGACAAATATTGTCAATTTCTTTTAAGGCTTCCGCCCCGTAAACATCACATAATCTTACGTGTGCTTGTGATTGTTTTTTTTTTCTTTTATAAAACGTATGCTTTGGTGTTCAAACGGGATGAAAATGCTTAACTAAACATCCATTCCACATAGTGTTTACTCTAAATGACAACAAATAAAAAATAATATGAGGCTTAAATTTCTAACAGGTAAACAAGGATTTAACTTTGCATCACCGTCTAGTAAAATTATTTTAGCCCAATGGCAACCCCTATACAATAAATTAAACCAGAAACATGTAAATTAACATATTAACAAAAAGTCTTAAAACCGAAAAGATTGAAGAGCAATTATCTCTCCTTACTGTGTCAAATTAAAGTCAAAAGACAAGACTTTTACCAACAGCATTTTTTTGTTTTCCACTCGGTTCAGAAGAAAATAAAAGAAAACTTAAAACTGTATTTCTTTAGCATTCAATAGACGATTTCCGCACTGCGGTCTAATTATCCAGACGGTTTTAACGATAAATCAGAGTCTCCAACACCTACGCTGCAGTTTAACGTGGGTGTTACAGTCTTTATTAATGACAGGTGGTCCTGTTAAGACAAAAGAGGTGGGTGGCGGGTACGGCGGAGCCTTCCGGCAAAACCATCAAACATACATATGGCATGGCTGAACGAGCCGTTTTCCGGTGGTAGACTGTAAAACGATCTTACACGGGGGACCGATATGGCTTTGGGGCTAGGCGCGGTCTTAAAAGACCCTCGTGTTCTTTTCAGGTCAGGGAGTAAGATAGGGAACAACGTTCCAAGGTTGCCAGCAAAAAGATAAATCTATAGCGATTGGATAAAGTTGCATCTCCTAGCAATTATTTGACTGAGACATAATTCGAAAAATCAGACGTTTCAAATGAAAATAGTTGCGTTGAAAACTTATATAACGTAATTAAATTTAAATAGAAAACAATTATTTACATAAATCGCACTTTTTCCTATT